CATAATCCGGCAACGCCTTGGAACTCGTTCACGACTGCTAGAATGTCCTGAAGGAACCTACCGGGATCGCTCCCCTGTCACCTCGTTGCGGCAGGTGGGGTCGCTGCAGACCGAGGAGGTATTGTATTCGTCGACCGAGACGATCTCCACGACGAATCCTCGCTCTTTCAATCTGTTGAACTCTTGAACGAGGTCTCGGCAAAGGACATTCGTCCTATACGTCGCCTTCTGTGTTCCACGACTCGAGCCTCCCTCGCCAACGAAGACCAGCACCGGACGTTGGCGCGGCGACAGGATGTCCTTTCGTTGGAGGACCTCTGCGGTCTTGATCTTGCTCAAGTCCGCTTGCTTTAACGTGTCATCGCGGGCCCTCTCTACAACAAGGTTGAAGCACGAGGTTCCATACGACAATCAGTATCCGGCTTGAACTTGTTCGAGAAGACTCCCTGCGGCGTGAAACGGAGGACGAACCTATCGTTCTCAAACCTGAAACCTCCATCACCTGCTCGACGAAGCGCCTTCTCGAAGCCTTGGATAAGAGATTGGTCTTGGCCGCCCAGGCCTGTCGATCCGGCTCGCCGAGAAGGAGACGAGAGGAGGATCCACGAGCGAGCTCGGCGCGAGTGCGTGCGTCGGCGTCGTCGCGCTCGGTCGTATTCGAGTCAGAGGGGGCTGAAGCAGGACCGTCGAGGGTGGCGGCCGAGGTGGCAGGGCGTTGTCCCTCAAGAGGGGTTGCTGCGTGGCCGGGAGGTTTGGCGTGACCGAATCGGAGGCTGCCGGCCGGTTCAGCCGAGAGCTTCCGAACGTGGCTCTGCACCTTCCTCAACGGCTTGTCCAGCGCATCCGCGTAGACGACGACGTCGTCTTGAATCTGAACCTCATTTCGGTCAAAGAGGGTAGCCGAAACGGCCATAGGACATTTCGTGCCCAGGTCGATGCCAATAATGATGGAGTCGTTGGCACCGTCCTGGACGATTTGTCGGAGTGCCTCATCGGTCGTGTAGCGGGTTCCGATGCGATCTGGACCAGCCCAGTCCTGCTCCGGCGATGGAAGTGAAGGCGAACACGGTTCGTCAGCTGGATGATACTGGATCCATTCCCCCCGGCCCGGAGACGGGCGGCCCCCGCGCCCGCGCAGCGAATACGCACCTCACCCTTGCCGTGGCTGTAGAGAAGTTGGAGGACCTTCTCGCCGGCATTCTCGACCCTCTCGAGGCGCGGCATACCGCCTCGTACTGTCGGTAATGGGACCAGAGTCGAGGCGGAAACCCACTTGACGAGCTCGTTGGGAGTGGCGAGGAGCGACGACCGTGCGATACAATCGTAGGTCGGGTCGAACGCCACGGTTCCGCTACTGGTCACGTGCTCGAACGTCTCCGCGATCGACTGCGGGTCACGCGTGACCCCCGGGGCAGGGGTGTCGGCGCAAAGTGGGACTCGGAGGAGCAGGGACAACTTGTTGGGGATCGCCTTGGCGACGTTGTAGCCTAGAAGCCGGACCGTTTGTCCATCCGATCGCCATTCTCCGTGGGGCACAAAGCCATTCGCTCCAAAGCTCTCAATGTTGAAAAGAACCTTTGCCACGAGGGGTCCGAGATGGTCGAATCGGGTGTCGATCCGACCCGAGTCAGGCCGACGGCTGGGGGGGGGCGCCTTCTTGGCGCGCTTGAAAGGGGGAGGATCGAGCGTCGTTTCGGGGGAGGGCTCTTCGAGATTGGCCGTGGATGATGAGGCGGTAGCGAGAGCCGGTGCCACGTTGGCCGGGGCGGTGGTGGCACGAGGGGTCGCTTCCCCGAGCTGCTGATTGAGGTGACGGCGCAGCACCTCCCAGCGCTCGATCCATTCTCGCTTTGACGCCCACTCCTTTGTCGAGGTCTCGACAAAGGAGTAAGCGGAGGAGAGAGGGGGCTCGATCTGCGCGAGTAGCGCGGTTGCGACGTGGTCCACGGGGTTGCTCGAGACGTGCGATCGCCAAGGCACCCACACGCATCGAAGCCATTCGAGCAAGGTCTTGGCCACGTCTTCACCTTTGTAGATGAGTATAGACGTGCGTCGTAACCCCATGGTAATGAAATCGCCCCCCAAATTCTGTGCAAAGAGGTCGGATGGTTGAACAATCGGATCAGTGCAATTGCACTCGCATTGGAGCGCGTCGGCCCGCTGACGGCCGGGTCGACTCGTTGAAACGCGGTGAGAGCCGGCGGTGCCACCACTCACCAATCCAAGGCCTCGGGTGTGCCCGCTCGCAACCTTGAGCGCGTGGAGGGCCGGGAAGAGACAATGAGGGCGGTGTGATACCCCTCGGATCCAGTCGCAGATCGTCTGCTCGGCAAGACGGGAGCGCTCGTCGGGTGTGAGCATCCGCGGCGAGTTGTCGCGGATGATTTGCACCGTAACTTGCAACGTAGACCTTGCCACCGACGCTAGATCATACAGGCTTACCGCCTTTTGTACCTGATTTGAGGCCTTGTCGTGTAGACTCGCGATCTTTGTGGTCAGGTCGGAAAGGAGTCGAACGTCGTGGTCGTCGGGCGAGTCGGCGAGTCTGGCTTCGTAGACAGCCTCAACAACGGCCTTCTTGACGCTGGACTTGAGTGACGAGCCCATATCCTTGCCCTTTTTCGCGGGTGGCGAGTACTTTGCGTCGTCCGCATCGTCGTCCTGGGGGGGTGTATTCGAGGTGAAGACGAAGCGACTGTCGACAAAGGCCGCGACGATTTGGTAGACTCGGTCTTTCCATCCAAAAAGCGCCTCGACGATCCTCATCGCACGGTCGTCCCACCAGTTGGGGGTGTGGGGGATCAGGGGGATCGGAGGGCGATTGCGTTTGGTTGCCTCAACGGCGTAGATCAAGGTAACCCACGCCTGTGCGAGGACCGATTCAGGGAACCCGTACCAGCGTGCCACCAACGAGCCGTCAGCCCCGTGCTCGTTTCGTCGCTGGTGTCTCGAACCATACGTCACTTACACCGGAAAATCCGATCGAGTCTTGCCCCCCCGATACGCGACGAAAATGCTCGTATTCTTGAGCACGTCGTTGCGACCCCTCGGGCGCATCCGAGGTGAGCCGATCCTCGAATTTCGTCAAGGTCTTGCCGGGCGTGGCCTTGCCGAGAATGGACTCGATCTCCCTGTGCGAGATCACAAGGAGGCGCACGAGCGGCTGCAGCGTGTGCAGGCTCGGCTTTCGATCGGAGCCGGCAAACGGAGCGTCTACCATGGCGGCATGCTCCGTTCGTGGCACTGGGGTCGCCATCTTCGCGGGTGAAATTGATGATGGTGCGACGTGGTGCGAGGCGAAGGCGCTTGACGGGGACCGGCGCGCTCCTGGCTCATCAGTTCGATCTTCTGATCCCTCAAAATGACTCCGAACCATGGAAGGGCAACACGAGTAATGGGTCGTTCGGACTCAGAGTAGTACGAGCAGATGCGTTAAAATACGAGTGTCATTTTGCAACCATCAAGAACACTGCTTTGCGCATTGTTGCTGCTACAAATCAGGTCGACTTGGTGACCTCGGTCACCGGAGGGGTCTCCTTTTTCGGAAGATCGCAGCGCCGAGGGAGCTGCGATGCCGAGCGGCGGCGGCGCAGGCTAGCGTCATTGGCACGGATGAAGCAAGAACTTGACCTCGAGTCGCTTGGTAAGCGCCAAGCCTGGCCTCGGGGCGAGTATAAAAGCGCCACCCCCCTCTCACCTCTCTCTCTCTCCTTCCTTCTTCTTCGTTGATGAGTACCTCTCACATGGCTCCTCCACCACTGGGCCGAAACCGACTAGCGCATCGACGCAGCACCGAGGCGGTAGGTGGTGGAAGTCGGCAGTAGTGTACCATCAGCCACCGTGAGTTCCCTCCCCCCCCCACTCGTTGCAAGTATGTACCACCGTCGCTGACTTGGGCACTGCCCTCCTCATCTTGACTCGGATCGTCATCAGCCTCCAATCTCGCTCTCGATCGAAGAGGGGCCCACGGCAGTCCTGGTCGTCTTGCGAGGTAAAAAGTTTGGGAGAAGTTGTTGATTATCATTGTATCGGGTCAGTCCCGCTTGTGGCCGCCTCCGAGCATGCACCCCCACCGCCACCGCAGCTGCCATCATCGGCCGGACACGACCTCGTACGACAGACTTGGGCTGACCTTGCTCTCACCTTCGCCTTTGCATGCCCGTTCATCTTCATCTACCTTCACATCACACCATCTTCACCTCTACATCGATTCTCGTCTTCACCTTCACCCTTCACCCTTCCCCATCACCATCACATTCGCTTCCACCTCGAATCACCTCCACCTTCATCCTTTGCCTTCATCTCTACGTCTGTTTCTCCCCATTGTACCTCCCCATTGCACCTCCACCTTTGACTTAACCGCATTTCATGCTGCTCGTTTTTGACCTTGATCTTGATCGTCAACCTCCCCTTCACCGCACCGTCCACCTCTTGCTTACGTCATCCACCTCCACCTTTGCCTCCACCTCGGGATTTGGCGTTACAGGGGGTTTCCTTGTCCGCCAATCGGCAGTGCAAGACGTCATGACCGGTATCAATGATGAATCAACAACTTTGTCCACAAAAAGTGAGTTTTATGCACACCAGGTATCACTGCATACTAGTAGTTCCGTCTGCTCGAACGTCAAGTTGCGAGCTGCTGCTAACATGCATGGTCACCCGCTGCCGACAGCTGCTTCAACTGGCAATGCGGCGGGACAGGTCAGACTCGAGGACGGGGATGATGGAGAGGAAGTGGGGATGTGTGGGCGTTCGCTGTGTTTGCTCTTTTCGCTTTTTCTCACGTGCACGTATCAGGCCGCGTTGCACAGCGACTCCGACGATGGTCCTCTTCTTTGTTTTCTCATTGTTTGGGTAGAACAGAGTCCGAGGATTAACCGTACTGGAATGTCGACGACGAACGTTGACCGCTGTAGCAATCCATTGTTGGGGGATGCGTCCCAAGAGGTGAAAAAGTTCCTCTCCTTGTGCTACATGCAAAGGATGCAATAATGTGTGATTCATGCTAGAATCAGTGGGAGTGTTGAAATAGGATTTGGCACATGCATCTCTTGAAGGTGCCTTCACTTTTGGTGTACTGATTAAGGCGACCAGGATGGTTTTGCAATACAGATCGGCCCGACGCAGCGCCTCGAGTACCTCCTTGACGTGAGCCCGATGTTCCTCAATGGTATTCGAGAAAATTGTGATGTCGTCGAGGCAGGCAAAACAACTCTTGCCGATGAGACTTGACAAGGCTTCGTTGACCCGGCGTTGATGCGTTGCTGGCGCGTTGGACAGACCCATCGGCATGACCACCCACTCGAAGAGTCCCCAGGGAGTTGCCACCGCGGTCTTGGGGATGTCCTCCTCGGCCATCTTCGTCTGGAAAAAGCTGTTCGTCATGTCGATCTTGGACCAGAATCGCGCCCTCGCGGAGACCGCTAAGATTTCAACATCACGTACATCCCGGGAGGCGAGAACACCGTCGCAGACGCGATGAGCCGATACTCTTTCCCGCAAGGACAGGCCGACTCGATACCCGCCTAGCCGACGGAGGAGGTCCGTGCGAGTCCAGCCCCCGACAGTTTCGCTTTCGCGGGCTGCCGTCGTCGTCGCTCCCCTGCTCGCCCCTCTCTTAACGCACTGAGCCGCGACTCTATCTCAATCATGGCGACAACGACAGCTGAGCCAGCTCAAGAAGTCACTGCTAACGGCTCCACAGAGACCAAGGCCACGAATAACAAGGTGGTGGAGGCGACTCCGCAAGAGCACGAGGAGGACGACGACGACGACGACGACGAGGGTGGCGATAATGTAGCTGGCGCGAATGGAGCCGGTGCGTTTGGTTGTGGGTACTCCGCAGGGTCAATCGGGGCTCGCTGATTGATCACTTCGTTTACGTCTTCCTCTGCTCATGATACAGAAAAGAAGAAGAGTAAGTCGTCTGGTCCTCCCTCCACTCTGAGCCCCCACCCACGCCCCGGCGCACGCCACGTTCTGGGGATCCGACGGGCTTAGCACCTGCAGGGGCTGACTTTTTTGACTCAATCGAACGACTTCTAGAGAAGAAGAAGCCCAAGAAGAAGAAGAAGGCGTCGACCTCGACCCAAACCGAACCGCCGACGATCCCCGTCTCCAAGTTCTTCAAGCCTTCGGCGTATCCCGTCGGTGAGATCCAGAACTACGTCAATGAGTAAGCTACGGGGAGCGACTCGCCTGAGAACAGCTACCAAGAGTGACTCGATTCTGACTGTTCTGCTCTCGCTTCCTCCAGTCAATCGTACCGAACGACGTCCGAGGAGATGCGAGAAAAGGAACGAATACTCTGCCAAGAGGATCCCGATTCGGCTTTCAACTACAACGCGATTCGTCGGGCAGCCGAAGTCCACCGTCAAGTGCGTTCCTACGCACGCAAAAACATCAAGCCGGGCATGTCGATGACTTCAATCGCGGAGATGATTGAGAACGGCACCCGAGCGCTCGTCGAAGAGGATGGTCTGAGGAGTGGGATCGGATTCCCCACGGGTTTGAGTAGGAACCATTGCGCGGCACATTACACCCCCAATGCTGGTGATTCGATCGTGTTGAAGGCCGAGGATGTGTTGAAGGTTGATTTCGGCGTGCATGTCAATGGGCGGATCGTCGATTCGGCTTTCACAATGACGTGGGAACCGACGTACGATAACTTGCTATTGGCGGTCAAGGAGGCGACGAATGCCGGTATCAAGGTGAGCGCTTCCCACGACGGAAAGCTCACCTGAAAAGGTAATACTGATGTCTTGGCTTTACTTTCGCCGGTGGCGCTCAAAGGAAGCGGGCATCGACGTCAGGATGGGAGACATCGGAACCGCCATCCAGGAGGTCATGGAGTCGTACGAGGTCGAAGTCGGAGGCAAGACATTACCAGGTCCGTCCGATGTTATCCAATTCATGCTTTAATCTCCGAAGTACTTAAATCTTCACATGCTATCCGACCCCACCTACAGTCAAGTCGATCCGAAATCTGACCGGACACTCTATCAAGCCTTACCATATTCACGGAGGCAAGTCCGTCCCTATCGTACGACAACCCGAGGACAAGGAGGAATACAACACCAAGATGGAGGAAGGAGAATACTTTGCCATTGAGACTTTCGGAAGTACGGGCCATGGTTGGGTTCGGGATGATGTGAGTTTCGGCAGAGCTACGGCGCAAAAATGTCGATCCCGTACTGATTCCGACTTGACATGTACTCTCTCTTCTCCTTTCATGATCTAGGGTGCCTGCTCACATTACGCCAAGAACCTTGACGCAGATCGAGTCCCCATCACGTGAGTGTGCGAATCGGAGGATCCGGACGCGCAGCTGCTCACCATTCCCTTCGTAAACATCGTCTCTACAGCATGACGAGCTCCAAGAAGCTGATGGCGACCATCAACAAGCAATTTGGGTCTCTTCCCTTTTGCCGACGATACCTCGACCGCATCGGCGAGACGTCATACCTGTATGCCGTAAGTCACGTGGGCCTGCTTACCCCTGATCCGAGGGCCGGAACTGACGATCCTTTTTCCTCCCTCGCTCGCCTTCTCAGTTGAAGGACCTTGTCGAGAAGGACCTGGTTACTGCGTATCCTCCTCTCAGTGATGTTGAAGGCTGCATGACGGCGCAGTACGAACACACGATCTTGTTGCGACCGACGTGCAAGGAGGTCGTTTCCCGCGGCGATGACTATTGAGCGAGCCGGAAATTTCGTCCTGGCACTCTGCTTGTAATCCCATCAGTGTTTCTTGTCTTCTCATTTCGGTTCGGAAAAAGAGCGCCGGCGTTGCCTGCCTTTTTGCGTGGGGTTTCAGCTTGGCCGAGGCCGAAGCGGTGTGCCGTAGCCTCCCCGGGACGCCGGCCTTGGCGATGGAGCGGCTGCCTCGGCTCCACGGGGAATTTCCCCACATGAATATCCCGCGCGGATTGTTCGGTCGTCCTTGAGCGGGCCGGTATTCTCTCTTGTGTCGCTTCCTCCCGCATTGCTTCCAGCTTCCAACCCACCAGACCAATAGACGAGCAAGTGTCGTACACCATGGCTGCACTTCCAAACGACTTCAGTCTCGCGGCCCTCGAATCCGCTTACGGTCAGGGGATCCCGTGCCCGTCGGACTTCAGTTTCCCCTCCCACGTCCTGGACCGATGGACCTCGAAGCAACCCCAAGCCCCGGCTATCATCTGGGCTTCCCCCGATTTCAAACAAGAACGCATCGTCAGCTATAAAGAGTTGAGCGATTTGTCCAACCGTGCGGCACTGGCGTTTGAGAAGCATGGGATTAAGAAGGGGGATAAGGTGATGGTGCAGTTGCCGAGGGTCGCAGAGTCAGTCTTGATCGAGTCACACTCTGGCTTCTTTGTTTCCTTTCGCGGGGTTGGGAGCTGATGTGATTCTTTGTATTGTAGATGGTGGATCGTCATCTTTGGTTTGATGCGATTGGGTGCGGTGCCCGCTCCCGGGACATCATTGCTCGTTGCCAAAGGTGGGGCCCCAAACCGTTGTTCGGCCATCCCGGCTTGCGGGGAAAAGCCCTGCAGCATGCAGAGGGTAGGTACTGACGCCGCGGTCTCCTTTCATTCCACTTCAATCAGATCTCAAATTCCGAGCCACGAGCTGCAAAGCCACGGCCTTCGTCGGTGACACTGAAGCGTGCTCTCGCTTCCAAGACATCTCAAGCGAGGTCGGCGTCTCGCTCGTCTTCCAAGTTCGAACTCAGGATGACGGTGACCTGGGCAGATCGAGGATCGATTTCCAGGATGCGGTGAGCAAGGTCCCAAAGGAAGCCAAATGTGACCACGTGCAACATGCTTCGAATGATTTGGCACTTTTGTACTTTAGTGAGTTGGCCGGAGCAGCGGAAAAATTTGTCCCAAGTCGCCGGTAGAGGTCTAATCAGAACTGGCTATATTGTACAGCAAGTGGAACAACGGGTGATTCCAAGATGGTGCTGTTGGAGAACGAATATACTCTCGGGCACACTATCACGGGCGCGTGGTACCATCTAGCGCCCGGAAAGGGTCAGTATATGTCACCCGTCCCTCGGTCCAGAAATTTCATCCTGGCTGACGCCCACACGCCTGAACTTACTCAGTCTTCGCGAACATGGCCGACCTGGGCTGGGCCAAAGCTGCCTACTCAACTTTTGGATGCTTCAATCACGGAGCAACCCTCTTTGTCCAACCTCCCCCACCCGGAGCGTTCCACCCTTCGTCCGTGATCGATATCCTCCATCGCTACCCCATCACCTCGCTCTGTGCGCCGCCGACAATCTACCGCACGCTTGTCACCTCGGCCGCATTGGAATACCTCGCTTCGCACCCCGTCAAAGCGCTCGATCATTGCTGCAGTGCGGGAGAACCTTTGAACGCGAGTGTGATCAAGGAATGGAGGGACAAGACAGGGATCACGATCAAGGATGCGTGGGGGCAGACCGAGACGGTGATCATGGTTGGGAACTTTGCGGGGGAGAAGGTCAAGGAAGGCAGTATGGGTAAATGTGCACCTCACTTTGTCGTGGGCATCATAGGTCCGAATGGGGAGGAGTTGGAGGATGGTCAAGAGGGAGAACTGGCGGTCAGAACCGACGTCGGCGGTGGCGCCAAGTGGATCTTCAAAGGTGAGCGTTCTTTGACCGGCGGGACGTGTTCCAGGATCTCTCGGGCACTGACGTCCTCGTGGTTGGCGATTCCACAGGCTACATCAAGAAGGGCAAGATTGACAAGCGGGAAAAGAAATTTGGAGGCAAGACGTGGTACTGCACCGGAGACCGAGGTGTGCGGGACACGGACAAGTACTTCCACTTTGTCGGGCGGGACGATGATGTAAGCCTCTACGTCATCGAACTCAAGTCGGTGTGGTTCTGGGATACTGATGGGCTTCGAATCTATTTTCACCGTAGGTCATCACCTCCTCTGGCTACCGTATCGGTCCCTTCGAGGTCGAGAGTGCACTCAAGGTAGGCCATCGTGAAGGATGGTGGCTTGTGCACCTGGCTCACATCTGGTTCGCCATGACCTCTACAGGCCCACCCAGCGGTTCTCGAATCTGCCGCCGTCGGTTCCCCCGACGAAGCGCGAGGTGAGATTGTGAAAGCATTCGTGATCCTGAGCGCCGAGTACGCGCACAGGGGTAAATCCGAAGGGCCGGACCGCGACGCGCTCGTGCTCGAACTGCAAGACTTCTTCAAGAAGCAAACGGGGCCTTACAAGGTACCTCGGGAGATTGAATTTGTGGAGGATCTTCCCAAAACGGTTTCGGGCAAGATTAGGAGGATCGAGCTGAGGCAGGCCGAGTACAAGAAGAAGGCCCACATCGTCGCGAAGCAGAAGGCCAAGTTGTAAGGCCCGCGACGAATGAGCGTCGGGCGCGGTCTCGCAATGGAGCAAGTGTAGAGTCAGACTGCCACAACGGAGACCCGGTCAAAGTCAATCCAGGGAGGGTGTACCATGCCACTGTGATTGTTTTCCTCTTCGTCGTGTGACCGTGCAGCCGGAGGGTCTCACTGGTCTGACTCTGCAGCACTGACCTGCAGCTGGTCGATATCTGGCGTAAGGCGATGCTCAGATCGGAGGCTTAGACCATTTCTTTGCACGATAGATCGGATATTAAACTTGAGAGAGCTCCGGGCTCCTGTCCGAGCCTAGTGGCTCCAGGATTGTGGTCCAAGGCAGACGCAGACAGGGGGTAAGGATAGGTCCTCCGATCGGAAGCGATAGGGTGGGATACGAAGATAGCATGTCGTTACATCACCTCAGCAAGCCCACGTCTCTTGTACAGCCGACGGCTACCCACTTCTGATCCTCTGGTTCATCCTCGAGCGCGGATTCTCCAGAAGCAGACAGAACGAGTTCAACTAACTTCTCTTGCGTGGCCGTCGCACCGGGGACAACAAGGATGGCTTGCACAGCGGCAACGATCAACACCCGGCACTAATAGCCAGCCTTTGAGTGAGGTCTGTGGCAGGCTGGGCCGACCACGGAGATGAGCATATTGTAGTGCCACTGCGCTCGATCGGCGTGCACAGTGTACCCTCGCCAGCTAGCCCGATGCAAAACGAGTACAGGCTGACGCAAACCCCAAGCTGTCTCGGCTGACAATCGACTTATTTCATCGCTTACCGGTAGCACCCGCCTCCTTGATACTGACTTGCCACACGCTCCTCCATCGATGTGCCAGGAAGAGGCCGGCGCCGGAGCGCGGAAGCATCATGGCGAGAGCCAACCCGGGCAGGGGCCCGGAGGCGGTCGAAGCGGCGAGTGCGGCGAATGCTCGGAGACGAGTCTTGCAATGCTCCGGTGATACTTCAGCCTTATTTGATTACTCTGGGTTGGTTTTGAGAACGAGGTCGAGTGAACAATACGAGGCTGAAAGGACGACGCTCACTGTGCCGTGCCCGACCCTGGCTGACCTTGCCAGCTGCTTCGGACCTCGGGGGTACCTCGGGATGAATCTGAGACCAGTCGCGCGTGCGACGCGTCATCGCGCCTTGCCTCTTGACCGCTCTGACAGTGCGCCTACTACGTTCACCCTTGTCACCGCAAGCTCCACAACCACCATCACCACACTCGTAGAATGAACCTATCACATTCAATGAGTCGGGTGAGACTTCCTGTACGCTCCTGCACATCCCATGTCGAGGCGCACTCGCCCGCTTTGGACGCTGAGTCGCCGACGGAGCTGCGATGACCGTCGACCGCCAACGTCGCACAGGTGACGCGCCACTGCATCGACTCGTTCAACCAATCTTCGACTCGAACCCATCTCGTCAAGCTACAGGACGAGCTCGTGATCTCGCCCATGATGGAACGTGCATGACCATACGGTGAGTCATGATATCATGATTTTTTCGTGTCATCCACGCTCGACTTGAGCCGTGCATCGAACGCTGACGCCGCGACCGGAGTCATCTCACCCCCAGCTCGCGATGCCCATAATCCTAATCGAAGGTGAACACCGACGAATGACGAGCGCCACGACGATCCTCGCTGTTTTTCGGACCAAGAAGTCTTCCCTTGGTTGCTGCTCGCGAGATGGAGTAAGTTCCACCAAGCCAATTCGATGGGGTACTTGCACGTGAGTCCTATCGCCAACTTCGTGCGATCAAGCTGATCCGATAGCTTCGTCGCGCAGCCAAAGACGACGAGGCAGGTATTATTGGTGAGGCAGGTTTTGACGACGTGGCAGGTTTTATTGGTGTATTTTTATGGAGTGGTGCCTCAGATCTGTCAACGATCACGCGATTGACACCTGTCTCTGCTGATCAAATCTTCATCCCTACTGCGCCGGGTGACGACAGCGACTAACGGCTGGCTTTTGAGCACCTGCCTTCTGCACTCTTACCACTTCTTTCGCCGCCGCTTCACTCGCTCCAGAATCGCCGCTGCTTCACTCGATCCAGACCCGACAATTCCTGGACTGAATGATGACTTCGAACAACTCGCGCCCCAGAAGGTCCCCTTGGTTCGCTGCATCGACTTCAACCGGCCCGGGCCAAGTGGCCGGATCGGCTCCCCCGAATCAAGAAAACCAGGTGGTACCAGCGGCGGTGGCCGACGTCGGGGCGTTACGATGGGCGGAATTTGGTGGCATCCTGGAGGATGAAAGTCCTTCATGGCATGTGTATGTCGTGCCATAGGAGTAACACGTTAGGCTGATCTTTACCCTCTCCACCGCTCACCGGCCATCGGCAGCGAAGTCCTCGCCTCGATGCATCGCCTGGGCTTGGACCAGCGGTGGTCGGCAGGGGCTGTCCACGGCGCTCCGACCGCTCTCGGCGCCCTCGCGAGGATCGTACCGACACGACGCGTCGCCATGACGGGCGGCATTGTTCCAAGACTTGGAAAAGCAAGAATTACCGGCGGTCTGCTCCCCCTACCAATCTCTGCGCGCTACACTTCCACGAGGGTGCAAGAAACAGCCGCCGGCTCAGCGAGATGGGGTCAAATCATTCAATCCAAGCCCTCTCGCGTACTACTTGAGCCGATCAGGGCTGCAACAGTCGGCAGAGGGTCTGCTCGCCCCTACGATCAGGCTATTTCGGTAGCAATAGCCCAGAGCGTAGCTTCTACCGCGGCAGCAAGAATTGACCGACTCGGGACGTCTTTTGTGGCCGAAGAACACTCCAGAGGCGGAGCCACCACCTGGCTTCGACAAGCTGCAGAGTTTGTGCGTGTCCTTGGTCACATTACTATCGGGTCCTACTTCCGCTAATGTATCGATATCTATTTCGTGCTACCGAACGGAAACAGGCGAGGCGGGACCGATCGCGCCGAACGCCATGTTCAAACATATATTCCGAAGTCCTACGAGAGCAGCACGCCGCACCGAAAACGTCGACCTCGACCGGCGTCCAGACTCGCATGTCGGTAGTCCCAGCTTCAGCAAAATGTCGACCGTCCTTTGGTACCTTCATCACCTGGATGAAACGTCGGCGGGATTCAATCCGTTGTACAGAACAACATTCAGCCACGAACGCGGCTTTTTTTGCTCCGGTCTATCGACCTTAGCGCTTGGAGTTTCAACGCTCGGCCAGTCGTCGATAGTCCGGGGCAAAAAAAAAGCCGCGTTCGTGGCTGAATGTTGTTCTGTACAACGGATTGAATCCCGCCGACGTTTCATCCAGGTGATGAAGGTACCAAAGGACGGTCGACATTTTGCTGAAGCTGGGACTACCGACATGCGAGTCTGGACGCCGGTCGAGGTCGACGTTTTCGGTGCGGCGTGCTGCTCTCGTAGGACTTCGGAATATATGTTTGAACATGGCGTTCGGCGCGATCGGTCCCGCCTCGCCTGTTTCCGTTCGGTAGCACGAAATAGATATCGATACATTAGCGGAAGTAGGACCCGATAGTAATGTGACCAAGGACACGCACAAACTCTGCAGCTTGTCGAAGCCAGGTGGTGGCTCCGCCTCTGGAGTGTTCTTCGGCCACAAAAGACGTCCCGAGTCGGTCAATTCTTGCTGCCGCGGTAGAAGCTACGCTCTGGGCTATTGCTACCGAAATAGCCTGATCGTAGGGGCGAGCAGACCCTCTGCCGACTGTTGCAGCCCTGATCGGCTCAAGTAGTACGCGAGAGGGCTTGGATTGAATGATTTGACCCCATCTCGCTGAGCCGGCGGCTGTTTCTTGCACCCTCGTGGAAGTGTAGCGCGCAGAGATTGGTAGGGGGAGCAGACCGCCGGTAATTCTTGCTTTTCCAAGTCTTGGAACAATGCCGCCCGTCATGGCGACGCGTCGTGTCGGTACGATCCTCGCGAGGGCGCCGAGAGCGGTCGGAGCGCCGTGGACAGCCCCTGCCGACCACCGCTGGTCCAAGCCCAGGCGATGCATCGAGGCGAGGACTTCGCTGCCGATGGCCGGTGAGCGGTGGAGAGGGTAAAGATCAGCCTAACGTGTTACTCCTATGGCACGACATACACATGCCATGAAGGACTTTCATCCTCCAGGATGCCACCAAATTCCGCCCATCGTAACGCCCCGACGTCGGCCACCGCCGCTGGTACCATCTGGTTTCCCCACGAAGAGCTCCTCGGTCTCTCCGAGATCACGCAGCAAACGGTCCATCGCTTCCACCGCAAATCGATGCGCCATTGGTGCTTCATCCCAAACGATGAGCTTGGTGGTACGCAGCATCAGCACCAGATCACTCTCCCTGTCGACTGGGCACGTCGTGGTCGGCGACGTGTCGAGTGGGATTCGGAAGTCGAATGCGCCATGTGTCCTCCCTTGAGAAGCAACGCCGTTACTCCCGAGGAGGCCTCGGCAATCGCTTGGTCGTCGAGCTCGCAACATATTGAGAATGACATTCTTCCACGAAAGTGTTGCCAGTACCCCCATGTGCAAGCAGGAAAGACACATGCTGCGGCCCAACTTCTTGAAGGTGGTCGTCGCGCATCTGATCGACGACACTGAGGTCGACCGCGCGAAGGAGCTCGTCAAATGCATTTCGTTGGTCGTGGCTCAGGCGGGCAGGCGCCTCCTCAGCATCTTGCGCACATTGCTGACGATTGAAATGGGGAAGCCGATCATCGGGACGATCGACGCACTTTGTCCTCGGCCAGCTTGGACAGATCAAAGAAGACCCAAGTTCGATCGTTCGCCGCAAAGAAGGAGACGAATATTGTTGAGCGTCCACAGGCGGATGGTTTGATCGTCGACGAATACGTCTTCAAAGCATTCGATGTGATAACCGGCATCATCGCTAGGGAAGCAGAGTGACGATCTAGCAAGGCTGGCGGGTTGGCAACCGTCGCTTGGATGAACATGAACACGAACAATCGCCGCAGTTGGTCACCGGTCGGAATCTGTTCAGCTTCCGTGAGACAGATGTCGTGCTCACCACCGTCGGCCAGAAGCCTGCGAGCGGCGCAAGCGGCGCGATAGGAAAGATACACAACGTCTTCAAACTTGAGCAGATCCGCAAACGACGTCGGACCGATGACGACGTCGAGGAGCAGTCTGAGGTAACGGCGCTGCCACTACGCAGTGGAACGGTGTAGATTCGTCCGATGACATTGCGATCACGAACTCGGCGTTTCCAGCGCAGCTTCTCCTTATTCAGGAGTAGTAATGCGGCACATCCGTGTAGAGCAACGTGGCAGTGAAATCGCCGTCGGGAGCTGCGGCGCACAGGTCGAAGAAGCCGTAGGTGAAGGTCTAGGGGCAGCGGTTCGTCAGACGCCGGCGATACTCTACGGCTGGCCATCAGGGTACATGCGGGCGTGGGGTCCTGTTTGTGAGAGAAGTGGCGCTTACTTCTCGCGATACCGTACTTGTCCTTTTACGTGCAGGGCTGAGTCGGGTTTCGGCCACACTGTCCATGCAGCATATGCTTTGTGACGGTCTCGTGGAATTCTGGATAGCGCGAAGGACCGAGTATCTCGGCCGAGAACATCTTGTCGATTGCTTCTTTCGACAAAGGAGGATCGTCCGGCGCGAAGGTGTTGAGTGTTTGTGCATGCGGCAGCCCCGCTTTTGATACTCTGACATGTCTGCCTCAGAACGACGCCGAAACAGCCTGCCCTTTGCTTGTTGCCCAAAACGCCGTCGCCGAGTCGGTTCAACTTGGCTTCAATCACCCGTGCAATGAGATCCGGGCCGTTGCATGCTTTGTCGTTCGGCCCCAATGCAACCTTGACTTCCGGTCACTCGGGGTTGCACGTCACCGTGACAAAAAGCGAAAGCTTTCCATGTTTGATGTCGCACGCCATCGCATCTTGGCAACGCTGCGTAAGTTTTTGCGCGGCTATTCTTGAGCGTCGAGCCTGATTATAAAAACTTGCTACCGAACGTCTAATTTGATCCAGGGTCAAGCCTTAGACGGCCGTGGCGAGGCGCAGGTTTTCTTGATGAGAGCGAAGGTAGTTGAGTCGGTCGATCTCGACATGGGAGAATCCGTCGATCAGGAACTCGTGGAAGAGACGCTGGGTGGGGCCATCGCAACCTCGCCAAGTCTCGAGCGCACTGCAGCGCCGTACCATGGGCCTGCTCGAGCGCCTCCTGCTTCAGTATTTTGCTGGCTTCGGTATCCCGTTTGCCGAATTGGCGAATTCTACTTGAAGCGGAAATTATAGTGCAGCATACAGACCGTGGAAAGAGTGGAAGCGTTCAATACGTGTACAGGGATGAGGAGCGCACGGTCGGTCTTAGTTGAACATGACTAAGAAATTGGAGGCGAGAATGTGAGAGGGCGCTGAAGAACGGGACAGCCCGCGAAGAGTTCGCCAGTAGTCAGGGTGCATGTGGCAATCCATAGCATCGTCGCTCCTGTGCCGGTTCAGGCCCTACCCCAGGAATAGTATAGGTCGCTCATCGCTTCTATGAATGTCCCGAGCCCTTCCTCGCTGGTCAGCCCCTTGCGCTAGCCTTCGGACTCGGCGTTGGACCGCTGCAATCGCCGTCTCGGTCCTGCCATGGTCCGACGCGCATCGAGCTTGGGCCACCGTCGCGTCACTGAGCTTCGCAACTTCGACACTCTGAAGTCTGAACCACCCTCCAGGAAAATTCACCGCGGAGCCAGGACGCTGGCGGTGTTCAGGACGTTCAGGATCAGCTTCGCCAACTTTGCGAACTGCAGGCGTGTGCGCGCGCGTCAGGCCAGGACCCGGGAAAGCTCAGCCGACGGTGCGCCTCGAAAAACCCCGTTTTTAGGCCGATTTGTACACCGAATATCCCTATTCCAGGGGTGTATGTATTCCGTAAGACTAATTTATTGAGTTATGTTGAAAAAGTTACTCTACCATCATAATTACATCTTGAAGCATATTACAAGGCATAAATGGGCCCGAAAAGTACGAATCTCCGAGACGTACATTGGGCTGAGCTTTCCCGGGTCCTGTCAGGCCATGTCAGGCCGTCAGGCCAGCTGCCACAGAGCAGCGGGTCAAGCCCGCCTAATAATAGCGACGAAGTTCGCGAAGGCGTGGGGGAGTTGGACCGTACTCAAACACAACAGTCGCCCTCCATATTCCGCCCAGTTCGCGCTGAGGAGCTGGGATACCTACCGACAGAATCGAGGTTAGCTGCTTATCGATAGCTAGGTAGCGATTGGCACTCAGTGACTTGGCCGACTGCGACTCTGACAGACAGGACCCGACGTCGTTTCCCAAGGCCGACATTGCGTGTAGGTTACTTGAGCTCCTTTGCGACTGCTCAAGCGCTATCAACCTTCACAGACCTAAGCATTTCGTGTGCCTCTACGAACCTTTCAGACTCTCAGAACCCGTAACACGAAAGGGTATACGTGAGGAGTCCAATCAGCGAGGCTGGTGCCGTTGAGCGCAAGCGATGAGAAGCAGCGAAACGGGTGCTCTAAGAGAGCGAACGTCCGGAGAAAGAAGAACCGAAGAGGTGATATTATCAGATCAACATCATTTCAATCGTTCAGTCAATCAACAATCCGCGTTCCGGAGCCGAGCCCCTGAACCCCCCCCCAAACCCTTCAAATTAAATTTTCTGACCCTTCCTCCACGGAATGAGCCAGGATTTGGGGAAGAACGCGATGGCGGCGACTCGTATGACCGGGGAACCGGACGTCGGAGAGCGCTCACTAGAATGCGCCGCAGAAATCCACTTCAAGATGGATCTCGATCAAAAGCAAAGCCTAGAAAGAGTACTTCTCGCACGGCGCACTACTTCCCTTCTTCCGCGTTGCTACTGTTAGATTTCCGCACAGTTCTGGTAACTTTCGTTGGTCGGCCAAACGATGAGATTGTGTCGATACGGTGCACGGTCGTAAAGTCCGAAACAGTGAGTTACCAGTGGGCGGAAAAGAGAAGAAAAGCTACGGAAAAGACTCGCGCGCGCGCCGACCGCACTCCCTAATTCCCTAATACCCCACTGATAATAAACCATGCCTAGAATGCCTTGATGCGCCAAACGCCCAAATCCAACGCTACCATCGCCACTGCTAGGCTCTGTCCGGCCAGCAGGCTAATAGCCTTCGGGTGCTCGTTCGGCATGGCTTGACCGTACTTTGCTCTTGTGAAAGTGAAAACTTGGAACATTAGACCTTGTTCATTTGATCTTTGAATATTTATGAAGAACATCAACACCACATACCATACCCTTGGCCTAAATTACTCCGATTCGATTCGTTGCCTTTGGGCTGTCTGGCGCAGCTTCTAAACGACCCCTCCGCCGCTTGACCGGCACGTGCCTAAGTGGTGATGGTATTTCGTGAAAAACGAGGTATCGGAGAAATAAAATGTTTAAACGAAGATATCAGCTACAAGGAGCCTTTGGGGATTTTCGAGGCCCCTATTCGCGATTGCTCCGAGGGGATGGCCTGGTGCCTTTATTTTCTTGTTCTTATTGGACTTTTGGCTCTGGCTTTTTATCCGGGTGCATCGAGTGAAGACTTGGGGAGATCTTGCCAACGGCTCCAGGGACGAGCCTCGGGTTGTAGTGAGCGACAATCACTCGGGGATCCACCGCCGCCCAGTCAAATAGCGCGGTCTTCGGCTGGCCAAAGGCGTAAAGCGCGCATTCGCCCCAGTTCGCCCCTCGGCCCCCAAGAGATCCTGCCGCCGTGAGCTATTTCTCAAGCTCTCTCCGCCCACACCGCCAACCCAGGACCAGCAGCAGCTCGGTACTACACTTTTGATCCAGAGACTCCACACGCCTCGCAACCTCTTCGTCCTTCGTCCCTCGAACACGAAGACGCGATCCCTAGTACCCACACCGACCGTTGTCGTCTCGCCCGCAACCCCCGCCCGTTGCCCGCGACTGGTCCGCTGTCTGATTAGATCTTCCCGGGCCTCATTATCTTGCGCGTTTTTCTGCCGCTTGCGCTTCGCGAGCTCGCCGGACTCTTTCGCGTGCGAAACAAGCTCAGCATCGACTGCGATCCCGCATCGTAGCATACTTGCTCGTGAGTTGGCACTGTATCGAGGGGATGGATCGAGGGTCTCGACCTATGGATCACATCGACCCACGTGCACGTCGTCCCTGCCTGCCGCTAACGCGTTTCCCCTCTTTGGTTGTCTTGCCCATCCGCGCTTCGATCCATCTCGACCCGCCCAATCAGATTACGCCCGCCCACACGCCCACACGCGCACCTGCAGCTAGCTAGCTCAAGCTTTAGGCGCCCACGATGGGAAACGTTTTCAGTGTCCCCATCTTCTTCATCGTCTTCCGAGAGGTCATTGAAGCGGCCATCATCATCTCGGTCTTGCTCGGCCTCGTCGAATCCCTGGTTGACAAGCCCGTCAACGAAGGCGATTCGCTCGACCGCGATGAAGCCGTCAAGAAGCGGCTCGTGAGGCGGATGAGAATACAGATCTGGGCTGGTGCTGCCGTCGGCATGTTCATCGCTCTGTGCATCGGTGCCGCTTTCATCGCTGTTGTAAGTCTTCTTTCGGCATACCTGCTCGCACAAGAACGAGGAAGAGTTTTTCTTTCGGGTGCCGAGGTCTTGCCGCTGATCGCCGACCTCTGGACGTCACGCCTTCCATACAGTTCTTCACGACGCTGAACGATCTCTGGGCCAAGTACGAGGAAATCTGGGAAGGCACCTTCTCTCTCGTTGCATGGTGAGTATTACACGTGAACCGAACACTTTTGCCCTTTGCCAGGAGCTGATAAAATCTTCTTCTCCGTGCCCGTGCTACCCCTGCAGCCTCATTATTTTCATCATGGGTATCACCATGCTGCGCATCGACCGATCCAAGCTCAAGTGGAAACGTAAGCTCGCCAATGCCTTTGACCAAAAAGTCGTTGCCGACAGCGAGGTCGACGTCAAGGACCAGCGAGAGGCACGCAGTGGCAAGTGGTCGCTCTTCCTCTTGCCCCTCATCACCGTGCTGCGAGAAGGTCTCGAGTGCGTCGTCTTTGTCGGTGGTGTCTCGTTAGGTCAATCGGCCAGGTCGATCCCGCTCGCTGCCATCGTCGGTCTCATTTGTGGTCTTATTGTCGGTTGTGAGTTACATCCCTGGCTGCTTGCGGTATTTTCCGCACCGGGAACCCCTAATTGATCCGACTCGCTCGATGTCGGCAGACTTGATCTACGCTGGTGGATCTCGTTCATCTCTGTCCGCCTTTCTCGTCATCTCCACCAACATCCTCTTCCTCCTCGGTGCCGGTCTCCTGTCCAAGGGTGTCGGAGCTTTCGAAAGGTATCACTTCAACAAGGGTGTCGGCGCCGACGTGTCAGAATCTGGTGATGGTCCCGGTTCTTACTACGTCCCTGGTAATGTTTGGCATCTCGAGTACGGAAACCCTGAGAACACCGCCAACGGTGGGTGGGGTATCTTCAACGCCATTCTCGGTCAGTTTCTTCTTTTCCCTCCTATCCTTCTCGGGCCATGTCGACTGACGTTCATGCTCGTATTACGTACAGGCTGGACCAACAACGCCACGATCGGCACGATCGTCTCCTACTGCTTGTACTGGATCGCCGCCGTCGTCGTCCTCGTCTACATGAAATGGTCCGAAGGGCGATGCGCCATCTTCGGTCTCGAATCCGCGGCTTACAAGCGTAGGCAACAGGCTCGTTTGGAGAAGAGCAAGTATATTGCCCCGCTCGATTCGCCGATGAATAAGGAGGTCGATAGTATTGAGAGGGCTGATTCGTCCCAAGGGTCGCACTCGACGGTCAAGGTGCAGTAGAAGGGGATTGGTTTGGAGCAGGAGTCTAGTCCAAGGTTTAGCGAACTTCCGTTCCTCTTCTATTCTTTTGTTCCTGAAGGTTTAGTAATTTTTATTCGGATAGCAGGGTATGACAAAAAAAGTCGCAGAGTCATCAGTATAAGCCTGTCATCTTTGCCAATGATTGCAATTGCCCAATCGTTTGCATTCGTAATTCTGTCCGTACAGGCAAGGCAGTGCGACGACGGGATGCACAACAAAATCAGGGAACCTTACAGGTTCACAAAAGGAAATAAGTTCTGCTACGATGTCACAACATTATTCATTGGCCCAGCCAGCTTGCAAATTTCCGCGGTCCCCCTCAACGCCGACCACGACCTCGGAAAAATCGCACCCAAACGCAAAAACACGTGCTGTGCGCGCCGCCACACAACGATTCCGATCGAATTGTCCCGCATCCGAAACGTCCATCACCGCCAGCGCGTTCCCAATCTGAAGAGCACGCCGCGCAGAGGTCCCACCTGGTATTACTCGATGCCATTCGGATCAAATATAAATCCTCATCCCCCTCTTGAGCGGACTATTCGAACCAGCCGCAGCTCTTGCGGCCCTAGGGCCGTACTTGAACACCTGAGCGACGACCGAATCAGTCGACGCGCTCGACACGCTCTTGCTCTTCTTCAGCGTCGTTCCGACTGGGCAAGCTGCAGTGACGGAGGTTAATTGAGGGAACACAAGGGCTGTCAGTCAAAGGAGTCGATGAGGAGGGGGAAAGGTTCTAGACTCTTCAAAGAACAAAGTGTTTCGTCGGAGGAGGAGACTGGGAAGTCCGGCCGTTGGGTCTCCTCGAGGCTCCTGGGCTCCCTTCTAGAAGCGGACAGCGGAAGAGGTTCTCCCAAGACGGAGTGGAATGTGGCTCACCTGCTTGGACAACGGTCAAGGCGACGCAGAGAGTGAGGAGAAAGGTGATAATAGATCGCATCTTGTAGTTTGGTAAGTGATGGCGGCGTGGTTGAGGTGTGTGAGGGGTGGCTTTGAGCTTGAGCTGGTCCGAGATGGTCGTAGTGAGAGCGGCTTGGCAGCTGGACGCGCGAGTCGTGGGGGCGAGCCTGCGCTGACCTGCCAGCCTGCAGTGACCTACGAAACAGCAACCCCGTCGAGGTAGCCTAGCTCAGGAACTTCCCGATTCTTCACTACACCTTGCTAGTCGGCCGATTCTTCAGATTTGCTATTTCTCTTCGGATTTCACACAGTTGCAAATACAATCGACCGACACCAAAAGAAGAAACAGCATCCCACACTTACGAGTGCGCGATTAGCTAGATCTTTGCTAATACGATAATTCGACTGCTCGCACAACCCGCTCCTCTTTAGGCGAAGAACTTGTTCTCCTTCAACCACTGCTCGACGTCCTTGGCATCGCGGTCGAGCCACTTGGCGTTGGAACGCATGCGGTCCAGACCCTGGCTGAGGGATTGGTTCCATGCCGACGAGTCGATGCCCTTGGACCATGCCTCAACAGCCGCGGCGTCCTCCTCCGTCGTCAAGGTCGAGAAGCACGATCGGATGACACCGCCGATCGAGAAGTCTAGTGTGGCCAAAAGAAAGCATATCCGTGAGCAAACGCAAGGTAAGAATCGGCGATCAAATACGACTGCTGTACTCACTGCCCTTGAAGCGCTTGGTAATCATCTCGTAGTTGTCCTGCAGGAACTGCCAGATTTGACGCTTGGCGACGCAGTTGGCGGCCAAGCTCGAAGTGAAGTACGCAAAGTCTGCAAACGTCATAGAAGAGGTACGCCCTCCAAGTCAGTAAGACAGCTCATCCAAAGAGAGCAAGAGGCAGCGAGAAACACCCACCCTGTGTTCGCACATCGTCGCCCTTGAGCATGTTGAACGTGCGGTCGAGCAAAGCCTGATCGGTAGTGGCGCACAAGGCCTTCATAGCCGAGGTCCTATGCGCGGGCGTCTCGGGCTTGTTGTAGACGCTCAAAATTTTCTCGTACTCGGCTTCCCCGCCGTGCTTGACGCTCTGTGCGAAGATGCTGTCGCGCAAGTCCGAAGGGATGAGGGACTCGTCGTCCTTCTCCAGGAAGAGCGCGAAGCGACGCTTGTACTCGGCGAGGGTCGCCGGGTCGTCAGCGGCTGCGGCGACGGAGATGGCCATCGTTCGCAACTCGATCGTGTCGACATCGTCGTCGTCCGAGTACTCGAAGCCGAGTCGGTCGGCGACGGGACCAAAGAGCGTGCGACGGAGCTTGGAGATGGCCCCTCGGACGTCCTCGGGCTGTTCCCACCACGTCGCGCTGATGCTTCCGAGTGAATCGCCGACAGCTTGCCAGACGAGGTTCTCCTTCTCGTTCGTGAGCTTGGAGAAGAGCGTCAAAGCACCGCTCGTCTTGGCGTAGCCCGAAGTCGCAAGCGCCATCGCATCACCCACGAGACCCATGCGGTCGCTCAAGCTGAAGTGCGTGTTCTCCTTGCCGGCCTCTTCACCGAGCTTGGCGAGACGGTCCTCGGGGTACAAGGTGCGGTACACACCGCATGTCTCGGAGTTGAACTTGTACGTGACATTGGCGACGTCCTTAATGGGAATGACGGTCGAGCGTTCAATGAGCAACAGGTCGTGGTTGACATCGGCCTTGCCGTCCTTGACGATCAAGAGCTCAAGAGGGATCTGCCAAATCGTCTCGTCCTCCTCGGGGATCGGGTCACCGGTGCTTAAGAAGCGGTTCTGCGTCACTTTGAGGCCCTCGGACGTCTCTTCGACGGTGATGACGGGGAAGCCGACCTTCTTGGTCCAGTTCTCCATAATCTTGGCCACGTCCTTGCCACTGGCCTTGGCGATGCCGTCCCAGAGGTCGGTCGTGATGGTGTTGCCGTACAGGAACTTCTTCAAGTATAACGACACACCGTGGATAAAGGTCTTTTGGCCGATGTAGTTGGACAACATCTTGAGCACACTCGCACCCTTGGAGTAGGAGATGGCGTCAAAGATCTGTTGGATCGTCTCTTCATCGGGGCAAGGCATCTCGATAGGGTGGGACGAACGAAGCGAATCGAGGCGGAACGCGCCAGACAAATGCTCGTTGATGAAGCTGCTGTGAATCTTCCACGATGGCTCGATCTCGTCGATCATGATGACCTCGCCGATCAGGGTCGCGAACGACTCGTTGAGCCACAGACCGTGCCACCAATCGAAGGTGACGATGTTGCCGAACCACTGGTGGGCAACCTCGTGCGACTGCACACCGATGACGACCTTCTTCGTCCTGATACCGCTCTTCTTGGGGTCGTAGAGGTAGGCGGACGTACGTCCTGTGATGAGACCCCAGTTTTCCATGGCTCCGGCGTCAAAGTCACTCGCGACGAGCGTGTCGAGCTTGGACAATGGATATTCTGAGAAAAAACGGTAGCATGGCATGGTCAGCACGAGAAACGGGTCATTTGTTTGGAAGTGGATTGGGGCTTACCGATGTCGAACATGCTCTCGTAGATGGGCAAGATGCGGACCTTGGTCTCGAGGGCCAAACCAGCTTGATGAATATTGTCCTTGGTCGCATAAGCGCGCATCGGCACGGTCCTACCCGACAGCGGCGATTTGTAGCTCGCCTCGATGTACTCGAAAGGACCGTTGGCGAAGGCGACGAGGTAAGTCGAGACTTTGGGCGTCTTCGCAAAGGTCGTCAAGGTCCAGTCGTCCTTGAAATCGCCGTACGAAACGGTCTTGGAAGCAGGTGCGGCAACCGTTCCTTCGGTCTTGCCTTCCGTCTTGGTAGCGGCAGGTCCGGCTTCGGTGAAGAAGGCGTCAGTCAAAAGGTCGGTGCGGGGGAACGCTCCACCGCTTCCGAGGTGCTTGGTGTCGGTGACCTCGCAGTTGGAGAGCGCGACCGAGTCGGTGCGCGAGATCATCTTGATCGCGTACGTCGCCTTGAACGCCGGCTCGTCGAAGCAAGGGAATGCACGACGGGCTTGGGTGGGCTCGAACTGGGTCAAAGCGTAGAAGGCCTGTCTCACACGTCAAGAGGGTCCTCCCAAAGTCGAGTCAGTCTCAGTTTCAGTCTTCGCCACAGGACACTCCGACCAGCTCCGAGACACCAGCGGGAACTGACCGTATCGCCATCCTTGCCTCCGGGAGCAGGGTACGAGGATCGGTAGTAACCTTGCATCGAATTGTCGAGCTCTCCCTGCCAGCGCAGAGCCAACTTGACCTGACCAGCAGCGACGTGGCCACCAGCAAAGGTGATCTCGATGCGCTCACGCTTGGTGTGGAGCTTGAGCTCGCTCGCGGGACGGGTCGATTCGGTCTTGAGCGACGTGTGGGACAAGACGGCGTGCTGGATGATGAGGGGCTCGGCGACGTTGAGCACGAGCGAGGGCACATCCTCGAGCACGTCGATCGTGATCTCGGCCGTTCCCGAAAAGCTCAACTTTTCGAGATCGGTCTTGATGACCAACTCGTAGTGCGAGGGGCTGAAGGAGGAAGCCAGGATCAGATTGGCTCAATGGAGTGAATGATCTAGCCGCACGTGCACTCACACAACCTTGTCGGTGAGGCGCACCTGCTCGGCATCACTTGCGGGGGTCGCGGCGAGGTTGTCGAGGTTGGCAAAGCCGCTGCTGGCATGGCAGAGACACATGTTGCGGCGTGGTGCGGAAGAGAACGAGCGAGAGGTTGTTTGGGTAAAGCTGTTACGGGTAGCACGAACAGAGGCAGGAAGGCGGCAGGGCGGTGTTGCTGCTGCTATCGAGAATGAGATGGGCTGGCTAGAGGTGCAGAGCTTGTTCAAGAGGACTCGAGGTCTAAGACTTGAGGTCTGGTACGATGATCCCAGTCGAAAGAGAAGGTGGGCCCCTGCAAGAGGTCAGCCGGAGTGCAAAGGAGGACAGCAGGACCGCTTAAATCTGCTTAATAATGGGTTGCCGGGGTGGGGGGGGCGAAATCTTTCGAAGGCCCACGAGGTTCAATCCCGGCCCGACACGCGGTCGATCGAGACCAGATGCGATGACATCGGCGTGCAACCCTCACCTAGCGCTCGCACTACGCCCGGCGTATGACTCTAGACAAAACGAAAGGATGGACTGACCCAAGAACGACCTAGAGAGGATGCAACGAGGGAGAGAATGGCTGAGCAAGAAGGGCACGAGAGGTCGAACGAGCACGATGATGAGACAGGGCAGGTGAACGTCCGGAAAAGCCCCACGCGGGCAGGGCTGCCGCACCCAAGCTAATCTCATCGGCCTAATTCGGTGAGGCCCAAACAGACGTCGGCGGTGTAAGCGCTTGAGCCGCCATTTGCCAGCGAGCAACTTCCGACGGCCCGGGACTCGGATGATCCTTCGCAAATCGAGTCACTTGTTCCAAGACACCTCTGGCGATAAGACCGGTCCAATTCGATATGACGGGGCATTCAGCCGAGACAATTTGCATTTAGGGACCCCTGTTGGGCCCGGCTTATCGCAGGCATCGCACGTGCAAAGTCATTGGTCCGCGCCGGCGATTTTTGGTCAGCATCGCGCTGCGCTCGAACAGGGGCTTTATGGTACTGTATTCACTACACGGTGATGAAGAGACCTGTCGATACTTTTTCCGTGAGCGATGCTTGGGGCAGGCAATGAAATTCGCCCGAAACTTCTTGACCGCGCGGCGCCGACGGATGATCCGAAGAGGAGGTCCAAGCTCAAACACGCGCCCCCTCTTTTTCGCCCCCGACGCGTCTTTTGGCTCCCGGCGCGCGTGAGTTCTCCTTAACCACCCTCCGTCCCCGTCACCCCCACCAACCCACCATGGCCCCTCCCATCCCGCTCCCCGGCGCTCTCTTCCCCATCCTCAGTGCTGAAGATGTGATCCTCGGCTGCCAAGCGATCGAACTGCACCTCTCGGAAGCGGACCTGCGTCAACCGAGTTCGTTGCTCGTCGAGAAGATCTGGGATCGGTGGTCCGATCGTTTGTTAGGGTACACGAGTGAGACCTCCAATAGGGTCGCGTTGGATCAGTTGGATAAGATGGATTATCCTGTGAGTACAGATACGTGTGTAGGGTGAACGGATACCTTCCGTGGTCCAGACTCGGCGCCGTGTTTGGCTGCGAGGTCCATCATTCAACTCGCTGCGTCGTCGCGGGAGGGATGAGCACGCATACGCTGCCAGCGCACACTAAGTTCTCCGGTATACTGACCCGACCGGTATGAAATCAACAATCAACCAGGAAATCTATGAAAGCGCCATGAAGTCACGCATGTTCTTCCGCATGGTGTAGGCTACCCCCTTGCTCCCCCGCCTGCTTACAGCTCCCGAGACTCACGCGCCGCCTCCTTATTCCCCCCCCGCCCCCCACTGCCCAGCCAACAACTGACCGACGCGGCTCAAATCGAACGCTTCAGTCTCAGCGACGTAGCCAACCCTCAATCCGGACGTCTCATCGATGCTTTATCGGGTATCATCAATTTCTGGTACTTTGAGGAGGAACAGGCAGAGGATATCTTGCAGCCTTTGATTGAGGAACAGAAGATTATGCGCGAGCAAGAGATCGAGTTGGAGACGAGGTCCAACGAGTTGAGGCTCAAGATTGAGCAAGAGAGGTGGGTGACGAGACTGCTGTTGTGTAGCATGGAAAGGCTCAGAACTGACCTTGCCGGGTTGCGGTATCGCAGGGCCAAACGACTCGAGAACGAACCCAAGGTCACGCAGGCCAAACTCGAGATCGCGCGACGTCAACAGGACCTCCAAGCGCAACAGAGGGAAGGCCACAGGCTCGAGGCCCAGATGAAGGAGAAGAAGGCCGCCGTCATTGGGTTGGCGAACCATCTTGTACGTTGCAGCCGGCATATTCTGGACCTATGGATGTACTGATCCATTTGCTATCTGCGAAACACAGATGGAACTCTCGAAAGAACAAACCCGTCTGCACTCCAAGGTCAACCGCCTCCAATCGCAAATCGTTCGCTCTCCCGAAAGGTTACGTCAATCTGTCGTTTCGCTTCGAGAGGACTTGGATCGCGTCGTCGGCGAATTGAGGGCGACCGAGGCCAAGGCGCATCAGTTGTCGGGCAAGATCTCGAGTTTGCAGAAATACAAAGCGGTGCGTGAACAATGACAGCTGGTAAAGGTATTTCTTTTTGGTTGCACACTGTTCTAATACGGTGGTCTGGTCACGCACAGGATCTCGAATCGTGCAATACGATAGCGAGGGATTTGGCGAGCGATGTGGCCAAAATGTTGGACGGTCAACAACGGTTAGCCAAGCTCGAGGAGGAATGGTCCAAAGCCGAAGCAGCGCGAGAAGGCTACGAGGAGACATCGAGGGTATGTCCCAACTCTCCATACCCCCATCTCTCGGATCACCGCTGAGCATTGTCCTCTTCCCTCTCCTTAGAACTCCGAACGTCGTCTCGAATTCCTGCGGGACAACTGCTCCAAGTTCGACGAGAAGACGCAATACAAGCGTGAAGCGGGCAAGACCAAGAAGAAGCGTTTGGAAGAGGAGTGGAGTAACCTCAAGCAAGAACGAGTGGACTTTGATATGAGGACGGCCGAAGTCAATCGGAGGGCAGTGGAGATTGAGGCGACGGTGAGTCGACGTCGCCCGGATAAAAGGCTCGCGAAAACGGAAAACATAACTCATCGACCGTCCTCTTGTCTGCAGATCAAATCAATCCACAACGAGACTTACGCCGTATTGGACAAGAGCGAAGCTTTGTACCGCGAGATGGTCGATTCGGTCGGGTTGTACAGCCTTCAAGTCAACAAGGCGATCGACGCGATGCACACCGCTTGTGCGACGAGGATGGTGTTGTAAAGAGCAATTCTAGCTTTTGGGCAAGAGGGCATCGTTGTGTTTGGGTTTCTTTTGTCGATCCTTCGTTCGTCTGTGTTGTCTTAGTTTAGATGTCCCAAGTCTGTAATACCACGTCTCAACCTCATACAGGACTACGAGGAACTTGATGCATTTCTAGTTCCGAATCCTTGATGGAGTTCGGTGAGGATAGAGGGAGGGGAAGAGGCGCCCGCGCTCGGAAGGCCATTCTCGATTTCTGCCGGTTCGGCCATGAGATGTCCGCACAAGCTATCTGGACATTTGGTACACTCCGCACCGATTCGGTCAATTCAAGCTGATATTCGAGCTTATCCAATCCCCGTTCTGTCGCGTGCGAGTGACTCATCGAGCCATTGGCCTCGGTGTGGCCAAGCGAAGCCCGAACTTACGCAGCGTTTTAGACGTGCCAGGAGACAGATCATCGACCGACCACGCCCCGGCTGGGGACTTTTGTACATGGACACAAACAAACGCATGGGTCTGTAATTCAATTTCTACTCCTCCTGTCCCTCGTACCCCTTGGGGTTCTTGGACTGCCAGTTCCATTGGTCCCTACACATCTCCTGCAAGTTCCTCGGCGCCTTGAAGCCCATCTCCTTCTCCGCCAACGCCGGATCGGCCGTCAAATCCGGCACGTCGCCGACCCTTCTTCCGACGATCTCGTACTTGTATTCGAAACCTGACGCTACACGCATGGCTTCGACCATTTGGAGGACGGACATGCCCTTTCCTTTACCGAGGTTGTACGCCTTGTATTTGCCGCCGGAACCACCGAATTGGGATTTTTGGGTGCCGAGGGAGGCGTAGGTCGAGTCGCGGGTTAGGGCGGCGAGGGCGTCGACGTGGCCTTGGGCCAAGTCCATGACTGTGTGTGAAGAAGCGTCAAAGGGATGAGTCATGCCGTCTTTTGATAGGATCATGTACCTTTCGGGGTGACAAGATCGCCACAAGACGCGCAAGAACTGACCGTGGATGTAGTCACGAACGCAAGTGCCATCGGGCGTAGGGTAATCGTTACCGAAGATCTTCAGCCCCTCCTTGGCGAATTTACCAACGGCCATCTGCGCCAAAAGGGGCAACAGGTTTCCAGGCTTGCCTCGAGGGTCCTCACCGATCTCACCGGAGGGATGAGCACCGGCGGGGTTGAAGTAGCGCAGACCGATCGCTCGCCACGTGTCGGGGTTCGAGTCGCACACGTCCTTGATGATCAGTTCGGACATGTGCTTGGTACGGCCGTAGACGGACTCGGGGGCGAGGACCGAGGTCTCGGGGATGGGGATCTGTTGGGGGGCCCCGTAGACGGTCGCGGACGACGAGTAGACGATGTTGTACACCTGGTGGCGAGCCATGACCTATGGAGTGGGATACGTGCGTCAGCTTCGAAGGAAGTTCAATCTGTTTCATCTCCCCTCACTCACATCGAGCAAGTTGATGGTGGCCGTGATGTTGGCCTCGTAGTACTGAATCGGCTTCTCGGCCGACTCTCCCACCGCCTTCAGAGCCGCAACATGGATGACACCCCAAATACCGCCCTTGGCCTTGTACGCCTCGAAGATTTTCTCGATGTCGGACTTGATGGTGATGTCGCCTTTGACGACGTCGATCTGGCAGGCCTTCTTCTCTTCGTCCGAGGCGTCGGCGGGTAAGGCCTCGACGGCGAGCTTGGAGACGCGGGTCATGGCCGTTGGGAACGAGTTGGAGAAGCTAGTTCCATCGAAGAGTGCGTGACAGATTGAAGCGCGAGAGGGAAGAGTGGCGCATAGGCCGGACGACCACGGTCAGCGATCGGGATGAGTTAGGCCGCGTCGGGAAGGTATGCCACAGGCGGCCAGCTAGCTTGCGGTTGAGACTGACTTGTCAATGGTCACGACCGAGTACTGGCCCGACAAGAGGCAGCATAATGCGATGTGCGAGCCTGTTCGGCGGGAGTCACGAGCAAAGCCGAAGCGAAGCGGTGGGGCGTGATGGATGATGATCGCCAGTGGTCAGCGAGCCAGTCAAGATGATCGATCCGCTCCGCTCGGGCGCCATCGATGGGAACTCCACGTGCACGCTCCGCCGAAACGGAAACGTTCGCGACGACGTACCAATGTAACCAGCCGCACCAGTGACGAGGATGTTTTTGCGAGCTGATGTGAGAGTGGGCGAGAGTGGTGAGATCAGTGGCCCGACAGTTTGAGCGATTACATATGCGCTGTCATCTGCGGATCCCGGATGGTGACAGCCTCCCGGTATGCGCTCCGGTGTATCGCGACTCGGATGGCGGCAACGGGCAAACCAGAGCGCAACTCGGGAGCAAGGACCTATATACTGGCACGGGCACCACGTACCCATGTTGATTGAAAGGTGGGATAAGATTAGGGGTGAAAACGAACCAAAGTCGGGAGGAAGAGAGCAGTGTTACTGTTTACGAGCTCGGATACGCGCCCGCCGCCCACTCCCACTCTGCAGGCTGGCCCCTGGGGTAGTCGTCGGCGGCGCTCGCCACGCCCGTTCTCTTTGGCACGGGAGAATGCTGGGCCTCACCGACCCCACCTGCACGCGCCTTCGACCTTGGGGTAAGGGGGAACGAGTGTATATCTTAGTCAGGTCATAGGCGATTGCCTAACCAGATCCAGCGCCCGATAAGGGTCGTCTCTTCTTGTAGACTAGCTGCGAACAAACATTCTCATCCGCTGATGCTACATATCAGGATAGAGTCGCCGAGTCGGGCTCCGACGTCTTCTCGAGAGGCACGGTCTCAGATCTCAGAGCACGTACCCAGCCGCTCAAGAGCGAAATTGGACGAAAAAAACAGCACTAAGACGTGGCGTGACCCTCGTCGCTAAAGAACGACACCAAGCAACTTTGCACACATGTACACTAGAACAGAGAAAAGCGATACCCGCATCGCGATCTAAACAACACCCCCCCACGGCCCTGCTCAATCCAACTGGCCATTCTGATCGATTTCCTCTAGTCTCGCAATCTGACGATCCCTGACCCTCTCCTGCCACCTCTGCAACTTTGCCGATTCATGCACCTTGAACCCAAAGATCCTCGGCCTAATCCTCTCCACTTTACTCGCCGCACCACTCGCCAAACCCCCCTGGGGTCCCCCTTGTCCTTGTCCACCGGCGCCTGCTCCGGGCACGCTCTTACTCGGGATCATACCAGGGTAGACCATGAACAGCATGTGGGGGAAGGTCGAACCAAAGTAGGCGCCGTCGATCGCACCGTGTCGAGTCGATTTGGGCGAATACAGATCCTCGCATCGTGGGCAGTACAACTTGACCGCTTTTTGATAGGGCACGTCCGAAAGACCGAGCGGTAAAAGGGCTTGACCGTAGCAGAGCACGCGGGGGCATCGACCGAATTCGCCCTTCTTGTACTTGTCGATCATCTTGGACAGCCCTCGGGAGGTGATGATGAAGCGCGCGTGGATGAGGCCGTAGAGGTGCCGTGCGGCCAGTTCGAGTTGTTCGCGTTGCTCGTCTTCGATATCTTCCTCGGCTGTGGGCAGGAATGGATTGGGGATGAGTGGTATGAAAAGAGGAAGAGGCCGATGCACGAGAGGACGGACCTGATGTGTCGGTGATCAACTCCAACGCGGCGCTGTAGCCTTGCACCTCGGCGTTCAATCCGGTGAGGTTGAAGCGGTCGATAATGTACTCGTCGTCGACTTCGCAAAAGTACTCGTTCCCTTTCGATGCCAAGAACCATCTGCACGAGTCGGGGTCGGATTAGCTCGGAATGTTTCAGTGTGCACGTGCTAGTCCCGAGTGCTCGAGACTGACGAGATCCACGAGTTGGTGTAGGATGCCGAGGACGAGTTGGAGATGTCGTCCACTGATGGAAGGTGGCACGATGGATGATGATGTTCGCGGTCGTGACGACGCGAGAGCAGTGCGACCCCATTCGGTACGAACACAGGAGAGAGAGAGAGAGACGGAAGCGCAGAAGGAGCAGGTAGGAAGGATGGGTTGGCTGGGTCAGCTACACGACTCGCTGAGCGTCCAAAAGGGTGTTGCGTTGCGACAACTCACTGGTCGTGTGTGAGCAAGAGATATATAGATCGAGGGAGGGAAGGTGTCAGGCGTGCGATCGGCCCCTGTGCTGATATATCCTGGCGGGAGGTGCGCGAAGGTGGGGCCGGGCTGTGTCCTTCGAGCACTAGTACGGTAGTCTTCGCTGTGATATCGTCTCTCGATAAGATCGGAGCGTTGGCCTATCGTACGGCTGCTGCTCCTGACGGCCTGACGACCTGACGACCCCTGACTCGTCGAGGCGGGCGCGTTCGAGGCCGTGCGATGGGCTGTGGTACTGCTGGGCGGGTGATGAAGGCGCTGAGACCGTGCTCAATTGAGTAGGCCTGGTGCGGAAGCGAGTCGTTGTCGAAGCAGAGCACCAGTGGGGGGTGAATGCAAGCCGTGAGTTGGCCGTTTGAGCTGTATGCGGCGGTGGACGCTGGTAATGGCCATTTGAAACGTTCCATCTGGCCGGACTAAACCGAATTTTGAGGCCGGGCTAGGCCAGGCTTGTGCGCCAACACGCTCAACCTTGAACGTTGCTTGAACCTCGACCGCGCTCGGCTCCAGCTGCTCTTTCACTACTGCACTATACTGCACCTCCTCAAGCATCGTCGCACCCACCACCTACGATGGCACCCCCTACCCTCGTCGACGAAGAGTTGAGTTGCACCGCCCACCTTGTCCTGTTGGAGAATCACGGTTGACATTCTCTCTCTCTCTCTGACTTGTGGCGCCCGGCCGTGTTCCGGCTATGGACCTCAACCCAACCCGCGCAACTCGTCGCCGCCCCACTTGGCTTATCCGCACGGCTCCATCTTGCGTGCCATCGATCCCTCCATCATCGATTGCTTCCTGCTGGGGATCTATTCTCGCATCCGTCCTACCAACAGCCTCGATGATCTCGATGACATCGTCACAGCAGGAGCACCCACCGCCAAACCGACCACCACCACGACCACCACCTCCACGATCGACGACGAGCGCGACTTCCCCGACCCCGAAGAAGCCTTGGCCCTTCCCAGCGACTCAACACTACCCTTTGGACTAGGCGCCGCAGGAGCAGGCTCAGAAGGCGATGCCGCCTTGGCCGCCGAAATGGAGAAGAACATGTCGTCCCTCTTCGCTGGCCTCGGTCCGGGCGAAGAAGAAGAGTTCAAAAAGATGATGCAGCAACTCATGAGTGGTCAAGGTTTGGACGCCTTGGGATTCGGAGACGATGATGGCGCAGGGGGGGCGCAAGGATCGGCTGGACCGGATGGGGATGATACAGAGTTGTTGAGTCAGTTGATGGCTGCCATGGGAGCGGGAGCGGCAGGCTTGGCTACGTCGGAGGCGTCCCAGCCCGATCCGACGACTAAAGGGAAAGCCACACAAGCTTTCTCGACTACAACAACATCCACACCTTCTTCGACCCAACCGACAGCCCCCGTCAACTTCCAAGACGCGATCAAAGCGTCCATGTCCAAAGTGCAACAATCCAACTCGGCCGTCGATCAAGAAACCTCGGCCAAGACCGCCGCAGGAGCGAATGCCGATCCTCTGGCCGCGATGATGGCTTCCATGGCCGGCCTGGAGGGCGGGGAAGAGGGTTTGCAGGGTATGTTGGATGAGATGATGGGCCAGTTGATGAGTAGGGAGGTTCTGTATGAGCCGTTGAAGGAATTGAGTGACAAGGTGAGATCCAGGATCGCCAACCTTGACCTGGTCCTACAGCAAAGCTGAACTCCCCTTTTCGCCCCCCCCCCCCCCACAGTACCCGACCTACCTCTCCACCAACGAAGGCAAACTGCCTTCCGAAGACCTTAAACGCTTCCAAATCCAAGCGACCGTTGTGTCCCAAATCGTCTCCAAATTCGAGGAACCCGGTGCCGATAAAGCAGAAGATCAAATGACCCCTTCCGAAAAAGAACGGAATACCCAACGTCGACAAGAAATTACGGACCTAATTGCTCAAATGAACGATTGTGGTGCGCCGCCAAAGGAGATCATGGGCGAGATGCCACGTGAGTTGTTGAATGAGAACTCCAGTCTGATGAAAGCATTGATTTGGCCGCTGAGCTGACGGTTGCTTCTTGTTGACTTGGCTCCCCTCACAGCGGGGATGGAGTTGGGTGCGGATGGCGTGCCCAAGATGCCGGAGGACTGCATCATTTCCTGAGAAGGAGACGACAACAACTTTTTGTAACAAATAAAGTAATCTCTCAATCGAGGTCAATTATAACATTACTAGTATAATGTGCGCTCTCTCCCGTATAAGAGACGAACAACGAAATACACAGCTCGGGCACCCCTAGTATCCGCCCGTATCTCGTCCACCGACATGACCCGCGACCGTCCGCCGTTGGTTCTCTTCGAGCTTGGGGCAATTCGCGATTGAGTGACCGAGACCTGTTGGGCAAGGAGGTGCTCAGCTTCAAGAAATGCGAGACTCGCGCGATTGTGAAATGATGCTCACCACCACAGTTGGCGCAACCGGACGTATTGCCCGCGTTGGGATCCTCGATGCTCAACAAGAAGGGTGGGATCCTGGCAGAAAGAACGAAGGTAACAAATTCAGTGCCTTCCTCCTTCAAATACCCACAAAGCAAATTCCCAAACACCCACTTTTGTTTGGCCTCCATCAACAAGTACTTCAGATCCAACAGCGTCTGTTCAGCGGTCTGCATGTTCACGAACGTCGTCGCGATACCCGTCTTGCCCGAACGACCCGTACGACCGATCTGATGCACGTAATCTTCAATCTCCTTGGGCATGGTGAAGTTGATGACATGTTGGATCTCGGAGAAATCGAGTCCCTTTGAGGCAACGCCCGAGGCGACCATGACGTCTTTCTTACCGGTCTTGAAGGATTTGATGGCGTATTCGCGTTCTTCTTGGGCTGTGGGAGGGTGAAGGTTAAAGAAGAGTAAGTATCTGGGCTGGAGTTTCAAGCAGGTGGGGATCCGTGATTTACTCTTGGATCCGTGAATGGCAACAGCCTCGACACCTTTCAACAAAAGGTACTCTTGAATATCTGCAGGCAACGATGCACAGGTCAGCACGACGGTAAGATCTCAACATGTCCACCACGGAAGGGAATGTACCATCGACCTCGTTCTTATTATCACTAAAGATGATCGTCGGCGGGGCAGTCTTTTGCAAACACTCGAGCAGATACACCATCTTGGCCTCCTGCTTGACATACTCGACCTCCTGAATGATATCCATACTCGCCGCACCCGCGCGACCGACATTGACCACAATCGGTTGCACCAACGCTTGTTGCGCGAAATCCTGGATTCGTTTCGGCATCGTCGCGGAGAACAAGAGCGTTTGACGTTGGTGTTTGAAGAAAGACATGATGTTGCGGACATCATCTTCGAACCCCATGTCGATCATACGATCGGCCTCGTCGAGACAAAGGAACTTGCATCCGGCTAGACCGAACTTGCGCTTCTCGAGCATGTCCTGTAATCGACCTGGAGTGGCGACGACCATGTGGAATCCGCGCGACATGATGTGCCCTTGTTCGGACATGTTGATGCCTCCGATGCAGAGCAGGGCACGCACTTCGGGGTAACCGCCTTGCGCCATCAGTTGCGCCATTTCGGCCAGACCATCGAACGTTTGTCGTGCCAACTCGCGCTATGGCCAGGCCAAAATATGGTTAGTACTGCGCTTTCGGCTCGGCCTAGTAGTAGCACTCGTGCTCACCGAAGGGCAGACAATAATTCCGACAGGCCCTTCGCCTTGAATGAACGGCATGCGCTTCTCCTCCTCCAGAGCAAACATGAGCAAAGGCAGTGAGAAAGCGAGTGTCTTTCCGGATCCAGTGAAGGCGATTCCAATCATATCACGGCCGGAGAAGCTGTGCGCCGCGTGGGCGACGAGGTCAGGGTTGAGCATGAGGGCGGCCAGTGTTACGCGAAGGATGGGACTCACGCTACGGGTATCCCTTGAAGCTGAATCGGCGTCGGAGCAAGAATCTTCTTTTTCTTCAAGTGATCGAGCAGAGGCTTAGGCAGTTTCATGTCCTGTGATGGAGGAAGATGGATAAGATCAGTAAACGCTTTACGCGAAATAGCACGTGACTGTGAGAGACTGGCCCTAAAGTTTGGGATCGGTGGTGGCACATCGTCCCCGGCGACGAGGATGTGGAACTGATCTCGAATCTTGTCATTCTCTTCTTCCGACCGTTCTCGAATAAACTTGGGTGCTGTCCATCTGAGCAACATGGGAGGAAGGAGGAGATCACGTCAGCAACGGGTCGGACTCGGAGAGATTCTTGCCTGAGAGACCCACGTCGTCTTGAGTCGCTCGGTGTAGACGATACCCTGTGCGATCTCCTCCGCACCGGCCAGGGCCTTTTGTCTAGCAGCCTGTGCGGCCAGAATGGCGTCTTCCTCCTCTTTCCTCTTGTCGGCATCGGTCTTGACGGCATCTGTAATCGCTCGCGATCGGAGGGGGTGTGCGAGCGCGCGGCGAAAGGTGTACGTCAGCGCCATGCCGTCCTGCGCTGCTGGTGTGATCATGTTCCGCCGTTCGGATCTGGCCTACCCTGCATCGCCTTCAACCTCTTGACCTCCTGTGCCTCGATCAACAAGGTCTGAGCATTCCCACGCTGCTTCTTGCCCTCGCGCTGCTCGCGTTCCTGCTCCTCCTGCAACTCCTTCTCGACCATCTGCTGCTTCTCCAGCACGCTCGCTGCGACGCCCAATTGTTTCGTTGCTAGCTTCGATAGGAGGGCCTCGCGTCGTTTCTTGACGGGGACGTAGAGCGAGGAGGACGATGACGGGTCGTGGCTGTGCTCGTCATCGTCGAGCGAGTAGAGCGGCTGGTTGGCGTTGGGGGGTGGGGAGAGACGGCGTCGTTTGAAGGTCGAGCCTGAGGTGCTTGGTGGGGTTGCTTCAGAGGTGGACATGGTGGTGATGGGATGAGTGCTGGGTGTGAGTGTGGGCACAGCTCAACCTGCGCCTATCTGCGCGAGCGTGACAGAGCGTGACTGAGCGTGACTTGCGCGATCTCCGATCTCGGACTAGGTTCGGTCCTCGTCCAGCTCTGTTCAGCTCTGTTCAGCTCCTTTCGCTCCTGCCCTCGATCGTGTGCAATTGCGCCTCACACCCATCACCATGCTCCAGCCACGGATACGTACCTTCCTACCCTTCCGCCAGCCACCTTCTCGTCTACCCCGTCAAGGCCGCCCCTATTCTTCTACCTCCACCTCCTCCACCTCCTCCACCTCTTCGACCCCCCCACCTCCTCGCCCAAACCGCTTCAGCGCCTACCTCACCCAACTACGCCTCCAACACCCTCACCTAGACCCCGCTTCCCTAATCGCCTCCTTCCTCATCCTGCACGAACTCACCGCCATCGTGCCTCTCCTCCTCGGCTTCTGGGGATTCAAATCCCTTGGATTGGGTCAGGCTCTAGTCGAACAAGTTCAGCATATCACGCTTGCTTCAACGCCGGAACGGGAGCGAAGCTATTTCAAGACCAAGTTGGGGGATTGGTTATTACAGGGGGGAGAACAGGCGAAGAGATTGGGAACGAGGTATGGGTGGTTCGGGATCGAGAAATTGGACAAGGAGCAGAGGGCAGAGCTCAAGAGGAGCGAGCAAGCCGAGAGGGATGGACATCAAGATCAGGGTCGAACGACGATGGTCAAGACGACGTCGAAATCAGGAACGAAGGACTTGACTTTGTCCGGCGATGTGGCCAACCTCGTCGCGAGTTATGTCGTCGTAAAAGTGAGCTTCGTCGTGAGCGGCAGATTCTTCGCCGCCTCGAGCACCGATCACTGATCACAACTGGCACTTCAACGTCTTCAGGCCCTCTTACCTCTTCGGATCTATGCGTCTCTTCGACTCGCACCTACGATGGCCAACACAGTCATGCAGAGGTTCCACCGACTACGCGCGATGGGCAAACGGTACCTGAGCAAGCAGAACAGCGCGGTCGGAGGACCCGGCGCACTTTGATCCGGCCTCGTTCCTTGGACGGAATGGTGCCATTGTAGAGTCCTGGATGTACAATGCGATCATAATTTCAACCTACCAGAGCTGCTGTCGATCTACGGAATGCGGTCAGAGCTGTTTTGCGTCTCCCACGTGTGGCTCATGTTCAACCTTTCCCAACACGAAAACCTGCGCGCACATCTACACCGATCAAAGTTCGACACTGTACAGACAGGCACGATTCTAGCTACCAACAACCAAGCACAAAAACATCAATAAAAACCCTTTGTTCACCCTCGAACACCCATAGCCGAGGTCCTTTCGAAAGAAGTCCTAAATCTCGCTTGACCCATCCCTACCCCCGTCGCCGCCAAACTCGATTCATCAAGCAACCTCTTCTTCCAACGATCGACATCATCCTCACCCAAGAAGAACAGCGATCGGATAGACGGAAGTTTGAGGGTAGGTTTGTAGGAACGTGAGTCGGGGTAGGTGGATTTGTGAGGGGGTGAGAGGCGGTTGATGGGAGTTATCAAGGGTGGGCAGCCTAGGGGAAGATGTGGCGAGGGGAGGGGGTTCAGTGTGTAGTCGAGGTGTGGGAGGGTGTCGGGTATGATGTAGCGAGGTGAGGGGAAGTGTAAGGGGGTTGATGAAGGGGGTGGTGTGAAACTTGGTGGTGTTTGGGTGTCGAGGGAAGAATAGGGACTGCGGGGTTTCGGGGGGCGACGTACGACCGGAGGAGCGGGACTGGGTAAGAAGAAGGATCGCGATCGACAAGGACTCAGCGAGGCGATCTGGGGGTCCAGAGTTGAGTAACCTTGCCCGCCTCCGCTGTGGGTCTCTTGTCTCATCATTTTCGTTGCTGTACAGGTCCATGCATGCGTAAGCTAGATCCATTCGGCGCCGGACACTGGAGAGATGACCCACAGCCTTTGAGATTCGAGTCCGCGTTCGAGCCTGCCTGCCTCAATCGAGGTGCATCACGACAGTCGGTGTACCCTCGTTGACGGCAACGATCACATGGTCTTCCTTCCGAACACTTTCGTCCAGCCTTGTTGGGATTGGACGATTGGGTCCGGCATTCGTCGGGATTCGGCGTGGCAGAGTACGCGGATAGGAGATCAGTCAGACGCGGAGAACAGAGGCGGGGTGTGTGTAATTCCGCTAGTTCGGTGGACGGACCTTCTTGCAACGGATGCAGGCTAACCGAGGATTGACTCGCGGGTCAGTGACGTGCAAAGAGTCGGTATGATGCATGATCTCACTCACCCACCGCGATACAGATCCTCTTGGTCCGCTTCGGGGTGTCTCCGACGACGGTCGCACTCGAAGTTGACTTGGCTGTGGTGCTCCGTTGACTTTGAGCGCCAGCCATCTGCCTACCCCGTCCGACCTCCCCATACTCGTCATAATTCCCTCCATCATTCCGCGTCGATTCTCCATCCTCATCATCAGAGTCAACTTCGACGTAGTGGCGTCTCGTAGCGCGCCGATTATAGCGCGCCGGCTTGAGCGATGCCGAGAGCGGAAGCGGGGACTCCTGTGGAGCGGTCGGGTAGGGCGGATGAGTTTGATCGGGCGGTGTCGAGGTGGATGGCAGCAGAGGCTCGTGAGAGCGGAACATTGGCATCGATGTGAGCGTCTGGACGAGAGTAGATGCTATTGTGAGTATGATGTGTGGGATAAGAGAGGTCGCAGAATGCAGTGGCGAGTAGAAGAACGTGGTAAAAGAACGGAGAGAGGGGAGGGGGGAAGGGGAATCAAGAAATGCAAGATGAACGAGCGAAGCACAGAAAGGGCGGAGCTTGAGAGCGCACGCAGCCTCCCAAAACCGCTCACTTCGGTTCATGTCATCGCGGCCGCTCAGGTCCGAACATCTCGGCATCGTGGTCAATTGCCCACGTTCCACAGCTCAGCTTGTGCAAGGGTACCACATCACTACCTCCACATTCTCAACTACGTCATATCTTGCTTCTGCCACTAGATCACATGGTCGCCTGGGGGCGGAGCTTCTCCATGGTGCGGCGATGCTGACGAAGGGAGATGCCGTTTTTCGAAGATGCCGAGAATTCTTGGAAAGGAGTTCGTTCGGCACGACCGATCGCTTTTTCTCTCCGGGGCTGCGCTACAATGAGAGCTGATGGCCATGACAAGGAGCACGGTCGACGTCGCCAGAATCTATGTATTTCATTAAGTAGTGTATTCCGATCCAAGACTCGGCAATTGCAATGCGAAACAGAGAACATTAGTCAGATTTGATCGAGCTGACTCAGCTGGCCGCTGATGAGGTCACACCTCCTATTGGGGTGAGCAGGGGCGGAGAAGACGGTGTCCCATCTGAACATGGTCATGCTACAACGCTTCTTCTCTGCTGAATTGCTGATGCTGAGTCAAGTAAGCGTTTAGTCGCTGATACTCCTTCCTCGATCTCGAAGGCGGACCCGGGACCATCTCCGAAGATTTGCGGAACCGGACCATTTGTAATGATGCCGAGTTCAGAACGTTCGTGGATTGGGTGAGCTCCATTCCAAATTTGGCATATTCATTCACTTGTAATTCTTGTTGCACCTTGCAGCTTGGCAATTGCCATCTTAGTTCCGGAGAACCGCCCAGCCCTGGCGAATCCCCGAGAGGCTGAGCTCCAACAGGCTCCACCTTGATGATCTCGGCGGCTGCGCGCGCTGATCGTAGATCGCGCATCCTCTCCTTTCCCCTCTCTTCTCGACCTCGACACCGCGTGCCATCCACCGCTCGTCCTTTGCCGCCTCACTCCCGCTGCGGCCAAGCCACGATGCACGCGATGACCCCCTTTGCTGCTGCGACTCCACCTGCGTTCTCCCCACCACCGGGTGCATCGCCGGCTCCGTTTCGCCCCTCCCCTGCTGTTCGCGCCTCGCTCCCTCTACCGTATGCTCCATCGGGCGGCGCACCAGGTGGTGGCACTGCGGCAACTGCTCCGAATCGATCACACCGAGCACCATCGATCATGTCGACTTCGAGGATGAGCGGTCTGCCGTCTAGCTTTGATGAGCCCGTGCTCGAGGCAAGGAAGGTCGTCGCGTTGTTGAACGGGGTGGAGGGATCGGGCTCGGGAATACTCGCGAGACTTGAGCAAGAGTGTCAGGTTGTATTTGAGATGTATGAGAGGGCGTACGAAGAGGGCTATGAACCGGATCCAACAGGTAAGCCAAGACGGGTGTGCGATAGGTCGGAATCATTCCGTGAAGCTGGAAGTTGCAGCTCCGTATCACGATACCTCGAGCTGATTCGCATGGGTTCGCATTCACATCGCTAGCACTCCAAAACATGCTATCGACAATGCAACACCTACTCTCAACGCTTCAATCCTCGGCCGTCGGTGGCTACCCTCTCGCGGCAGCAAGCTCAGCCGATTCGTCGTCGATGACCCCGAGCGCTCTCGCAACGCGGATCGAACAAACCTCGAGTACCGTGCGGGACTTGTTCAAGGAGAGGATGAGGGTCAAAGAAGGGGCCGAGATCGTGCGCAGCGTCTTGTCGAGCTGATTGAACGATGCGATATCGGATAGCTCTTCAGCAAGCTCGGCCATCAACGTGGAGGTGGACCGTCGTCCCAGTCACCTCGGCACCATCCTTGTCCTGCCAACGCCTTGCCCGTCCCGTATGGCGACGTGCTATCGGGTTCAGCCTCAACGAAGCCACGCTACAACTGCATTGCCGGGGGTAGGACCCGCCGAGGCTAAGGCCCGGTGCTAACTTTGACATCCCGGAGCGGTGATGCTCCGAAGTACGCACGAATTACACATTACCGCCCGAACATCACCACTGCATTGCGAAGACAGGCCAAGCTGAAAGCGCTGGGCTCGCCACCCCGGGACATCAAACTGTTTCGTTTTGTTCTTGGGATTAGGCAGTTGAGCTGATAGGATGATGATCCTTAGTGCAATCCAACTTCTTGCACCATCGCCGTTCGAGGTTGGACTCGGAGCCGACTGATTATTGCAAAAGGCAACATTGGTGTCGTTGACCCATGATTCGAAATTAGCCGCGGGCGTGATGTCCCGACGTTCGTACACTTCTCAGGGCTAGCTTCCTCGAGATTCGACACCCGAGAAACGTCGCATGGTCGTCGGACTACCAGGCAGTCGAATTTATTGCGTGCAACACAACGGATCTAAAGTAGGTGGAATGAATCGCCTGTTGCTGTCAATTTCCGAACTCATGCCTAGACTTTGCTAGACCCGCGACTTCCAGTGCCTCCTGTCTTGCGTTTTCGGGGTAGTCAGACGCCTGGAATGAGACTGTCAGTTGCGTGTGAAACCTGACACCGAGGTCTTCCTCTCTCTCCTGCGGCAATGTCGTCATCATCGGCCGAGTCACTATCAATAAGACCCACTACAATGTCTCCGGCGCTTGTCGATCCTGCTCGAACCCGCGCTTAATTTGAATTAAAGTCATACATTCCAGCTTGCCGCTCACTCTCCGTCCCCGGATTGCTACCCCTGTCGTGAGCGGAGGCCCCGACAATATGGGGTAATATAATGCGCTGCCGCGTGATTCTAGCGAACGTTTCCTGGACTTGTTCTTCCCTCACCCTCTTTTGTGCCTGAGTCGTCTGTTACCCCGAATCTCCCGCCGGATAGGCACCAACTCCATATCAACGTCTGGATTCGGTCGGTAGGTGGGCAAAGGGGGAACCTGGGGTCTCTGTTCGTCCATGCCCGAACGGCCGGACGCTCGCTCATCCATCGGCCGAAGAGTTTCGCGCGAGGCTCGGCTTTGCTGAATGAAGCCTGAAGTACGTGTTTGCCAATTGGTGAGGCACGTCCTTACTCCCGAGTCGAACTTCGTTGTCGTTCTTTCAAGCTCTGATAACTTGATGGCCCTACCATCATCATGGACATGACTTCATCACGCCCGATCAGCTGCCCCGACCACGTCCCAAGGCCTACAGTTGCCTCCGCCGCTGCTGCCAGTACCTCTCGGACCGGCTGGCAGATGCCGTCTCCTAGTTCCTCCGACGGCAGGAACCGCTCGCATCTATCCATAACACTCCCAAGATGCATCTCCCGCGCCCGGGACCATAGAAACAGCTTTGACGAGCTGTACGCCGTCGGACTAGCGTTGAATGGCGACGAGGACGGAATTGCCTACGTTCCCGACGGACCGAGGTCGTCGACGAATTTGGCAACGTTTTGCTCGTCGAGCGAAGGCAAGACGGCGTCCGTGAACATCCATGGCACAGCATTCGGACCATTGTCGCAGCTTGAAGTGAATATTTCTTCTCGTCATCACTCCAGGTACCACGCTCGACACCTGACGTACGAGGGAGACGATGTGACGAGGATCAGCACTACCGCGAACGCTTGCGTCGAAGACTTTGCACCGACGATCGACTCGCCGATCAGCCCTGGGACCCTCCTCCCACCTTTATTCGACGACAAGGAAGAAACCACCGTCCCTTCGGGTTCAGGTGTCACCTTGTTCGGGTCTTGGAACGGTTTCGACGCCGATGTTCTTGCACCTACTGGAGTTGCTCCTCGTGTGACGCTGCCCGTGTCCGCAGCGCCGCCGATCTTTGACTATGACGACGATCGTCATCGAAGTGAGACCGGGCGAGCCGGGGCTCGCTTGCCTTCGTGTGAGATCAATGGGCTTATAACGTAAGTCTACGAATGAAGGAGCACTATACGGACTGAAGGGTACGAGCTGAGCCCGATATCGCCCTGCTCGTGTGGCTCGTGTGTCCTCAGTGTGGAACCTCCGAGCCTGCCTCCTATCTCGATGACTACCGATTTAGCTCCTGGCGCACCATTCCTCCTCAGCTCTTCACCACGACATACTCCATCTCCTACCGAAGTATTTACATCCCCATCATCTAGCCACATTACCCGCTTATCTCGCGATCGAGCCAATTCGACGATCTCAGCTGTCACTTCGCTCGAATCGGCACTTCCTTCAGGAGCGCGCAGCAAGGCCTCTGTTGCTATGCGTAGGTGTTCGACTACGCCGCTCAGGTCGAAGCGAAGCAATTCAGACGAATTGAAGAAGGCACCCAGAGGTGCTTTCTCTAATGCTTTACTCGATTCGTTCCACCACCTCGACCGTCGAGGCTCGCTGCCCCGCGTCTCCGCATCAACTCCTCCCGAAGCCTCGACCCTTGGATCCAGCTTGGAAGCAGATACTTCGCTCGATCCTACGCAACGAGGCCGTTCCAACTCAGTCATCAGTCTCGCAAATCTCTCCACCGTCTTCGACTACGTCGGCCGATCCTTCACCCGTTCGCTCTCCCCCAAAGCTCATCATCCTTCGACGACCCCGGAACGCCACCGCCCTTCAACCCGTCAAAGAACCTGGAGTTTCTCCGGTGCCGCCTCTTCAATCCTCGGTGGTCCCTCCAGTTCGATGGCTCCCACGCATTATCGCTGGGAAGATGTCGTTTCGCTGAGCGCGAGATTTTGTACGTCCTCCGATTCTACGAGTGGACTTAACTCGTTCATGTTGGGTTTGCACGATATGGAACATGGTGGGAAGGCAAGGAGTTGGGATCCGCGAGTGGCTTGCTCAGCCGAGTCGGTCCGTACGAGCCCTTCGATTTCGTCTTTCTCCAACATCGAGCAAAACGGGGACCTTGATTTGACCTTCACGGATCGCTGGCCGAGGGCCGAGACATCATGGGGTGAACCGGCCCAAGTAGTCGTAGGCTACGTCGGGGGCTCGCAAAGTATGTTCTCGCCTCGCGAGTTGACACCACCTCAAGTGAGCAATCACCATATCCCCACACGGCCGAAATTCATTCACTCAATTTGAAAACGTTCTTCATCCTTCGTATCAGATCGTCGACAAGATCCTCAACCCTCCTTCCGTAACTTTCCCCATGAGCTCCCCTCGCTCCAAGATCTGAACGTGCGTTCTTTGCGCACATCATCAGGAACTTCCTCAATACTTCCTCGAAATTTCAATCATTCTCTGTGTTGTACCGTGCACATGCGTGTAATCGTGAATATGTGCCTCCTACTCTGTGGTAATATCTGTCTTGAATGTACATAAAACGAGCAGTACCGACTGCACGTGTTGAGGTTGCAAAAGTTCATTGCAGGTGATCCAGATCAGAGAGCATAGCTATGCTGTTGCCCCGCCGTACGTCTCGTTCAACAACCGGTACAGCAATGAGCTCGGATGACCCCCCCTGCAAGGATGAACAAAACAACGCATTAGCTCCGAGTGTATCCCATATCTGCATCAAAGGTTGGACCCAGCCCACGAAAAGACGTACAAGTTGGTGATATAAAGGCTGACCAATTCCGCCGGTACGACATCATAATAAGGGTTCAACACCTCCGTCTCATCGCCCGCATCCTCCCCTCCCACAGTCGAAGTCGGCATCTTCTTCTTCGCATCCGACGCATCCAACACTTCTTGCGGGGACCCCAAATCCCAAATCCCCCAATCGACTTCCCCCAAGTAAACGGGGGAGAATTTGAACATCCCACCAACGATCACGACGGGGACCCTCATTCTGTTGGCGGCGAGGGCTAGGGGGAGACTTCCGGCGATGGAGAGGAGGGCACCATCGGCTAGGACGAGATGAGGTCCCAAGAGGACTTTGGAGCATCGTGGGAGGAGGGCGAAGATGTTGGAGTCGGGAATGAGGATCGTCGGGATACCATGTTGGGATAAGGCGAGAGCGGTCTGACGACCCGAGTACGAGGGGGCCGTTTCAGCGACGAGGACGGTGAATTTGCGTTTGCGAGAAGCGGCTTTGAGGAACGACAGGACCGTTTGCGAGTGCCCAAGCGTCAAGATCGTTTCGCCCGAATGGATGTGGTCGATCGATTGTTCGCCTACGGATCGATAGGTGAACTCGACCTCGTCCATAAGTTCTTGGATCGCTTCGATAAAGACGGGTTTGAGGCTAAAGCTCTTTTTGGAAAAGTCGTCCTCGAGCGCGATCTGGACATGGGGGAGGGGCGGGGTCGCGAGTGAGGGAGCTCGAAGGGAAAGGACGGGGCGTTGGAGGATGACGGAAGCTGAGGGGGAGGTCGTAGGCGACGCGTTCTTGGACGAGGTGGGTGTCGACAGAGCCGAGAGAGGCTGAGAGGCGGCGAACGCCGAGGTCGTGGCCAATCCGGGGCTGGCGAGACCTGCCGAACCCCAAGCCGACGTCGAAGGGGATGCAGGCTTGTGGCCCAGAAGATCAAACATGCTTCCGAGCATCGAGCCTTGTCGGCCACCGCGCGAAGGTCCGGACAGGTCACGTTCGTTGAAGAAGGAAACGTTGGCGCTCGACTCGGGACCCAAGGCGGGTGTAGGTGGGATCGACATGGGTGTGGCTGGGCCGGAGGAAGAGGTCGCGTCGGCGAGGAAGTTGGACAGGGCGGTGGCGTACTCTTCTGAGATGAGCATGATGATGCGCCGTGTCATGTTGGTGATGACGAGTTCTGCGTCGGAAGGGGACGAGATTCGCACAGACGAGGGGTAGCGCCGGTCAGCACGAAGCCATGTCACCGGACCATGCAGGTATGGCGCATAGACCCGCGTAGGTTCGATGTGGGCAATACTGTTCCAGTGCGACGACCTGGACGTGTCCACGACCCAGGCCTGTGCCCCCGGCCGCTATCGTGTCGGCTCGGCGATGCGTCGAGTCAAAGAGCACGAGAGCCAGAGTCCTGAGCGGCTCACCTTTGGGCCCCGCATCCTGGAGCATTCGACCGATTTCATTGAGATGCTGCACGAGTTGAGGGAAGGTCGAGAACTTGGCTGCGGAAACGACTTCGCGTAAGAGTCGTACGACCTCGAGCGCGACTTGGCGAGAACCGATCAGTTGTCTGCGGGTGACGAGGAGGGCCTTAGTCTGCCCGCTGCTTTCGAGCGGTTGGACGCGTATTGCGATCTGACCTTCGTCGTAGTCGGAGTGCGAGCGCATCCGTCTTGCGCCACACATTGACCCGACTGACGGATTCGGTCGTCATGGGCTGCCGAGCGGAACGGAGGAACGGAGGAACGGAGGAACGGGTGTCAGTTCGGCCCCATCGCACGATAACCGTCCAAGAGGGGTCAGTTCTCACAAAGGCCATGCGATGCGACCCAACTTGAAACTGCTCAACGGGAGAGGAGCCGGTTGAGCGCAAGCGGATACGAGTGCCACAGCGGACGGGGTGCGCTTTAAACGGCTTTGAGCAGCTAGGAGCAGCTATTGCTGAGCAGCTCAGCGCCGCGAGGAGAGGGGAGGACCGAGCTCAAAATTGGCCGGCCAGCGAGTTCGCCAGCGACGGCTCAGTGCACTGCCAGCCTGGGGAGGCCTGGGGCAGCACTGGGCTGGACAGCGGCCTATTAGTATTACAGCGGCTGCCACTGGCTGCCAGCGGAGGAATCCCCGCGCGGGGGAATCGGCGGTCCTCGGCGGTCAACTCGACGGTGCACAACGACAGACAACGACTTGCCTCCTCCTTCCCCAAACCACTTCGGCCGGCAGTCCCCTCCGCCGGTGCGAACAGCAACTGTAGCCCCTCCTCCACTCCGGTACGACAGGAAAGCCATTCGTTCCCTTCCACTCGCGACTCGGACCACGTCACGTTCGGTGACTGGCCTGGCGATCTCAACTTCGTGCTCGAACGCTGGCAGTTGGGGCTCGTTCGCTCGGCGAGGCCAAGTGTACAAATCCACGGCGCGGGCCGCATATATCACATACATCAGAGGTTGCAACAGACGGGTATGTTGATTGCGACAGAATCACTTCAAAGCTGCGCACCTGCAGTGAACTGAACTGGTCGTCTCTCCGTCGTCCAGCCTTGCGAACCCTGACGTGTTCGTGTTCCGCGACCCAGCGAGCGGGGCAGATCACATCCATTCTCCCGAGTGGTCAGAGCTCGTACTAGTCCAAAGGGTTTCAAAAACGAAATCGGGTCGAATTGTACTGTGAAGCTCCGCCAAGCAGGATCACCCTGCAAGGTTGAACGTGCCTTCGTTTGGCGACCTTGCTGCGACTGCATCCCATCTCTCGGACCGCCTCACATCGGACAACACGGCGAAAAATCATATTCTGATTCAATCCCTGGTCTCTCAAGGAGAAGACGATGGTCCCGCGGCCAGCGCCATGGGTCCAAGGTCGCAAGTTTGGGATCGTCATCGATGCCGGCTCGTCTGGATCCCGAGTGCAGGTCTACAGTTGGATCGACCCAACCATCGCCAAGCAACAGCGTAAAGCCGAGAGAAAGACGCTCGAGGTGCTCAACAAGGTTGACAAGGGGGTTGAAAGTGGAGATGGGTGGCATATCAAGGTCGAACCAGGTACGTGCTGGTCGATTCTGAGCAGCAAATCTCGCCTCGGCGCTGACTCGACTTCGAACCCACACACACATCGGCAATAGGCATCTCTACCTTTGGGGAAACGCCAGGTCAAGTCGGTGATTACCTCAAACCTCTGATCGAGTTCGCTAAGACACTTGTCCCGGCAAGCCAACTCGATTCGACGCCGATCTACCTCCTCGCCACGGCGGGCATGCGATTGCTGCCTCGCGACCAGCAACGCGCCGTGCTCGACTCGACATGCGCCTATCTTCAAACATATCCTTTCAAGGTTGACGAATGCGACCAACAGGTTCGGATCATTACAGGAGAGGAGGAAGGTTTGTACGGATGGGTCGCCGTCAATTATCTCATGGATGGTTTCGACACCCATGATCACGCGGCGAAGTTGGGCCACAAACACTCTTCGACGTACGGCTTCCTCGACATGGGTGGTGCATCGACACAAATCGCTTTCGAGCCGGCTGAAAAGGAACAAATCGCCCATCGCGATAATCTGCTCGATGTCAATCTCATGCTCCTCAGTGGCCGGACAGTGTCCCATCCCGTCTTCGTCACGACATGGCTCGGCTTCGGAACGAATCAAGCGAGAAACAGATACATCGATGCTACGATCAAGAGCCACATTCGGATAGCGGACAAGAACGACGAACCTCATCCGAGCAAAGCTCTCGACGCCGAAGGGTTGGGGTCGGAGCGACCTATCGTCATTGTCGAGGACCCATGCTTGCCCAAAAACCTCTTGCTTCGGGAAACACGGCATTCTGGCTATACGCTCAAAGGGACGGGCGATTTCGCCGCTTGTGTGCGGCAGACGGGCCCGTTGTTGAACAAGGAGGTCGAATGCCTCGACCAGCCGTGCCTTTTCAACGGCGTGCACGTGCCACCGATCGATTTCTCGGTCAATCACTTTATCGGCATCTCGGAATATTTCTACTCGACCCATGACGTGTGGGCGCTCGGAGGGATGTACGACTACGTCGAATTTGAGAAGAACGCGATCGAGTACTGCGCGCGGGAGTGGGATGAGATCATGGCCGACCACAAATCGGGCAAGAAGTGGAAGCAAGGGGTGCAGTTGACGCGGTTGGAGACGCAGTGCTTCAAGGCCGCTTGGGTCGTCAACATCCTTCATGAAGGGATTGGGATACCGCGGATCATCGATCAAGGTGGTGAGGGGGATGGCAAGAACATGACGGACAAGGTCATCAGCAAGACCATCGACAAGGGGCTCGCATCCCAGCCTTCGTTCCAAAGTCTCAACGCCGTCGGCGACGTCGCCGTCAGCTGGACATTAGGCAAGATGGTGCTCGAAGTCGCGCGCGGATCGACTCAAGCACCGACGATCAACCCTAAACGACCTCACTCCCTCGACTGGGCCAAACCGCGGATACCGTCGTGGGCTAATGGGGACGTCAGGTCGACGCTGGCGGGGATCAAGGAGGACCCTCTTCCTCTCGTCGGGGCCTCGCTCATCTTGTTCGCATTGTGGTTCGTGCTCTGTTCGAAGTGCGGTATTCGCAAGCGTGTGCCTCTCGTCGGGGTGTGTTTTTCGTCGAAGCGAAGAAACGACTTCAATGCCGTGCCAAGCGACGATCCTGGCTTCAACAGTGGAGACTCTGGGAGCGGCTCAAGTCGGTCACCACCGCGCGGATCCCAATCGCGACGCACGAAATCCAACTCGTTCGCCCAAAAAACGTGGTTTCCTTTCCGCTACCCGCTTTTGCGAGCTTCCTCCGCAGTACAATCGCTGTTCCGCTTATCTCGGAACGGTACAGGGTCGTTGCTCCCGACTTTGCGCAGCGGCAATGGGAATGGAAACGGCAACATTCACGAGATGCGACCTCGTCCTCCTCGGTCCAACAAGCCGGCGCCCTTCATGCGAGCCGGCACGGCGTCGAATGGCACTCCGCAAACCCAGGCGGGCTGGAACGACGTCCCCGAGCGCAAAAACTCGACCCCCGTTGGCGCCTCCTCGCACGCTCTCTTACCCCCCCTGGTTCGATCAGGATCAGGAAGCGTCCTAACCTCGCGTCAGCTGTCGGCCTCGCCACCCCCTTTGACAATCGTCATCCCCGCCTCTCCACTTGCGACCCCGGCACCGGAAACACCGCCAAACGGGGTGTTTCCCAATTCGCGACCGACAACACCTTCTTCGCATCGTACCAGCAACGGTCTGTCCAAGCTCACGGCGCGCTCCAACACCTATACTCGCGAACGAGGCACCTCGGACGATTTCTCCACTCTCGTCGGCAATGGCGTCCTGACGCCTTCGGCCATTTCTCCATCGCGCAACCGGTACTTTGCGATCTCTGATAACCCTTACGGAGCGACTTCGACGCCTCCCTGCGGAGCAGCTCTGCTATCTTCAACGACTTCGAACCAATCGATGGGACCGAGCAATTTGGCGAACGCGGTATGGGAATCGCTCGGCAGTGGTAGGATACCGTCTTCGAGTACAGCAGAAGAAGTCCCCGGCACGAACAACTACGTCGGCGCAGGAGCTAGCAGTTGGAACGCTTCTGTTGGCGGAGGTATGGCTAAGTTGAGGGCGAGCAAGAGTCAGAACGGGAGTCAGGTCAACCTGAATGCGTTGGCGAGTAGTTCGAACGCTCAAGGGACTGGTCGATGATCGCCTCTTCATACACGGACGGTTTTTTCTGTTTATACCCCTTTTATCGCGCTCCTTCTTGAGGTCTTATGTATGGTTGTACAATAATGTTTTCTAGTGGCAATACAACACATCCGCAGCCAAGTCTTTTTTTTGGTTCCCCGCACCTTCCTGATCGAGTGATTCACCCACGCGTCGAACTCGTCGGCCTCTACGCGTCGAGACGCGTCGCCGCAGACCGTAATGGGCCCTCCCCAGTCGCGGCTGCTCGGGAAGCACCCTCTCTCGCTCGGGAGCTCGGTGCGACCTCTCTTCCTGTCCCGTACCGCGTCCAACATCAACGACTAGTCTCTACGCATACAACGAACAACCCTCGTCTCACGCTAAGCCTTCGCCGAGGATTGGGAACACTTCCGAACGCGGGGTTTTAGGAGGTCCTCTCGCCTTCGCTTGAAGCCAAGCCCGAGCGTTGCGCACGTCCGCAGGTAGCCCCAGAACACGTCTACTGGGCCAATCGTGTATCAGTCGCCCCTTCCACGTATTCTATTGAGCCCGACACACAAAGGGCTGGCTCTTCGGTCGATTCTTTCTCGTGGAACATTGCCCGGACTCCGCTAAGGTACGAACTCGGGGCGGTGATATTTGGCGACTCGGCGGGTGCGCAGGCCGCACGCGCCCATTGCGCAGATCACGTGGTGGGCTATGGCTAACGACCACGGATGTGCCGAGATGCTGACACTTGCCTCAACTCGACCCTGCTAGGTACCACCACACACCACGATGACGTCGTACTTTTCAAGGCTAGCGCCGGATCTTTCAAGGTCCAAGCCGAGCACCAACCTTGCGATCCCTGGCTCAACGTCATCGTCCTCGTCGAGCTCAGTATCAAGAAGCCCTCTCCCCTCCCCCTCCCGACTCCTCTTCGGTCGTCAAGCAACAAGCACAATCCCCATCGACCCCTCCGATACAGACGAGAACCGTGATCTCGAAGACAACAAGATCAAATGCTCCGATTGTCATGCCTTCATGGATGTGACTCAATTGGGCGAACATATCTGTAGCGAATCCCCTCCGTCGACCGGAACGACGATGCCTAGCCACAGTACGGCGGAGGTAGTCTCACCTTTTTCAGTCTCAAGGCTGGCGAATGGATTGAAAAGACAGGTGCCGAATAGGTTACGGATCGATGTGACGGCTACGAAACCGTCGGAATCGGTTGGAGCCTCGACAGGTGGAACGACGGCGACGCATGTGCCTCTCGGTCCGAAAGGCGCGGTCGTGCAGTCAGGGTCTCAAAGTGGTCCGTCGCTTTTGGACCGGCATTATACTGATAATCTACTGTTGGACTGATTACGTCGGTCTCTCGCCTCCTTTACTATCTCGTTTCCAGGCTATCTGAGCGCGAAAGTGAACAAATCGCACTTTGATGCCTCGCAACCCGCGGCCCCGAACTACCTCCCTCGCTCGCCATCAGCAACGTCGGTCTCGTCGAGCTCGTCGAATAAGCTACCCTTTTTCGAAAAGTACCAGCGACTTAACACCCCAACCGCATCATCGTCGCCCACGACAACAGGGTTGTCGCGCAGCCCCAACTCGGATGACCTCGCTGCCCGAGCCAACTCCCGCCAGCCTGTGTGTCCGACGACGAGTGCCCATTTGCCGACCCCGGAGGCTACGGGAGGAATGTACAGCCTTCCGAACAACGGATCGTCTCGGTCACTCGCATCTGCTGGAGCACTCAGTGTCGGTTTGGGCAGCGGTCGCGCTTCCGCGACCCGTGACCCTTCTCCCCAACCCTCGGTTCGTAGTCTTCAGTCGAATGAATCGCGCTCCTCCGACGCTCGTCCGAGACGGGAGAACTCAAATATCACTGCGGCATCGTCGGTCTTGTCGAGTAGCCCACCTCGCTCGAGGCATATCGTCGTGGACGAACGCCGCATCGTGCCGGCCGAAGAATTGCCATCACCCGACCACGACGATTTCTTCTCGGCCTACGACGATCATCGTCGTGCGACCCTCAAAGCCTCTCATTCGACTCCGAATGATCTCGCTTACTACGGTCAAACGAATCCAGCTCATGCGCCGAAACCAAAACCGACGCCTTTGAAGCAGTCGTCCCTTCAGAGTCGAGCGACGCCCGAACTCGATTCCTCCGGGCAGTCGACCCCTGCGATCTCCATTGGGATGACGCGCAGCAAGGGTTCGAGCCAATCTCTCGATGACTGCCTGGAGGATTTGCGCCTGATGACCGAGTCGGACGAAGAGGAAGATTACGATCCCATCCCGAGCGAGTACTACGATCGACGATTGACCTGTTCGGGACCTTTCGACGAGGACATTGAGCTGGAGCGAACCCCGAAAGTCTCTACGGCGTTAACACAGTCGCGTTCGACACCGGCTTTGAGCTCATCGGCGGCATTGGCATCGATCGTGGGATCTGGGTCGTCGTCCACAAGAGCTCCTCACTCGAGTTCTAGTCGCAACGGAAGCGAAGCCAGCATTTTAGCATACAAACCCACGTCGTACCAGCCGCGCGGCTTGTCCTCAACGACGGCGGTTAAAAGCTGCACAACATGTCGACGCGATCTTTCCCACGATCTCAAAAATATCCAAAAAGCCGGTGACGGTCAAGTCTTTTGTCGGAGTTGCTACGCCGAGCGGTTCCTACCCAAGTGCCGAAAATGCTGCCGAGCGATCGAAGGTGGTGCCGTCACGTCGAGCGATGGCAAAGTCCTTGGTAAATATCACAAGGACTGCTTCACTTGCTTCACTTGCTCGGTCCCTTTCCCCAATGGTGATTTCTACGTCTACGACCACAAGCCGTACTGCCAGATGCACTACCACAAACTAAATGGCTCGTTGTGCGCGAACGTGCGCTGCGGACAACCGATCGAAGGTCCGTGCGTCTCGCTCGTCGGCGTCGAGAACGGTGGCGGGGGACGCTACCACGTCGATCACTTTGTATGTTCGCATCGGACGTGTGGGATAGCTTTACTCGAACACCACTTTGTCGTCTCAGGTCTTCCTTTTTGCGAGCGACATGCCGAGGCGCTTTCCCCCCGACTACCGATGGCGCCGACGGCTGGGTTTTCGAGGTCGAATCCTCTGGCTGGCAACAATGGTCGCTCGGACCCAACCCCTGCATCGACAACGCGAGCCAAGAAGCGTCAAACCATCATCACTCGTCGTTAGATCGGGATGTACCGTGTTCCTAGGAGCTTCGGCGCAGATTTTTTCTTTCGCAAACTCGCCACGTCGACGTCACCGAAACTGCGCACGTACCCGCCCGCCAGCTGCTAGCGCAAGATCGTCGATGTTTGCCCTCCCCGCCTCGGCATCCCCATTATCGCCCCGCACGTATTGCCGTACCCCGAGTTCTCACTTCCCCATCTCCTGACTTTCATACGCCAATATTTCACACGCCAGCCTTTCACACGCCAACATTTCTTATTATCTGCGTTCAGGACTCGTCTGTCATCTCGTAACCTTTTGCACACCAATATTTCTTGATGTCTGCGTAGGCAGACCTAGTCACGTGCGCTACCCAACTTCGCTTCACTCGCTTCGCCTATTCGCGCTCCCTCGATTTCTCTCGATGCTCCTCTTTCACAGCGGCCCTGATTGCCAGTTCTAGCTAGATTGCCCTTCTGCACCTCTTCTTCTCCGTATCGGTCTTGCCCTCTCTCTCCAGCGGTGCATAGCCCCGTCTTCTTGTGTAAGAATCCAGCCGAAGGTTTCGTTGTCAAAAAGTGGGGGTCCCCAGCCTGGAAGTATTATTGAGCGTCTGGACGGGATTTATGCAACACGGCGTTCAGTTGCAACTTTTGAGCTCGGACCTACACAGGTGCAGTTCACCGAACTCGCCGAGTTAAAATTCTGGCCGCTGTGAAAGTAATTGAAACTGAAATCGGCGACTGTTCACAGCAACTACTCTCTTGACATCATCATCGAACTTGGTCTGTCTTCGATCGTCGATACGGCTATTCGAACGCGAGCAGGGCGGGCGGAGGAGTTGCAACCATTCCGACACACACTTGCAATTCCTGTTGGTCGTCCAATCCCGCTCAGGCTCCACTTCGCGATCCGGGGCAGTTGGTACTTGAAGCTTGAAGCTTGAAGCCTGAAGTTCGCTCATCGCCGAATCGTGGTTCGGCCGGCACGGGCGTCGGCAGAGGATTGTTTTCTGGGGCGGCTGACTACTGCGCGCCTGATGGGCAGTAGTAGTAATAGTGGGCCCGCTTCGGAAACTAGCGCGTGAAACGTTCCCCGAACTCGACGGACGACAAGCTGGCCGCTCGGGGTTTTTTTGAGCCATGCCCTCGACCGAAGAAGCTTCGGCGAGCGAGTGTCTTGGTTGCTCGAGTCGAAAGGACTATAGGTGGGTAGGGGGTAGATTAACCCGTGTATAATAACTTGCCTTGTTTGCCATCCAAAACTCATGCAGCAAGCCATTTGTTGTTGCTGCCAAATAAAGTTGGCTCGATAAGCGCAAGATCGACTCGAAGTAGTGTACCTAACGATCGGGCATGAAAAAGGACCCAAATCTTACTCGAACGCCCGTGCATCGCTGTCAATTACAAGCTCAGCGGTAGCTGATAAGAAGCAGACATGCAATGCACTAGCTACTGATGGGCGGTGCAAGGGCACGTTCCAGGGCACGTCTTTGGCCTACAAGGGGGAGGAGATTGTGGTTTTTCGCATTTGTCATTTTTGGAGGCAAGGGGAAGGGGAGCGACCTGATCAAAAAGATTCCTTGATCAGCTTGCTGATCAACTCGAGCTCGAGCTCGGCAGTCGGTCGATCGGCCGGCCAGTCGCGGCGTCTGAAACAGGGTACATACTCGGCAGGCACGGCGCAAGTGCAATGTGCATGCATCGAGCGCCGACGGGCTAGAAGATAGAATTTCTCGGAGCTGCTACGGGAGCGTGTGGTGTAACTCCTGAATCGAAAATCCTTCAGAAGAAGTTATTCATAGTATCTTGGGGGCTGACACCAGTGTAAAGTTGTGGTGCAGCGTCAGCTATACACTGGTTCGCCGTCGGCCCGTCGCCCAGTTGGCACTGCATCTGCGCGCAAGAAGCGATTCTGCTCCGAGTCAGTGCTTAGAATGGCCATTGACGGCACATCGGCGGCCGAAGCCTCGAGAAAATTTGAAGTAATATGGAATTCAGGTACGAGAGCTGTGACTCGAGCAAGCAAGGTCCCCTGTCTCACCTGTAGCGAGCAGCAAGCTCGAAAGGTGAACTCCGGACGAGCTGACCTGCGCTCGGATTACGTAGGCTGGGTTGCAGCAGCCGGGCGTATGGGCGAGCGCCCAAGCCGACTCTCACGCTCTCTTACGGCAGGCGCAATGGCAGCTGGCCGTTGACTCTCACCCACCTTCGTTTCCACACTGGCTCGCGCTTCGCTTTGAACCCTTGCACAGCAGCGACACAGTTATTGACACGACAGCTCACGACTGACGACCTAGGTGTGCCATTACTCTTAGCTTCACGTGGATAGATAGACAGGATCCGACTGGCAGCTCGGATCGGCTCAGACTCGACTCGACTCGAACTGGAGCGCGCGATCGAGTCTCGGGCGGCCGACCCACGACGAGCAGCGTCGAGCAGTGAGCAGGCAGGAGGGCGTCGTAGGGAGCAGCACGGTGATGCTTGCTCGATCAGGGCGAATCGATTCATTGAATCAGGTCGCGAATGGTCTCACGATGGCCCTGGATGCGCACCCGACCGATCTGAAGCGGTCCGGGTCTTTGGTGCGACGCCCAGCGCACCAGCAGCACCAGCCGCCGCCGCCGCCCCAGTGCCAGGAGCCCCAGCAGGCCCAGCTCCAGCACCAGCAGCATCAGCCGTTCCAGCGGTCGTCCGCCGCACCGTCGCCCGTCGCAGGCTCATCGGGCACATCCCCTGCCTCTGCATCGACTCTATCACCCTGGTCCAATCTGACCCCATCGACGAGTACCCACGTCTCACCGACGCCGTCGAGCCACTCGAGTTCGACCTCGGTGTCGAGCGCCGGCACCGCGTCGAGGAACTCGGGCTTTGTCGTCACATCCCGTGCGCGAGACTATCAGCCTCGGCCACCGAGCAGCTCCGCGCCGCTCGAAGTCGCTGACGGCCACCATGATCCCATCGCATCGACCTCGGCTTCGACTTCGAACTCGACATATTCGATTACCTCGTCCTTAACACCGCCCGCATCGACCTCACGAGCCACGCGCCCGACGGTGACAACCCACAACAGCCGCCAGCCCCACCCGTCGCCCTTCGGCCGCAAGCCGTCCGACTCGTCATCGAGAAGCGGCCACGGCGACGGCGCGCCTCCGAACCCAAATCTCGTCGCCTCACCCGACTCGAATGCCCCCAAGACGACGCTGCACCTCTCGAGCTCGATTGACGCGCATGGGCGCCGCATGGTCAACCAGTACGTTCGCCTCAAGACGATCGGCCAAGGCTCGCACGGCAAAGTATGGCTCTGCGCCGAACCGATCGTGCCCGAAGGCGACGAGGACGACGAGAGTGACGATGCCAAGCGTGACGAAGACAATGCTTTGTTCGACGAGGACATCGTCGCCGCTGCTGCCCGACGGATGAGCAAGGGCAAGGGTTCTCGAGCTGACCGTTGGGAGCACGAGATCGAAGCCGGCAACGTCCGCTACTGCGCCATCAAGTCCGTCGCACGCGAAGGGACCGGTCGAGGCAAGAGTTTACGCGCCGCTAAAGGTCGTAAATCGTCCTCCCAGACGAGTGGTGGTATTGGTGCCGACGACAAGGTCAAGCGCGAGGTCGCCATCATGAAGCAGCTCGATCACCCCAACATCGTTCGCCTCAAGGAGGTCATTGATGATGCCAAGAGCAAAAAGGTCTTCATGGGTACGTTTCCTGCGTGTCCAGATGTGTATCTCGAGTTGTGACGGAAGCTGATCACGCACCTTTCCTGCACACAGTCCTGGAGTTCATGTCGGGAGGCCAGATCGCGTGGCAAGACGATAACAAACAGCCAACCATGTCTGTCAACGAAGCAAGGCGTACTTTCCGTGATGTTGTGCTGGGACTCGAATACTGTGAGTGTGCTGGAATCAGTGCCGCTGTGTGACGCATGTCTGACCACCCTGTACGGACTTGCCTCCCAGTGCACTACCACGGAATCATCCACCGCGATATCAAGCCAGCGAATCTGCTCTGGAACGACGATCACAGCGTCGTCAAAATATCGGATTTCGGAGTGTCGCACGTCTCGGAGGCCCTGCGGAGAGCTTCGCCGGATGCTCAGCAGGATGGATCGAAAGAGGGCACCCCCAAAGGCGACGACGACAAAGCGCTTCGAAAAACGGCTGGTAGCCCTGCTTTCTTTGCGCCAGAGCTTTGTCACCCCAGCGATTACACGCCGACGCCGACGGGCAGTGTCTACGAAGCCTCGATAGGCGGCGGTACCTACTTCCCCTCCGGTGCTCGGGATTCTCCCTCGCTCGCCTCGAATTACGGAGCTGCGTCGACGCCGAGCGGCCAAGTTCCGGTCGAAGTCCAATCAACGGCACCGAACGGCCTTCCGCTATCCCCTTACTTCATCTCCAAACCCCTACTGCCTCCAGACCCCTCGAGACCGCGTGCTCGCGCCCCGATTGCCCAAGGCATCGACGTCTGGGCGCTCGGCGTGACCCTGTACTGCCTGCTCTTCGGCGACACGCCCTTCATGGCCCGTACCGAGTACGAGTTGTACAACATCATCGTCAAAGAGCCTGTTCAAGTACCGGCAGTGATGGGTGTGGAGAGGGCGTGGTCTGGCGTGGGTCCGGCGTGGGCAGGAGCCGCCGACGGAGTTGAGGGCCGCGAAGCCGTCGATTTGCTCTCCCGATTGCTCGAAAAGGATCCCAGCAGACGCATCACGCTGCCTGAGGTCAAGGTGAGCCGCGACTCAGGTGACCACGAAGAGCATCTTTATCTTCACACTGACATTTGCATCTGCTCGACGACAGAAACATCCTTGGGTGCTTCGCAATCTCGAGTCGTCGCCGGACTCATGGCTGTACGAGACCGATGTCGGCAAGTCCGAATCCGTCGTTGTGACCGAAGAGGATGTGCAGCACGCGACACAAGAGCGTGGGGCTTCCGACACGCTGCCTGCAATTCGCAACGGACCCGGCATCCGACGTGCCCTCAGTGCGGCACTCGTTCGTTTCCCTGGGTTTGCTCGAATGAAGCGGATCGAGCGAACGCCGAATGCGGTACCGAGGTCCCGTTCCAAGAGCGGTAGTTCGAACAGCCAAAGCATCACCGACGCGCCGACGCGAACGCCTTCGCATTCGAGCCGCCACTCCCCCGATGACAACACGACCCGCAAGAAGACGAGTCTTGACTTCGGCATGGACCTCCGTCGCATGCTTTCACGTGAAGTATCGGTTTCCGGAAGTGGGCGCAGCGCGAGTCCAGCCACTGCGAACGGCCGGGGAGGGTGGGGCAATCTCGGAAGACCTCGGCAGGCGTCGGGACAATCCCTCGAGGGGACACCGACGACTCCGTCCTCGCCTTTACCCGTCAACCAAGCGTTCGTGGACCCTGAGCTCTGTCGCTCGTCGTCCACCTCCTCGCTCCGCAACGTTCGCGGCGGATTCTCCTTTCAGCGCCCGAGCGGCCTGCGCAAAACCTCGGGGGATCCCGTTGAATCGGCTGCTGCTGCTGCTGCCGCGTCGCACCCTCCTTCTGATCAAGAGTCAAGCGGTCGTCGAACCCTCTCGCGCATGCTGTCCAAACTCGGCGGAGGCGGTAGCAGCAATCGCCGTCTCAGTCGCCAGGCCTCGACCTCGGACGAGGAGGCCGCTGCGCACGGAGTCCACGCTGTCATACTCGAAGGTGCCCCCGCAGAGCGCTTCGGCAATGGAGGCGAAAAGTACGACTCTTTCGGGCGCGTCGTTCGTTCCAGCACCGAAGACGTCACGCCCTCTTCTATCCAGAACGTGGCCTCCGAAGCCCATCGAGAGCGGGATGAAGACGACGTGATCGACTTGACCGAGTTCGAATACTCTGAATCGGATGACGACGACGATGTTGATGATGACGATGACGATGACGATGATGACCACTTCCTTGCATCACCCCTTGCTCAAGCGGACAGCATCACCGGCTGGAGTGGGGACTTTGCCCCTTTCAACGTCGAGTGGCCGGGTGACAACGGAACAGCCCGAATGGTTCACGAGGTCGAGGCCAGCGAACATGACGACCAATACGGCATGCGACGAGGCAAGCATAACCCTGCCTCTCTGAAGACTATTGCGGACTCTACTCCTCGCGGCTCAATGCACCACGCGCTCTCGTCGAGGGCAGTCGACAACTCGGAACCATCGCCCACGCCACCGCCTCTGATACGCGAGCACTCGGCCTCTCCCAGCCGGTCGTTGAACAAGCTCAGCATCGGTACTATGGAGCAACCGAGCCTGCTTCCGGAGGTTGCGAAAGAACCGAGTGCGCGCGGCTTGTCGGCTGGACCGGTCTTTAGCTCGCGCAAATGGGAAGCCTTTGCCGATGCCGAGGAGGAGGACGACAATGAGGACGAGGGCATATTAATGGCTCCTCGTCGCCGTCGTGCTGCGACCATATCAAACACGCCACCTCTCGCCTAGAGCAAGGATCAGCCTAACCGAGGACAATGCGTCTTTTCGATACCCCGATCCCTTGCGGCTCCACTCCTCCCACTTCCCCGCTCCACCCACTCCATCCACTCGCGTTGTACCACTATCTGCATATACCTGTGACCATCATTCATATGTTTGTTGCTTCAGCCCACTCGTTCAAAATCTGGGTCACGAATGTCCACCACCAAAGCGTACACACTAGCTCTCGACACTTCCTTGACCTGTTCCCTCGCTAGTGTGCCTCAATCGTTAGTGGCCCTTATTCTGTCTTCTTCTCCTTTCTTTCTGTTCAAATTAGTTGGTCCGTTCTTCTTTCGACACGCGCAACGCCTCTTAGAGGGCCGCTGTCGGCCCTCATTTTTCTCTGCTCGCGCATCCCTAGCTTGCGGTTCCTGTTTCATAGACTCCATCCGCAGTCGTTCTCCCGATACAGACGTGTTCATTCGGACGATCTTGGCAACCTCAGAAACGAGCATTGAGCGGGCTCTGATTACAATGCATCGTTACCCGGGAAACGGTCCCTACTTCTTCCTCACAGCATTCGCGCCATGCATTCTGCGCTTCTTGAAGCCGCTTGCCACCTTGAGCTTGTCCTGTCCCTCTTCGGCAATGGAGGGTTTAGCAACATCACCCTCTTCCTGTTTCACCTCCCCTTCAGCTTCCGGAGGTTCCTCGAACTCCAACAACCCCTCTTCACCAACCTCAACCTGACTCCACCCATTCCCTCGTTCCAGTTTGGCTCTCTTCCTCGTCTCCTCAATCTCCTCCTTGATCCTCTTCTTCTCCCTTTCTCTCTCGTCAATCTCTTGCTGTTCCTTGAGCGTCAAGATCTTACGCTTCAATTTGACGGGTCCGACTTTGCTCGGGTCGTAATCGTCTTTGTCGGCTGCGTAGGCTTTTTCGTTGAGGTATTTTGGGGCGGCCTTTGGTCGTTCTTGTTCCGGTTCTTCAGGCTCGGCACCTTGTTCGTCTTCTCCTTCTTGTTTGACCTCGGTCTCTACTTTGACCCCGTTCGTATACCCAGGCGAGTTCTGCATCCATTGAGGAGGAGGAAGGACCACGCGCGCGTTCATCGTAGTCACCCCCGACGTCGTTGACAAAGGTTTCTTCTTCTTCACGACCTCCCATTGCCCAATGACCCCCTCGGTCTGCCTCGTCTCTTTATCCTTCTCCCTCGCTTCGATCGCAGGATCGACAATGACCGGCTCGTCTTTGAAGCCTAGGTCTGCGGCGGTCGTATAGGATGCGAAAGGATCGGGGGGACCTGCCGGGGTTGGTTTGGAGGTGGAGGCATGGGGGGTTGAGGAGTTGCCTTGGCCAAGGTCGAGGGAGGAAGAGCCCATCGCCAATCGTGCGGCCTACGATGTAAGGGCAACACACAAACCTCATCAGCTTCGATCCGAAATCCAAACCGAAAGGAAAAGCCACTCGACTACGGACTTTTTCGATCCTGGCCATCTCGTCGGCCTCCTCCTTCTTCTCCCTCTTCTCCCTCTCGCCACGCTTATAGATCTCCCTGATGTACCGCTCATAATGACCCTTATGTTTGAGACCGGTTTCGTGGTGAATGCGCGAGGGTTTGTCGTCGGCGATGTAGATGGAACAATATCTGGGGCAAGGAGGGAAAGGGTTAGGGGTGCTGGAACGACGGGGAGGTGTGGGCAGTGAGGAAGGGGACTTGCTTGCACCAGTAGCGGTCTTTGGAGATCCAGTATTCGGTCCTGGTTCCAAGTGTGAGGATGAGGTACGTGTCAGTTCTTGGCCGTGCACGAGAATGTGGATGGACTGCGAGCGTGGCTTGAGGACAGCGACCCAGGCAAGTCGGCGCAGGAAACTCCAGTCACGCCAGCTATGGAGTCGAGTCGAGTCGAGAGGGTCACCTGAGGGCAGTTGGGACGGAGTGAACTTACATGGTGGCCTGACGACGATGACCCAACACTATCCAGCGGGGTAGGAGGCCACGCCGAACGGGGATCTTTCGCGCGGGGGCCGTCCGGGGCCGTCTCCCGAGTCTGAATGTATGCACTCGTCGTTGTCATCGCCGTCGCCCTCTTCCTCCGCGCAGACGCAGCTGTTCCGTACACCGCAACCCGCAACGGCATGTCGAACCTCATCCCGTCCACATTCCGGAGTACGCAATCACAAGCTCCCGTTCGTTCGGGCGACTCTCCCGGCGCACTGGCCTCGACCGAGTGCGAATTTTGTCGTCTCAGCGGCACCGCGACCTTTGCCTTCGTCAGTCTGTACGCCTTCAACCAGGCTCGCAAACCTCCCTATAGACCGCTGGGGAGGATTGTGGCCGTTTTGGGGGGAACAGGTGCGTTTGCACAGGTTTGACGAGGCGAACGATGTCATGTGCTGACCCGGCCCATTTTAGGTTTCTTGGCCGCTGCGGTGGGGAGATGGAATGTCGTTCAGTCGACACCACCGAAACAAGATGAACCAGTTACGTCTCGGCTGTGACGAGTTCGTTCGCTGGGATGCCGCCGAATGGTCACCGTTACGCAGTGGATCCAAAACTCGCGCACCGTGCTGGCCAACACGAACCGAGTGTAAAATCGCCGCCGCCCGTGGACTCGATGCCCAAATCCGCTCGCACTGTCGTGGTCCTCTGCAAGATCGACGCTTGGAGAGGTCGAGGCTCTCAACTTCACACTTCAAGCGCACTTCCCGCAAAAAAACACTCTTATCGGCGGATTCAACGTGATCATCCGATGTCCGGTCCCGAACTTTGCGAGATTCGACCCTTCCCGGGCAAGCTTTCGATAAACACAGCCCCTGGCTTGTTTCAAGATCCCAGCTCATCCTCGACGTTTTTGATGAAACCCACCGATCACGAAGCGAGAGAAACGTTCCAGCCTAGCTGCCTCGATCTCGCCGCCACCAGAGCATCGCCGAGACTTCATTTCGTGAGGCTGAGCCCTCCTCGACTTGCGATCCAATGCAACTAGTGGAGCTACTTTGCCGAAATCTGATACTTGGGAATGCACTCACCTCGACCCTTGTCACTGAACCCCGGAGAAGAAGTGCCCAGTTTGGACGCAATCCAATAGTATTACAATGTACCGTGTATCGACGAAATCCAAACCCATCTACTCGATTCTTGATCGTTGTGTCCCTCTATCGTCGTTCTTTGACGAGCACAACAAGAGCGACAAAGGAAAGTGCCGTAAAGATGACAAATACGCTCAACAGGAAGGTCATGTCGGGAAACCAAAAGGCCTGTTGGGGGGAGGGCAAAAGAAAGTGTCAGTCGACGATCGGGACTTGTCGACTTCTCTTCGAGACAGCTCACCTGGGCGTTGAAACCAAACATGGAGAGGATCGTGGCTGCGGGGACCTCGATATCGACACCGTCTGTTACACGTGAAGAGAGCTTTCTTGATCAGCGCTTGACAAATACAGGGTGCCGTAGGAGAAGAACCTACAGCGATGATCCCTCAACTGAAGGTACCGGACTTCGTTGACGAGGAACGCCTCGAAAGCGGCGTGGAAGAAGGACGTCGTTTCGAGCCACTGCAGCCACCATGGGAGCTTGTCGCGGTTGATCAACAGGCCGGCGAAAAGTAAGCTGTGGTCGAAAGAAGAAAATTCAATGCCTTAGCTGGATGCCGGGGACATGACGAAAGAGTCAAAGCCACGACTGACTTGAACAACATAATCAAACTTCCAATCAAACTGGCGACTCCAGCGTCCTTGATGATGACCGAGAGGAATAAGACCACACTCGAAGCACTAAGGTTGAACGCGACGAGGACCATAACGAAACGCCAGAACGAATCGACGGTCGGCACGAGGCCCACGGGCGAGTAGATAATGGCCGCAAAGACGAAAGGCGGGATGACACGCAGGGGGACGATGTCGAAGAGGAGCTTGGCGGTGAAGTACGCTGCTGGGGTATAGTATCCGTTCGCTCGCTCTCGGGTGAAAAGTAGGCGTTCCGCAGCGAAGGCGTCCAGGGTTGTGAGACAACTGAAGCCGAAGAGGGAGAGGCAGAAGAAGCCCAGCCCCATTCGGTTCTGGAAGCCGGGGATGTCCTCGCTGTTTGGGCATGTCTCACCGTCACGTAAATATCATGAATCTCAAGTCAATACCCGAGCATGAACTCACGTTAATCCTCGAAACAAGAAGGCACAGATCCCTGCGAGCACACGTCGAGAGAAATCATTAGCGGCACCTTGCGAGCCTCGCTCGCACCGGATGCTCACCTGCAACAACAACGGCCACAGCGTAGTGTGCGAGCATCAATTGCGGGTTGCGGTACAAGTTCTTGAATGACCTTCCACTCAAGATCTTGAACTGGGTCCACCCATTAGCCCGCTTGAAGTTGTGCAGCACGACCCTTTGGCCTTGGACGTGGCCATTCTCCCGCGCCGCCGAACCGGCAGCTGTGATCTCTGAACGCGTCGCGGCGGCAATGTCACTCTTGGCGAAAGCGTCGACGAGCCGAGTCAGCCTGAGAGGAAGCTCGACTTGAGGTGTGTCACGACCCGAGCTCGAGCCACTGAGGAGTCGCATCGAGAGCTTGGATGTACCCTTCCCGTTCGTCGAGGGGGTTTCGGCCTCAGCATCGGTAGGGTCCGTTGGCTGACGTCGGCGACGAGTCATGCGTTGAACACCGAGCTCGGGATCCGGCACAGTCACGGCATCTTCTTCGCCCTCGAGTTGGATCAGCGCCGCTTGAGCCTCAGCAGGCGCGATATCACTCGGCTTCTTCTCAGTCGCCATGGTAAGGTCGATGAGGTAATCGGCGATATTGAAGCCAGGTGGGCAAGCCCATCCGATGTCTTTGAAGTACGCTTGGCAATCCTTGGCCGAGCCCGAGTAGACCATCTTGCCGCTGGCAAGCAGGACGAGCTTGTCAAATAATGCAACGATGTTGGACTGCGGCTGGTGGATCGTGAAGACGACGGTGCGCTTGTACACTCGCGAGAGCTGCACGAGCGATTCGATGACGTTGAATGCATTGAAGGAATCGAGGCCTGCATGCATCATCATCACCACTCAAAAGTCAGCAGGGCTCGCTTTTCCTGGTCCTAGAATTATCGCCGCGAGCTCACCTGAGGTGCACTCATCCAAGAACAGGATCGAAGGGCTCGTCACAAGCTCGCACGCGATCGAGACCCGACGCTTCTCCCCACCCGAGATCGAGCGATGACCACTTTCACCGATTCGGCTGTCTCGAATGTGCAGGATACCCAGCTCATGCATCGTCTCGAGTGTGCGCATTTTCTTGTCTTCATAAGACATGTCGCGAGGCAACCTAAGAAGGGCCGAGTACAGCACCGTTTCGTACACGGTCAAGGTGCCGAGCAGTGTGTCTTCTTGATCAACGAAGCCGACGACTTGGCGATAGTCAGAATCGCCTACTTGCTGTCCATTGACGAGGATATCGCCTTCGACGGTGCCGTGCTTCGAGTTTCGCGCGAGCAAGTCGAGGAATGTCGATTTGCCGGCTCCAGATGCACCCATCACGGCCATGATCTCTCCGGGTTTGACAGATCCGCTGATGTCGTCGAGGACCACTCGACCGTTCGGTAGTGTGTAGGTCAAGTTGGAGAACTGCAAAGCTGCGGGGATATGATCCTCGAGCAGGGATTTGTTCGTCGTGCCGTTCGATCCTCCATGCTTGGGCAAGCGGATGCGACCGCCCAATAACGAGTATTCGCTCGTCGTGTCGGCACGTCCCAAATACCAGAAGACTGTAGCGATGCCGACCTACGTGTAAGCTCGCAGCGAACTCTGCCTGTGCAAGGCACATGGACCTACGGAAAAGGCCCAGCAACAGAACAGCGACAGCGATGGCGATCGTGACGACAATATACGTCTTGTCGTTCGGTTTGGGCGGAACAATGAAACCAGGCACTTCGCTCGCTCGGAGACATTCGCCGGCTGTGCACCGGAGTGTAATGTAGCTATCCCCAAAGATGTCGTTGATCAACTGGTTCATGGCCGGTTCTTCAAACTTGCTGTTCTCGCCTGATCGGGTGCTGAACTTGGTCGGCCCTTTGATCTCTTCGTCGAGAAACTCGGTGATATCTGGCGCAGTGGTGGCGGAAACGTACATGGTGAGTTGCCGACCAGGCGTAAACGCAGGATCAAAGGGCTTTTCACTGACCAACGCTTCCATCTTCGCCGCAAAGCATGCGGCCAGGGATGCATGAACACGACATCTCCTGGCACGAATACTCGGTGTAATTGCTGTCATATCCCGTCTGGAGGGATGAGGTGCAGTTTCGAAGGCCGCAATAGAACGATTCAACCTTGCCGATCCAGAACTGGAAGCCGCACGTCGCGGATGAAACATCGCAAGTAAATGTCACTTGGGGTGGTCGGCCAGGCAACATGTCGAGGATCTTGCGATCTATAGAGGGACGGCGCATTATCAGTCCGATCAGCCACACACCCTCCGAAGCGACAATCCAAGACCTCTTGCTTACTAGTGACATCGCACATCTGGAACATCTCCTTCACCGCATAGCCTTGCTTGTAGCACACAGCATTTTCGTCGTCGGAGCCTTGACCATCGCCGTCTCCCTTATCGTTCTTATCACTGGCCTTGAGCATGCCGTTGGCCGGGTCTCGGCTGGCAATGAGTGCGGAGCAGGCCCTGTTCGTCTCACAGACTGCGGATAGGTGTGGAGCACCGGTTTAGCAGGGTGCATGAGGTTCGGACGATGCCTAGAGTGTCAAGACGCACCGTTGCAGTTTATACCACCCCATCCGGGTTCGCACTCGCACTCTGTGCCGTTTCGGGGGAAACGTTCGTTCCCATCGGCGAGCGATCCGCAGACTGCTCACGTGCCACCCTTGCCGGGATTCGTCAGTATCGTGGTCCAGGACGATCGAGTAATCAAGCTGTGACTGACGTGGTTTGGAGCAGTCTTCGCCCCCGAATCCGGGTGGGCAGATGCACTGTCCGTTGTAGTCGTTACATACGCCTGGACAAGGCGGCGATCGAGGCGATGTAGAGTGATGTTGATGTTATGAGGGTCAGCTTCAAATAGTGATCAAGAGTGTACCAGTATGTTTTTGATGGTATCTTCACTGACCTGTGTTGAGGCATGTGAAGGCCGGCAGCACGCAGTTGAACGGGTTGCACGGCGGGCATTCCGGCGGGCGGGGCATCAAGAGCGACGCTGGCCCAGAGACGATACCATAGCTTGCTCGACTCGAATCAGGAACGATCTTGCTGCTCGTATTGGTGTCGTGCGAAGGCAGTTGATTGAGCAGTACTCCACTGCGTGCGGCGGACGCTATCGTGGCCACCAGCGTGAACGACGTCGTCCAGCGCACGATCGTCCGATCCAGCCGCGTCATTGGTCCCCAATTCGGCTGCGGTGGATCGCTTCGGTTGGTCCGACAACTCCTCGGTTAGCGAGATCAGTCAAAACAATCTCTTTCCGACCAAGGAGAGTCGAGATATTGATGTTGGAGCGTAAGTGTGCGACGTCGGTGCGACGTCCGATCGGGCAAGAGGGCAACGTGCGAGCAGTGGCACCGGGCGGTGGCTGAGGACGGCACCCGGACGCTGGGCTAGGCTGGGCTACTGCTGGGCTACGCAGGGTCGCTTCAGGCTGAGTAATGGCCACTTTGGGGAGGTCTCCCAGTTTCCCAGTCTCCCAGAGGCCATAACACTCGTGAACGCCCCAAGGGATCCTCCATCAAAGGGATCATCGAGCTCCAACTCTATCCTATTACATCTTCAATCATCGAAACCAGTTGTTGGGGGTAGTAACCCCGCCTCCCATTGCGTCGTGCAGCGAGCAGGCCGATACTTCACTGATCATGAGCTTCGATAGCTTTACTCTTGAGTGTTGCAGCCCCCACCCCCACTTGGTCCGAAATCGGCCCACAGCTCGCGGATCGAGTCGCCTTAAAGTTGGCTGGCCCCGTCCGACCCCTGTCGCCCCTGCATAATCATGTGAACGCATGCACATGACTGCATACCCCGGTATACTCTAATTCCGCTCATCCCAATACCTTTGCACGACATTGCACAGCTATGCACCCTCGTGCACGCTCGGATCGAATTGACCTCCCGCGGCCAGCTTCGTTGCCCTTCCTTCGCCCACCGCCGAGCGCAAGTCCTGGACGCCTGCAGTGAACCCTTCCCTTCGAGACATTTCATAATTCGATCCGCCTTTCGAACGGGGACTGCACGTGTGCCCATCTGGCGGAAGCTTTTATTTTATTTTATTTGAGCATAGGCGCGCGTCTTCTCAATTTTGATTGATTTTCATTCTGCCCTAGACTAACTGATTATTGTCCCGTCCCACGGGGTCCGAGCGACAACGAACGGTGACAGAGCGGCTCGGCACTTGATGTTGCGTGGATTTTGGAGAACCGTTTGGGGTCCATCATGGAATGTCTCCGGCCAGATGATGCCACTGGTCTGAACAAGCGCGCGGCGACCTCCGCCGCCACTGATAGAGGACCGCCCCGGTCTCGAGGGCAAAGTCTCAGCACATCAGAGCACACCAGTGGTTACCGACACTTCATCACACCATCGAGCCCTGACATCCACCTTTACTTCCTCACATTCCATCCAAAATCATTTACAGCCCACTTCCACTAGCTCTGTGCCCCATTCCGCTCCCGAAATCATGCTGAAGAACTACAGTCATCCTGCTTGGACCATCTTCACCGTGCCCGCCGATCCCCCGACGGTACCGACTTTACCGTTCCGGTGCACGCTTTCCCCCAGCATCGGCAACCTCGAAGAAGCTCACATCAGCGAACTCAATCTCGAGCCTACTTCTACCCAAAAGCGTCGGAGATCAGAACTGCCGATCGAGATCGTTCGCCAGATCCTCGAGGAGGCCGTCAACGCGGCGAGAAGCGAACTTTTCATTTGCGATGGCGTGTTCCTGCCCATCACCACGCAGTGCTCTGTCAGTTTGATCACCTTCTAGGTTTACATGACATCTGGCACTGACCCGGATCGACTTCTCAGACATGCGCCTACAGATTGCTCGCCGGCGTGTGCAGTCAATGGCGCGAGGTCGTGCGAGAAATCTTCCACCGCTCCATCATCATCGGCGAGCGGACCTGCCAAGACGCTGGTGAGCCCCGGGCACTCCACAGGGACTAATTAGATGTCAGTAACTGACCAAGGATCACTATCCCGCAGAAATCATCGAAACCCTCGGTAAAACTGTCCAGGCCGCCGCTCATGTGCGATCGATCGATGCAAGCTGTCGCACCAAGAATCACTCGCTCCCCGAACTCATGCCTACCGCCCCGGCAACCATCGTCGAAAAGTACGAGTTGGAACGTGCCGCTGATGTCGCCCTGTAAGTGTCGCAGCCTGTCCCTCCGATCGAGCGCTGCTGGTGCTCACGATTCAACCGTACATTCTGTTATGGTCGAAAGTAGGGGTCAGCAACTCGTCAAGAGCATCATCCCTCTCTGCCCACTGCTCACCACCTTCGATGCCGACTTTGGCCACCATCCTGAGCTTCTAAAGCCCGGTCTTCTTCCTCCTTCCATTACGACCCTCACCTTGCGCAATGTCTCGGCCGTTGAGACGTTTATCTTGCTGGCCGACCTCCCAAGGGTTAGGGACCTGACGTTGAGGATCGCTCCGTAAGTCACATTCAGGCGGTTTGGAAACGCATTGGTTTGTGCTGACTGCATAGCTTATGCCAACAGAGACTGGCTGATTCACGAGGAGATCGAGCCTTGCATTCTCGAGCGATACAAAGTGCAGCTCACACGCTTCGAGCTTTCCGCGACTGCCTGGGGTGAAACCTCGGTTGCAGATCTCCAACTACTGCTGGAACACTCGGCTACGACGTTGAAGTCTCTCGCGATCCGCAACAAGTCGTCCTTCACGTCGCACAAGTTCGCCCCGGTCGCTCAAGGTCTGGTCAAGATCTACGCGCCTCAACTCGAGGAGCTGAGCGTCAGGGATCTGCCAAGAGGCGGTATGAGATGCAAAGGTCAGTCAGAAGTTCGTTTTAGAAATTGTAAGTGTCTCCTCAGCCGCTGACGACTGTATCTGCGACCCCCTCCACACAGAGCATAAGGAGGTCTCCTACTTCCCCTCACCCCCTGTCCCTTTGCCTCGCCTTCGACATCTGCACTTAACCGGCATACCTTCCTCACCCACCTTCTTCGCCTCTCTTAAAAGCCCCAACCTATCCCGTCTAGTAGTAGAAGAATTCGATGATCCTTCCGGACTGGCCTTGCTCACGACGCTGAAGAGTCACTTGATGCCCAAGCTCAACTCGCTGCGCGTGTGTGGAATCACGGAGAAGACGGCCAAGGTCGACCTTCTCGAATGGTGCGCCGCGAATGGGGTGACTTTGGCGGCCGGTTGGCGTTTGGTAGAGATCCAAAGGGCTTGGTGGTTTTGAAAAGGGTGTGTAGAGCTGGAATTAGTTGTGTCTTTTTCATGACCTGGGTGGTCCGTGCGAGCGTCTACTCCGGTTTCGGCCACACGCCGGGCGCCTCGCCAATCAACGACAGCGCAAAGGCGGCTCTGCTTGGCGGCTGCAGCCAGTCTGCACGTCTGCAGCCCGCCGCCGAAAAAAAGGCGGGGTGGGTCGGTCGAAGGCTTTCTCTTTCTGATCCTATCGTTTCGCCCGCTCCTTGTAATCACTTTGATCATCGTGAGTCCCGGTGTGGTCACTTGCTATCTCGCGTTACTCATCACCCTCTGTACCCTGTTCTCTCACCTTGTTACTGATCGTGTATCGCCTCCCCACCGTCGCTCAACGGTCGTTCGTGCCTGGTCTCCTCGACGGCTTTCACGTGTGCCGGTGCGCTCTCAGAATCAGCCATGTCTCTCCCTCAAAGCAAGACGCAGTATCTCACCGTGCCCGCCACGGCCAAGTCCAAGTCGCTCAAGACCTACACCAAGGAGGAAGTCGCCCAGGTACGTCAATGAGTGTGTTGTGGTTGGACCGTTGTGCTCGGGCAGGCACTGCCATGGGATTGTGTTGTGGTTGGACCGTTGTGCTCGGGCAGGCACTGCCATGGGATACGCGCCATCCTGTGCCGATCTGGGCTGAGCGGCGCGCCTAGCGACCTCGACCTCCGGCTAACCGACGCCGAGCCGGCGCTCTCTGCGGTGCGGTGGCTCTCCGCGATCGCTGCCATCATATTCAACGCAGCACGTCACCCATTGTCTGTATACTGACCCGAACATCGTCCCTCGTTCGTGATGCCAACGAACAGCACTCCAAGGAGGGTGATCTTTGGTGCATCATCGACTCGGCCGTCTATGTAAGCTCTGCGCCCGAATGACACGCGTCGCGCGTTACCTGTCCGCGACGAGCTCATTCACTGACGGCCGTCATCTTCTGTCCCTACTGCGCATTCCACAACCCACAGGAGTAAGTCCTACTCTATCAATCGTGTTCTATCACAGCTTCGACAACTAAAAGCGCAGCTCCTTTCCACTGCAGTTTGAGCAAGTTTGTCGACTTGCACCCCGGTGGGACCGCAGTGTTGCTCGATGAGCTCGTTGCTGGCAAGGTCAGTGATACCCGCATCGGTGCTCAAAGTAATGGACTAGAGGGCTGACTAGACCAAAGTCCGCCCCCACAGGATGCCACCGATGCCTTCTTCGGCATGCACCGATCCGAAGTGCTTGTCAAGTACGGCCGATTCATCATTGGCACGATCGAGGGCGCCAAGCCTCGCTATATCTTGCCGACGCCCGGTGTTCTTTCGCCCGTCCCTTACGCCGAGCCCACCTGGCTCACCGAGGGCTTCAAATCGCCTTACTATAACGACGGTCACCGCGCACTGCAAAAGTACATGCGCGAGTTCAACGACGAGTACGTGCGCGCCGAGGCCCAGGCGCACGAAAAGTCGAACGAGCGACCGACGGTCGAACTCATCCAGAAGATGGGTGCCGAGGGTGTCTACATCAACCACATGCGTCTCGGCCCCGGTAAGCTCCTTCACGGCTTGACGCTCCCCGGTGGCGTCAAGGGTGAGGACTTTGACTACTTCCATGAGCAAATCGTCACGCAAGAGCTCGTACGCACTGGTGCTCGCGGCTACGCCGATGGTCTCCAGGGTGGTATGGTCATCGGTCTCCCCCCCGTCATGAACTACGGTTCGCCGGCTCTTAAGAAGGAGATCATCCCCGAGGTCCTTGCCGGTCGCAAGTTTATCTCGCTCGCCATCTCCGAAGCCTTCGCCGGCTCCGACGTCGCCGGTCTTCGCTGCATGGCCAAGAAGTCCGCCGACGGCAAGCACTACATTGTCAACGGTACCAAGAAGTGGATCACGAACGGAAACTTTTCGGACTACTTCTCGACCGGTGTCAACACGGGTAACGGCCTTTCTATGCTCTTGATCCGCCGTGGCGAGGGCGTCGACACCAAGTTGATCAAGACATCCTACTCGACCGCGGCTGGTACGGCCTACATCACCTTCGACAACGTTAAGGTTCCCGTTGAGAACTTGATGGGTAAGGAGGGCAAGGGTATCTACGTCATCTTGACCAACTTCAACCACGAGCGTTGGGTCATGTGCTGCGGTTCCGTGGCCGGGTCGCGCCTGATCGTCGAGGAGTGCTTCAAGTGGGCCCACCAGCGCAATGTCTTTCACAAGCCTTTGATCGAGCAAGCCGTGATTCGCGAGAAGTTCGCGCACATGTTCGCCAAGATCGAGTCGCTGCAGGCCTATCTCGAGAACATCACCTACCAGATGAACCACCTCACCTACGCGCAGCAGGGTGACTTGCTCGGTGGCCCGATCGGTGCGCTCAAGATGTGGTGCACCAAGATGGCCGGTGAGATCTCGTCCGAGGCCGTTCAGATCTTTGGTGGACGTGGTATCACGCAGGGTGGTATGGGTGGTATGATCGGTGAGTGGACCTTCTCCGTGAGACCTGGAGGCTTGCGTGGTTCGTTTTTGCTGAGACTTGCACACCTGTCTCCAGAGCAATTCCAACGCACGCAAAAGTTCGATGCTATTCTCGGTGGTGCAGGTGAGTTGGCCCCTTTGCCTCGCGGTGACAAGTCTGTGCTTTGCTGACCTTGCCTGCTCGTTTCTCCCTCTTTCTTCAAATCGATAGAGGAGATTCTCGGAGATCTTGCGGTAAGTCGCGATTCGGCGCTGCTCGCAGGGTCGAGCCCAATCACTGATCCTGTCCCCTGTTTCTGTGCCGTTCTTTGCGAACAGGTCCGCCAAGCGAGCAGGAAGATGCCGCGTGCAGTTTTGTAAATACGTGTGCAACAAGTGTAGTTCCTATGATATAACGGCAGCTATTGGCAAATCCTGCTTCCTTATGTCTTCCGGACGTCTATCTCTCACTCGGTGCGATGGTCAACTTGAGAGGGCCAAGTTTGCTTGACTGTGAAGGCCGTATCGCTAGAAACGTCTTGCCTGCATGGCGTTTGTTTGGTGACATGTGCAACCGGGAAAACCCCCATGCAACTTTGCAATATGCCCGATGAAATACATCCGAAAGTGCTTGCCGGCGTATTCCGGGCCAGCTGTGCGCTTAGAGTGGAGTAGACGAGTGTAAGGTATGATGCGCCTCTGATGTGCATAAATTACAATCTGTCGCCTTGACCGCTAGGCTAAAAGCAAGCGTAACTAGAACTCGACAGTTCTAGCTACTCAGAGGCTACTTATGGGGCTGTTCCGCAAGGCATCCCCTTACAACGAGAGAAAGGCCTGTTCGCTTCTGCACCTTATTCGTTTCACTCGCCGACTCCGCTCTAAGCGCATGCGCGCCACCCCCAGGGGAGCCCAGCCTGGGGGGCGGCCCACCCGTGGCCTCCCGTGGCTGCTCGTGGCTGTGCGAGGCAGACGTGACGTCGCGAGTAGCGATCCTTCGTCGACTCTTGTGTGCTTTCCAAGTCAGCCGCCAGGAAACGCGGATCAGCGCACTGCGATGTCGGGCTCCCGGTCAGTCACGCCTCGTCAATATTCACACTGGCACCGTATACTGACATTTGATCAACTCCACACGGCCAGGTTGGACCGATTAATCCAATTGTTCGAGACGGGCTCGACCGCCTCGGTGCGACTGACGGCGGCTCGTCAACTGGGGCAGATCGCCGGCACCCGCGTCGCACACCCTTCTGTCAAGGCCGAGAGCGATTTGAGCAACCCACTCGGGGGAGGAGAAGAAGCTTCATTGTGGAAGGGAGTCGATGGCGAGTGGGACGAGGTGATACAGCTCGTTGCGAGGGTCAGTCCTTCGGGTCTCAGGCGTTCGACGCCCCACACGGACACCGCCTTGCGCTTGGGTGGGTCAGTGAGGGAGAGCTCTGAGCTGACAGAATGGGCGAACAACACTATGCTCGTTCTTAAAGATCCTTCCTCATTTGCAGTCACGCTCGTCCGAAACGCGACAAGCTGCCGCTGCCGCACTAGGCTTCATTTCGAAGGCGGTTGGAATATGGGATCCCACCTCGACCGCTGCACCCCCTTCGACCCCGCTCAACGACAATGTTTACGCCGATCTATCCGAAGGGCTCTCCCTGGATCAATTCGATGTCATGAAGGTCCTGTCGGAAGGCTCGCTGCTCCTTTCGAGTTCGGGTAACGAGTATGGCAATCTCTCGCATTTGTCGGCCGAAGAACTCGCAAAGGCCCAACGAGAAGCCATGACGAACCTCGGATTGGGGATGAGTGGGCCAATGGAGCAAGATTTGGGTGTCGACGTTTCGGCCGAGCTAGCCGCTGGTGTGGAAACCGCTTCAAACAATCCGCTCAAGGCCACCGAAGTTCCAACCACGACTGCTCGAACGATTCTGCCCCTACCCAGATTCAAGAACGAAGGGGCTGCCTCGGTCAAGACCCTTTCGGTTTTTACCTCCGATGTCCCTGTCACCAGCACATCCAAGCTACCAATCGGTGCAGAGGCGTCAAGATCATCTGCGATCAGTGCACCCATCGCATCGGCGTCGAACGACGCCGCAGCCACTGACTCCATGCGAGTGGTAGCGACACCGCCAGAGACTGAAGACGAATTTGCCGGTCTGTCTGCTCGAGAACGGAACAAGCTCAAGCGCAAGCGCAAGACGGAAGCCAAGTCAACCCCGAACGGCGGGGCGGGGGCCTTATCCGCTGCCTCACTCGCCGCACCCCCGGCCAAGATCCGAGCCGTGGATGCGGGGAACGGCACTCCAGCGACCTCTGCGTCCCAAAGCAACGTCAAAAGCGAAGCCGTCGTGATCGATCCCCAGGCAAGGGCTAGGGAGAGGGAACTCGAGAAGCAACGCCAGGGTGGTGAAGTCATGGTCGACGCCGAGGCGCAGAACCGGGCCGAGATGGAGGTCAAAGCTGGCGAGTGGCCATGGAGAGGAACGGTCGAGCGCCTCACAGTAGCTCTGCTATCGCCAAATTGGGAAACGAGACACGGTGCCGCTCTGGGGTTGAAGGAAGTACTCAAGCTGCAAGGCCGTTGCGGTGGACAGATTGGTAAGGGCGCTTTTCGGAGATTCGATTAGGCATGCCAAAGCTGACTCGACTCGGTCCCTTTCACAGCGGGTCAGACTGTCGCCGCGAACCAGGAACGACATCGACGCTGGTCCGAAGATGTCGCTGCAAAGCTGCTTTGTGTATTTGCGCTCGATCGCTTCGGCGACTACAACGCAGATCACGTGGTTGCACCTGTCAGAGAAACGGCGGCGCAGGCGCTCGCGACTCTGCTGCCCTGCATGGCAGTGAGTTCGGTCGTCCTCGTCCAACGCTTGCTCATTGCGATGATCGATCAGGACGGTGCGCCGCCTTCCCGCGCTTTGTCCGACAAGCGAGACGCGGACGTCGCCCCAGAGCCGAATGCAGGACGTCGAGTCAACTACGCATGGCAGGTTCGGCATTCCGGACTGCTGGGCCTCAAGTATCTCGTGACTGTCAAAGGCGACATGCTTCGCACCAAAGCCGAGCCAGCCAAGGTCATGAAGCCCGAGGCCAGTATTGATGGTTCTCAACCGACTGCAACGGCGCTCCTGAAGGAGGTCATAGACGCAGCCCTCCTAGGCCTGAGAGATGGGGACGATGATGTGCGATCGGCGGCAGCAGCAACCCTCGTATCGGTCGCCGATGCACTCGTCGCGAGCTTTCCCGTCGAGCTCGCAACGGTCGTCGAGGTCTTGTGGGAATGCCTCGGCGATCTCAAAGACGACTTGTCAAGCTCGATCGGCGGCGTCATGAACCTGCTCGCCATTTTGCTCCGCTACCCTTCCGTGCTCGCGCTCGTGACCGCTGGTCGTCCTTTGGCACACCTAGTGCCTCGACTCTATCCCTTTTTCCGACACACGATCACATCGGTTCGTGTCGCCGTCCTCAACACCATCCTCGTCTTTCTTCAGCTGCCTTCCAGTGATCTGAGCTGGGCTGACGATCGACTCTTGCGACTACTATTCCAAAACCTCATCGTCGAGAACAAAGCCGAAATTCGCGCGTCGTCGGCTCAGGCGTGGCAAGTCTTGCTTTCGGCGCTTCCGTCCAGAATCGCTTGCCTTGCCTCATCTCACATCGCTACATGGTTCGCACTGGTCTCGACCCCAGTAGGGACGCCACTCAACACGGCGTTCTTCTGGTCGGCCAAGACAAGCTTGAGCGGCACCGGCGGCTACGTCTACAACGTCGACAGACCGATGATCTCGCAAGACTTGGCGCTCGTCTCGATCGAGGGAGTTACTAGAGCACGTCTTGCTGGTGCAATCGCACTAGGACAGCTCATCGCTTCATGGCCATTCGGCACTCACGATTCGACTTTTTCTGATGAGCTGACGACGCGGCTGAACTCTACCTCCGCCTTTGAACGCTTCCTGGGCGCGACCATCATCGAGGAGTGGGGCGCAGCGGCTGCGCCCAAGCTCGAAAAACCCTTGACCCAATGCTCGACACTGGCGTCTCGACTGGTGCCCGCCCTTCACTCCGCTGTTGCCGCCGATCCGCCCGAGTCGTACTCGGAGCTAGACTCGATTCTTGTTCAGCTCAACTCTGATTGCTTGGCCTTGTACGCCGCGTTCTCGGCACAGGGTAAGATCACCAAAGATAAAATCCCGCGGGTCCCCAAACCATTCCGCATCGTTCACGCTCGCCAGATCGATAGCTCGTACCAGCCTCTGGTCGGCTTCGTTTCCAAAGGCGCGGCGCGGACGGCACTTCCACAGTTGGAAGAGAAGCACGGCAAGATCAAGAGTGGTATCAGTCAATGGGAAGCTGGAAAAGCGAGTCGAGATCGACAGGTCTCAGCGGCCATCGCAGGAGCGATCGTGGCGTTGCGCGTCATTCCCGCCAAGCTCACACCTCTCGTACGAAGCCTCAACAATGCCGTCAAGCTCGAAGAGGATCCCGAGGTCCAGGCTCGATCTGCCTGCGCGATCGCCGCGTTCATCGACCTGTGTTCTGCTCCTGGATCAACTATTAAAGCGAATCCCTCTGATAAGATCGTCAAGAACCTCTGCACTTTCTTGTGCCAGGACAAGACGCGCACGCCCATCTTTGCCGACGAAATGAACGCCGCGCAAGGTATCTTGACCCTCAAGTACAAACCTGCTCGAGGCGAGGCCGTCAAGGAGCTCAAGGAGAAGGAGGTCGAATCGGCTGAGGTTGCCACCGCTCGCGTCACATTTCGTGGTGCGCAGTTGGCTTTGGCCCAGCTCTCGATCCGGTTTGGGGATGATTTACTGGAGCGGGTGCCGAGGCTGTGGAGCGGAATGTCCGAAGGATTACTTGCGGCGTTTGCTTCTGGTATGTCTGAAGTCTGAATGGTGGAAAGCGTTGGCTATCTGTGAGCTCATCATATCGTGAGTCTGCCAACAGGCGACGTCAATCAAGCCGATCAGCTGCTAGCGACAAGCGCAGATGCCGGCCAAAGCCTTCTCGATTGCTTGACGGTCCTCCCCATAGGCGCCAAGCAACTGAACGGAAACCTACGCGGTCGCCTGGTCGAGCTATTGCCTTCTCTGACCCTAGCGATCCGGAGCAAGTTCGCCGTCGTACGGTATGCAGCAAGCAAGTGCTTTGCTGCAATGTGTGACATCATCTCCGTCGAAGGGATGAAACACGTCGTCGAGGGTGTCGTGCCCGTCATTGGGGACCCGGTCAACGTGCAACACCGACGGGGAGCGGTCGAGCTCGTCTCCCACCTCGTCGACCTTCTCGATATCAAGATCCTACCCTACGTCATCTTTTTAATCGTGCCTATCCTGGGTCGGATGAGTGATCCAGACGACGATACTCGTCTCGTCGCAACCAATACCTTTGCCTCGCTGATCAAACTCGTACCACTGGAAGCCGGCCTGCCAGATCCTCCCGGCTTCTCTAGCGATCTGCTCGAGAAGCGTCAAGCAGAGCGCGACTTTCTTGTCCAACTTCTCGACGGTCAAAAGGTGGCCGAGTACAAGATTCCGATCCCAATCGGCATCGAACTGCGCACATATCAGCGAGACGGTGTCAGTTGGCTGGCCTTTCTCGCCAAGTACCAGCTCCACGGGCTCCTTTGTGACGACATGGGCCTCGGCAAGACCTTGCAGTCGATCTGCATACTCGGGAGCATGCATCATGAGCGTGCTGAGCGGCACAAGAAGACCGGGTCGCCCGATACGGTTCATCTTCCCTCGCTCGTGATTTGCCCCCCGACTCTGACGGGTCATTGGCAACAAGAGATCAAGACGTACGCCCCTTTCCTACGCTGTGTCACCTTTATTGGGCCGAGAGCGTTCCGCGACTCGATCAGCAAGACTCTGGGGTCGTATGACGTGGTCATCACATCCTACGAAGTGACACGGAACGAGATCGAGACGCTTTCCAAGCAAGATTGGCACTACTGCATTCTCGATGAAGGCCACATCATCAAAAACGCCAAAACCAAGCTCACTAGGTCGGTCAAGATGCTACGAGCGATCCATCGCTTGATACTTTCCGGAACGCCTATCCAGAACAACGTACTCGAGCTGTGGAGTCTGTTCGACTTCCTCATGCCGGGTTTCCTTGGGTCCGAAAAGTCTTTCAACGACCGATTTGGCAAGCCCATCGCAGCGAGTCGAGATGCCAAGAGCTCGTCCAAGGAGCAAGAGCAAGGCGCACTCGCGCTCGAGGCGCTACACAAGCAGGTCCTGCCGTTCCTCCTGCGACGCCTGAAAGAGGACGTCCTGGACGACCTGCCGCCCAAGATCATCCAGGACTACTACGTCGAGCTATCGCCACTGCAAAAGGACCTTTACGACGACTTTTCCAAGTCACAGGGTCAGCAGCTCCTTGACGGTGGCGATGACTCTGGATCAGGCGAAGGAGGTAAACCGCAACACGTCTTCCAGGCTTTGCAGTACCTTCGCAAGCTCGTCAACCACCCCTCGCTCATCTTCAATCCCGAGTCGTCTCGGCACCAACAAGCCCTCGAGAAGACCGGATTTCCCTTGATTCGAGACGTGGTCCACGCCCCCAAACTCCATGCTTTGCGCCAAATCTTACTCGACTGCGGCATCGGCACGCCGACGATCAAGTCGGAAGCCGAGGACGAAGCCGTTTCGCAGCACCGCGTGCTCATCTTTTGCCAGCTCAAACAGATGCTCGATATCGTCGAACGCGATTTGTTCCGAGCGTTGATGCCGAGTGTGGCGTACATGCGCCTCGACGGTTCCACGGACGTCTCGAAGAGACACGCCGTCGTGCAGACGTTCAACGCGGACCCTTCAATCGACTGCTTGCTGCTGACGACTCACGTTGGTGGTCTTGGCCTCAATTTGACGGGAGCGGATACGGTCATCTTTGTCGAGCACGATTGGAACCCAATGAAGGATCTGCAGGCAATGGATCGTGCCCATCGATTGGGTCAGAAGAAGGTCGTGAATGTATATCGGCTCATCATGCGTGGAACTCTGGAGGAAAAGATCATGGGGTCAGTACGGATAGTGCTTATGCAGGGGTTACCGTGATGTATCGGCTGACGGTAGAGTCTTTTGCCACAGTCTGCAAAAGTTCAAACTCAACATCGCGTCGTCGGTCGTGACGCAACAAAACTCGGATCTATCGACGCTGGGCACCGAGGGCATTCTGGACTTGTTCCAGGTTACTCCCGAGGGTGCGGCAGGACCCAAAATTGACCCGAACAAGCCAACGAGTCAGAAAGCCATCTTGGCCGAATTGGGTGATCTGCCGACCGAGGATGAATGTGAGCTTTTCGGATTCCGGAGTTGGCTTTCGCCCGACCATGCTGACATGGTGTCCGCACGCTGTTGATCCTCGGGCAGACGGCGATCTCGATTTCTCCCAGTTTACGAACTCCCGCGCGTGAAAGACTTCAACATGATGCAAGGAGAAGAAGAGTAGCACACATGTTTTTTGTTTTCGTTCCATTTTTTAGCGTTGTAGATTGTAACCTTCGGTATTCATCTGTGCAAGTTCGGACTATTCGAATCTCGGCGCGCATGACGTCGAAGCATCGGACTTTCACGCGCTTGCGGTTCCACGCTTCGGAGCAAGTCGCGCATGTCCGATCGATTGGATTGACTTGGGGGGCGCCCGGTACGCCCGGTCGCTTTCATCCCTGCACCCCATCCATACACTCAACCTTGCACATCAGTACGTCACATGCTGTGTTAGCCAGACCTCAGACAATTCGCTGACTGTGACCGTGTGAGTTACAGTGTCTCTGTCCAACAAGCTCTCGATCAAGGACGTCCAGCTCAAGGGCAAGAAAGTGCTCATCCGGTACGTGCGGCCTGCTCGCTTGAGCTGGTGCCCGCCCTCCTCCCCACCACCGTCCACGGGCTCACAAGGCTGAGTGAAATGTCACGCCATCCACAGAGTCGACTTTAACGTCCCTTTCGATGGACCCAAGATCACCAACAACCAGGTCAGTGGGTGCGGCAGCATGTCGTGTCTCTTCTTGTCGGTGGCTCTCTGCGGCGTCAAGTCTCCGAAATCGATGCCCAGCCCACGACGACGGTGGAGGGCATCGATGAACGGCGCATGAATACCCATTGCGCATGGATACCCACTGCGCATGTCGAGACGCACTTGAGACTGCGGTGTGATGCTACGACGCTACCAGCCCTTTATGATGCTGGACCGAATCAAAAGAGATCGCTATTGCATCATTGCGTACGAGCTAGGCGCCCCGTTGTTGGCACTGGAGCTGACCCAACCAATACGTGCCCCTAAACCTGCACTCCTCATCTGGTGACCCTGCACCCTCTCTCACTCCAATCCCGTGCCATGCATGGTCCCATTTCGAGCCCACAGCGCATCGTCGCTGCCATCCCCACGATCAAGCACGCCCTCGACCAAGGTGCCTTGGCCGTCGTGCTCATGTCCCACCTCGGTCGACCGGACGGCCACGTCGTACAGAAGTACTCGCTCAAGCCCGTCGCCAAGGAGCTCGAGTCGCTCTTGTCCAAGTCCGTCACCTTCCTTCCCGACTGCGTTGGTGAGGAGACCGAAAAGGCCGTTGCCGACGCCAAGGACGGCGAGATCATCTTGCTCGAGAACCTGCGCTACCACGCCGAGGAAGAAGGCTCGTCCAAGGACAAGGACGGCAAAAAGACCAAAGCTGACCCCGAGGCCGTCAAGAAGTTCCGAGCGAGCCTGACCAAGCTCGGTGACGTCTACGTCAACGACGCCTTCGGTACCGCCCACCGAGCGCACTCCTCCATGGTCGGCGTCGACTTGCCCCAAAAGGCCGCCGGTTTGCTCATGACCAAGGAACTCGAGTACTTTGCCAAGGTCCTCGAGGAGCCGCAACGCCCCTTCTTGGCCATCCTTGGTGGTGCTAAGGTCTCTGACAAGATCCAGCTGATCGAGAACCTCCTCGACAAGGTCAGTCCGCATACATCTAAGGCCCATCCCAGGATTTAAACTGACCGACAGGGGATTGGACTCGATGCAGGTCAACTCGTTGATCGTCTGCGGTGGTATGGCCTTCACCTTCAAGAAGACGCTCGAGAAGGTCGAGATCGGTACCTCCCTGTTCGACAAGGACGGTGCCGAGAAGGTTGCCGAGTTGGTCGAGAAGGCCAAGGCCAAGAACGTCGAGCTCGTCTTCCCCGTCGACTACATCACCGCCGACAAGTTCGCCAAGGACGCCCAAGTCGGCACCGCGACCGACAAGGAGGGTATTCCCGAGGGATGGATGGGTCTCGATGCCGGAGAGGAGTCGCGCAAGTTGTTCGCTGAGGCCATCAAGAAAGCCAAGACGATCCTGTGGAACGGCCCCGCCGGTGTCTTTGAATTTGACAACTTTGCCAAGGGCTCCAAGGCGACGTTGGATGCCTGCATTGAGGCCAAGGAGAATGGCGCTACTGTCATCGTTGGAGGTGCGTTACGGCGTCTACACTACTTTGAGGATCACACAGCTGATGCGATTGCTTGCTTTCGCCTCTGCAGGTGGTGACACGGCCACCGTTTGCGCCAAGTATGGCGCCGAGGAGAAGCTCTCGCACGTCTCGACAGGTGGTGGAGCCTCGCTCGAGCTCCTCGAGGGCAAGGTGAGTGTCTTTGAGAAGTGTCACAGTCTGCGACATATACATGAGCTGACCGTGCCGCCTTTCAACTCTCACAGGAATTGCCCGGTGTAAAGGCCCTTTCCGAGAAATGAGGCCGAGGCCGTCTCTGATCCCAGGACGAGGCTCGTCCACAGGCGGAAGGACTCTGAATCATTGAAGAGACAAGGTTTACACAGATAGATGCTCGTATCAAAGCTGGCTTAAAATACATATTAAAATACGTGAAGTGCGCTACAAGGAGCGACGGCTCCGAGCAAAAAACAGGGACCTACGTACCCAAAAGAAAGTGAGACAACTAAAAGGTGGACAAGATATATGAGGCCCGAAGTGCAACAACACGCTCCACGAAGACACGTGTGCAGACCACACATCCACGCTATACTCTCACAAGCCCGTCCAGACCTTGTCAGCACCTCCGATCAAGATGCCTTTGCCGTCGAAGTCGACACCTTCGTCGCGCAATAATCTGCGCTTCTTCATTTCCTTGCCTCCGATCTGGTTCTCGTCCCCTTTGTTATTGCCCCATTGCCCTTGAAATCCGCCGATGAAGAGCTTGGAATCGATGATGCGGTGGCAAGGGACGTGAGGATGGAAAGGATTTGAACGCAGCGCTCCGCCGACTGTTTCGGTTCGAGGATGATGCGATGAGCGCGCAGCGGAGAGTCTCCAGGCTCGATGTATGCATAGGAGAATGATCCGACTCACTGGCTCGTGGTGACGAGTCCAACACCTTGGCTATGTGCCCATACGTTGTCACCTTGCCTACGGGAATCGACGAGATGTGATCATACACCTGCCAGCACAGGTGCCAAAGGGGACAGAAGGTCCAAGTCAGCAAGCAGATACGCATCCGGGCGCAGCGCGAAGACGCCTCGCCCACCGGTCGTCCGACCACATGTAGACGGATCGTGATCGTCACTCACCTTCCATTGATGGGGAGTCAACTTCCTGCCATCGGGCAACACGAAGCGGGATCGCGCCGCCAGGTCCTTTGGGAAAGGGATAGTCGAGTCAGGCATCGCCTCATCCGACAAGGTGCGGCCTTTCGAGGGGTTGGCGGTCATTTTAGTAATTCTGGGTTTGACGGTACGTTCAACGAGAACTGTTTGAGTGCGAGTAGGGGCCATGGGTGAGTAGGTGCGTAGGCGAGGCGTGCGTGATGTGGAGGGGCGTCCTCGAAGGGGGTGGGCGAAGTCAAAAAGCCAGGAAGCGGGGATACAACGCGTCCCGTCTCGCGCGTTCGTTTGACATGAGCGCGAGTAGGCGCGAGTCATGCACGTCGACGAACTCGGCTAACTGGATTTTTGGCGAAAAAAGAACGAGTGCAGGATTTGTCACCGCTACATCGCAGACTTACTTCCTAACTATCCGCTTAGTGGTGGAAATAGAGAGAGCGTTGCAGGTCATTTTGGCCCCTTCGTATCGTATGCTCAGAATTAGCACATTCGCCGTGGCAGCCATCGACATCCAAGCCACACACAGCCTTGGTAACCGCGGCGGTTCTCGCGCGCGCTGTTGCCCGCGCGGCCTATCCGCAGCGAATGGCCGCTCGGCGTTTTGACCGTCGCGTGGAGGTTCCAGCGTCACGCCCGGCTTTGCTTCTCTCCTGCTCCCCTCCGCAACTCGAATCACCTACTCGTTTCTCACCCTTTCCCTCCTGTCGATTCACTCGATAAAGAACAATACTCCATCATGATTCGACCCAGTGTCATGGTCCAGCGCCGACTCGCTACCTCGACCATGAAAATTGGCTCCCGAGGTCTCGCGACCCACATCGCGACCCCAACTCAAGCTCCCGTGCTGTTGGAGGACGTCGAGCCGTCCCAGCGCGACAAGTTGCCTGTCTTCACCATCTCTCGAGAGCGAGGGTCAGTTCTAGACTGCTCTCTGATCTGATGTTTTGCGCAAAGTGTCCGTGTGACGTGGAGCTGTTTGGCTGACGATCTTGGTTCCGGCTCGGCATTGTTCGGCATCGCCCCTTTCGCTTATCTTGCCCGTTTCCTGATCTCCCGCTCCTCCAACCCCTCTCTCCCCCACCTCGACTCCTCATCAACCCCGGCAAATTTCATCACACCACGGTTTACTATGAGTCTACAACAGTTTCCTCCCCCGAGTCGATCCGTTGACCCACCTCCCCGCCGAGTTCGCTCCCCTCGAGTCGTTGCTGCAGCGCATGACGATCCGTCAACCGAACGGCGGCGTCGGCTTGCTCGGCCACGGCCAATTCGCCGATGCGTGCGAGACCGAACTCAAGAAGGTCGACTTGGAGAGCAAGGTCGATCAAGTCATCGAGAGTGGTACGTTCTTCCTAGATTGCCCGTGAACAGATCCAATGCTCGTCGATGGACGTTCGCTAATGTTACGACCGCGGTTGGACCTCTCCCTTCTCCTGTCTTTTGGCACTGCAGGCAACCAGCAGCTTCTCTCGGCGCTGTTCCGTGATTACTGCTACGCCACCTCGGGTGAGTGGCGTCGTGAGGGCTCTAAATTGTACCGAGATCTGGGAAACTGAAGCACTGTCACTTTCTCGCCAGCCTTCCTCCTTGAGCCGGTCGACCAACGCTTCCGACACACCGCAGTCTACGGCGAAGGCAACAACCGCCTCCCTCGCGAGCTCGCGGTCCCGATGAAGAAGCTCGCCGATAAGCTCGGTCACTTTCCCTTCAGTGCGTCGTGCATCTGCCTCTATTTTATGTCTTCGATATTGCGACTGATATCATGGACACTCCTGTACAGTGGAGTACTCCTCTTCGTACGCTCTCCAGAACTACGTCAAGATCCAGTCCAAGGCCAAGCCAGGCAAGCTCGGCCCTCTTTCCGAATGGGCTACGGACAACCTCAACATCCTCCGTGCGTTCGAGGATGCCAGCGGCTCCGAAGCCGGCTTCATTCTCGTGCACGTCACCATGGTGGCCCACACCGGTCGAGTCGTCGCTGCGGCCGAGGATGTGCTCGAGGCGTCTCAAAGGGGCGACCACAAGGCGTTCCAAAGCGCGATGGGTGACCTCCTCGCGACGTACGAAAAGATCCAAGTCGCGATGGAGTCGATGTGGTCGTGGTCGAGGCCGGTCGACTACTTGCGCTTCAGGTCATTCATCTTTGGCACGGGCCCCAAAAAGTCCAACTCGATGTTCCCCAACGGCGTCGTCTACGAGGGCATCGGCACTGACGAGCCCCAATACTTCCGTGGTGAGAGTGGTGCCAACGACGTGAGTCTTCAGTCTAGGTTCGGACAGTGAGCTTTCCGTGATCCGATCCAGCTGACCTTCCTGTTTTTGTTGGTTCTTTCAGTCCATCATCCCCCTTGCGGACAACTTGCTCGAGATCACTCGTGCACACCCCAAGAATGAGCTCACATCGACCTTGCGCGAGTTCCGTGAATACCGTCCTTCGGCGCAACGTGTATACCTCGAAGCGCTCGAGCGTCGTGCGTCCGAGACGGGCGTTTTCAAGTTTGCGCAGCAGAATCCCGAGAGCTTGGCCTTGTACATCCTCATGGTCGACCAAGTGCGCGAGTTCAGGGACCGCCACTGGAAGTTCACCAAGGTAAGTGTTGAGAAGGAGATGGCAGCTCTGTCGGATGAGCCTGACTGACCTTGCTATCTTTTGTCTGTGCAACAGAGCTACATCATTCGTTACTCGGACCACGCTATCGCCACGGGTGGATCGCCGATCCTGCGCTACTTGCCTCAGAACCTGACGACCGTGCTCAACTGCATGGCCGATGCGTTCACCTTGTTGCCCAACTCGCACGGCTTGACCCCTACGACGGCGGCCAAGATCGAGGCGTGCCGCGGTCGCGCCGAGAGGGAACTCGAGGCGTTGAAGGTTGAGTTGGGCGAGTTGAGGGGCGGGGTCAAGGGTGTCGATGATAAGCGCGTGCACACTCGTGGATCCGTTGGCTGCGACGGCATCGGCTGAGTGGGTGATGCTTAGGTCGATGCGATTGAAATCTGTTCTCGCGTTGACATTCAGGAGGGGGGAAGAGGAGGAGAGGGGTCGCCAGAGGGGACCCAGCGGTTTCAGCGCGGTGCTCGGCGATTGGCTCTATGAATATACTTCGTCATAGGAAAATAGCTTGAACCTTGATCAAATTCTCGTCTCGGAGATTTCTAGCAAGCGTTGTAGTAGTGAGGTGTCTGCCTCAATGCCACGACCTTCTTTACTGGAGTCCTTGTGCAAATCGGGCGAATTGCAATGTCGGCCTGAACTGCCGATCAGTGAACTTGGATTAGAAAGCGAATGGGCCCTCGCGCCGACGTTGGCAGACGAGACGTTGGCTGGCGCTTGATTGCTTGATTGCCTCCTTCCAGCCAAAAAGCGCGCCCGCCCAGCCCAGCACCAACCAACCATCAGCTCGCGAAATGATCCCGACTTCAACAGTGCGATCCGGCATGCCTGTGAGTGCGATGGAGCGGGCAAGGGGCATAGGTCGCACATGGACTCTGAACTGATGCTCCTGCTTTTCGGAATGTCCAGTCGGGCAAGACCTACATGGGATGGTGGGGAGATGTAAGTTGGCTTCGAGAGGAGGCAGCAGGAGCGGGTGGGCTCGGCTGCTTCCGGTGTCACTCCGCTGCGTCGTGTAGAGCGTGTGAGCATCCTCGCTGGTTGGGGGCTGACGGGGTGTTGATGGGTGGCACGTACAGATGGGTGGACCCAAACAAAAGGGCGTGACTCAATACAGTAAGTGCGACCAATCGTGGCAACCCGTGCCCACGTCCTGCCGCAGAGGCGATTGGGCGGACAATACCGCTCCACCTCTGCATTTTCCCGTATCACAGGCACTGATCATGTCGGGCCTTATTGTGTCCAGGTGTCTCGCCTATGCGACAAGCGTCGATGCGGGGCGCTTTCTCGCACTGGGCCGTCAACGGCTACAGGCGCATCATGGGCCAGGCCGTCTACTTTGTCTTGCCCCTCGGTGCCGGTAAGTTGGCACATCTAGTCGATAACTAAGGACGCATCCGTGGAGGGGGGTGGATGTTGTGTGCGGGGAGCACGACGATCGAAGCAGGGCGTGCGGAGCGCTTCGGGGTGTGGCAGGGACAGAGGCGTCACCGCCGATCGAGATGGACACGAGTGGCATGCAGGACACAGAAGCCGCAGCTGACTCGCACCTTTTCTCTACCACCACCACTCCGACTTTGGACATGCGTTTCCGCTCCGCCGTCACTCCACCTGGACTCACTCCGGCGCGCACCTCTCCTCGGTGGTCCACTCGAACGACGTGCATTGCTTGCCGAACCCGCCCTGGGAACATTCCACTCGAACAGGTTACGGCCTCCTCAAATGGGCCATCGCCGACAACCACCTGCGCAACTCGAAGGAGGGCCACATCCAGGGCAAGTTCGCATAAGGAGGGAAGGGATTGAGGAGTGTTTGTGGCGGGAGCAGAAGGCTTTCCGAGTTGGGAGCAGAGATTGAATGCCGGTAACTGTGTTTGTGCTACCGATGTTCTTGGGGTGGACCTTGGTGTTCTGAGAGACGGGTCAAACGAACCTGGAGAGAGCTGCCGTTCCGGAAAACTCATGCCGAAGGTGAATTGGCTTTTGGATGTTTGCGTCGGGCGTTCACGACAAGATAAATTACAACACAAATTCAGAAACATCGTATCCTCACCATTTACTGTATTTTCAAACCCCAAACACTCCTCACCTCCCCCTTGGTCAATCGATTGCCAATCGCACTGAGGACTTCATCCGCCTCTTCCTCCGATTCCATCGTCAACACCATCGCAATCTGGTTCAACCTCGAGAAACTCTCCCTCATCATCGCCGAACTAAAAGGCGCTTGATTGGAGAGGTAGGATTGAATTGATCGGAGGTCCTTGTCGAATTTGAGGGCGCCCAACTCGGTAAAGTTGAGGGAACGCATGAGCGATTCCCAAGGGCGCACGAGGACGGATATGCTGTGCGCGAAGAAAAGGTTGTAGTTGGCTGGGGTCATAGATTGCTAGAAAGAGAGAAAAGACGCTTTATCAGTCTGTAAATACTTTTATGGTCTGTCGTACCTCGGGACTCACTCGGTACCCCGCCAGCAAGGCCTCCCATCCTTTGACGAAGCGTTTGCGCACGTCGTCCCTGTACTCGGCTTCGGCGAACGTGTCCTCGTTCAACACGTACGAGATATCCTTGTACACGTCCGCAAGCAACGGTCTCAGGCGAAGCCGCGAGAGTTGGTTGAAGAGGGTGTCAAGACCCGACTATGGGTTGGCAAAGGAAGGATGGGAATCAGCTATGATCACGAGCATCTACACTGAGAAGTTGTTGCTCACCCTCAAAATACTCTTGAAGCGTTCTTCAAGGCTTCTGACGCCCAAGAAGGCCACTTTTGCGCGTTCCAACTCGGCTTCGACGAAGAAGGAGCTCTGCAAGGCTTCACCGGCGAGCATCTCGTCGATCATTCTGAGCGTATACTCGGAGGCTGTGTCGAGGTTGTTCAAGTAAGTCTGTAGTCAAGTAGAGGAATCAGCTTTGTGAAGTTCTTCGCAAGATGAAGCAACCAGGAGGACGCACGATGAACATCGATCTCGCCGCGGCCTCTTTCCTCTCCTTCTCTTCCTCCCTCGCTCGACCACCGGGAACATTGACATGTACTCCACCAACAATGACATTCCCAACAGCCATAGCACTCGAGCTAGAATTAACTTCTTTGAACGCGCCATCCATCTTGTACTTCCATACCTCGCCTACGTCCCTATCGACGATCGTCCGGATCTCCTTCGCCATTCCTACCACCGTCTCAATGTGATTCGTCGACAACAGTCGATACAACGTCTTTTTGAGGATGTAGAACGTGTCGTCAAGAGACGAAGAGAGATAAGGCGACGAATTGAGGTCGAGCTCATCCATCTGTTGCGCCTTTTCGATTGAGGAACGTAGGTACCAGATGCTGAGTGGTTGGTAGACGGCACGGAGTTTCTCGGAGAGCATTTGCCCTAGCTCGGATTCTTCGATCATCGCTAGGGTGGGAGGGGTGTCGGGTGATGCAGAGTCGTCGTCGGTGGTGGCACAGGGGTTTGTGGAGGTTGCTGTGATTTTAGGTTGAGTGGCCGAGGGTGGTTCGGGCTGTGTCTCGTCATCATCATCCTGAACGCGAGAGGAAGATTCTCAGCACCTGATGCCAGCTAGAGTCTCCTGAAGACTCATGGACTTACCGTCAATCGACCATACAGAAACCTCCTCAACAATTGCCATCTTCCACTCATCAAGCTAGTCTCGGTCAAAAGCGCATCAATTTCCCTCGGATCGACACCTCCATCCTCCATCTGCAGTTGAGGCTGAGGCGTGCTACTCCCTCCCATCGTCGGACTCCCCGGCCTCGTCAACGAAGGCGTCATCGCAGATCTTCGCAAGTTCAAAGGCCCTCCCGCACTGCCACTCAAGGTGGGATTGGTCGATAACCCATAAAACCTCGATTCCCTGACTTGGACGAGCTTCTTCCTAACTCTCCTTTCCTCCTCCCATGCCATGAGCGTCTTGAGGCCTAGCTGGTCGGCCTGGGTCAAGAGGTTCGAAGCGACGTGGACCATCTTGCCTGGTCCGTAGTACTTTTCGACGACGGGTTGATGTTGGGATATGATGAGGGCGATCGATTCGAAGAGATTCGTGAGGACGGTGGAGAAATGCGTGGGGGACGAACCTGTTGAAGACGTGGCAGTGTGCCTGTCAGATTTCGCTCTCGATTTCTGGCCCCACCCCGAACGCGAAGAGAGATGGACTGACTCTTGCCCGTTGCTTGACCCGCCTTATCCCTGACGATACCAGCGACCCATTCGGCGTAAGCGATCAAACCTTTGTCTTCCTCCCCGATCATAGGGAACAGCTTGAAGAAGCGGTTGATGTTGTTCGTGTCGCCCGCGACGGCGGCGGTCTGGAACGATTCGAGAAAGGTTTTCAAGAGCGAGGCACGTAGCGTTGAGAGTGTTGCCGGAGGAGTTTGCGGTAGATCCGAAGTAGGCTGTGTGGGGTTCAACGTAGTCCGATGCGAACTGGAAACTGAATCAGCGCTGCTGGATTCTGTGCCCCACATCGCGCGCCCCGAGCAAGAGACTGACGACGACCGCTTCTGCGAATCCTGAAGCGACAATCTTGGGGTCTATGGCACTGGCTCGTTGCATAAACCTCGTTGCGGCTTCCCAGTCATTCTTCTCGATCGCGGTGTCGAGTGCAGCGATCGAGGTCTTGAGGTCCTGCACGGCTTGCACGTATTCGATCGCTTCCTTGACGCGGGACTGAAAAGAGCGATCACATGTCGGGGTGAGATCTGGAGTGTCAGGTACTGGAGGATTGCTCGAACGTACCTGCTCCTGATCCAATACCCTGACCTTGCCACCGACGCGTTCGGCGGTTGTAGCGACCTGCGCGACCTGACGACAAAGATGGGAAGCCTCGCCCTGGATGCCATGTACGACCTCCTTGAGCGAACCCAATCGATCAAGTTGGGCCTGCAAAGGCTGTTTGGCCGAGATGAGCTGCAGCAGTTGGTCATCGAGGGAGGACTCGTGGCGGGTCAGCTCGGCGAGGTGTTGTTCGATCAAGTTGCGAGAGGTTAGCGTCGACACGTCGAGCTCGAGCGGGACCGCCGTCTCCGGGGAGGGGGACATCGCCGTGCTGTGCGAGCGTCGGTGCGAGCGTGCGCCGTGCGTCGTGCGTCGTGCGTCGTGCGTCGTGCGTCGTGCGACGTGTTTGACAGAGATGAAAGGCTCCAAGCCGGAAAAGGAGATGCGAGGAAGTTGAGTTTTGGTGCGACGTCGTACGCGTGACGCGAAAGGAGACGAGACGAGAGGAGAGGAGACGACTCGGAACCTCGATCGATCAACGCGCTAGAACTCGCTAGAACAAGGCTGGAACGCGCTGCTCCTCGCGCTCTCTCGCGCGTCTCAGGCTCTCAGCGCTTCTCTGGCACCAACTTGGGACGAGAAGAGAGACGGGATCCGAACCACTACAAGAGGCCGTGCCCGTTTGATGGCGACCTACGTCGGTGCATTCGATCCTCATCCCAACCCGTTCCAACCTTTGCTCCAGCACCACAGTAACCCTCGGCACGCCCTCGCCCATCACCCCACCTCGTCGTCCCATCTCCCAGGCGGATCCCATCGTCTCCAGCCTCAGGGAGGGCAACGACCAGGATCAGGGCTAGCGCAACCGTCGTCCTCGACGATGTCATCCGATCCCAATGACCGCTCGTCGTGGCACCCGTTGCCGTCGATGTACCTCCCCACCGCCGCGAGCTCGAGCCTGTTCGACCCCGCTCAGCCGTTACTGCTCGCCGCTTCGGCACTCGGCACCGTGTCGACCTACTTCTGCAACCCCATTTCGGGTCTCACTTCGCGCTACACGAGCTACAGCGCGCACCAGGGTCCGGTCGGCGAGATCGCGGTCGACCAGAACGGCATCCTCAGCGTAGGTGGGGGATCCGCTTCTCCGTCCTCGTCGTCCTCGTCGGCGAGGCGTAACCGGTACTCGAGCATCAAGATGGCCAATCGGAGAGGTCTGACCTCGTGGACGATCGAAACCGATACGACCATGCCGCTCACCACCTTTGCCTACACCCCCGCGAGGTCGTCCGAGATCGTCACCACCGGTCCCGGGTCGGATATGTTCGTCGTCAACCTCAACCGTGGATCGGTCGTACGACGTCAAGCCACCCCATCCCCGTTCGTTCACTTGAGACGATCAACACACCTCGTCGCATCGACAACGACAGGTTCTCTCGTCCTGCTCGACGCGCGCACCTCGGAGCTGTCGACGACCGAGACCGTGCTCGCCCATACAGGGGGTATCTCCCAACTCGAGGTCGAAGGCAACTATATCCTCACCATCGGCTACACCATGCGTCAAGGTCTCCCCTTACCCGACCCTTATCTCAAACTCCATGACGCGCGCTTCCTACGACCGCTCTCCCCGATCCCCTTCCCGACCCCGCCAGCGCTCATCAAGTTCCACCCGAGGGTATCGGGCTCGGTCTTTGTCGCCAGTGCCGAGGGGAGGGTCCAGATGCTCGACCTCAAGGAAGTCGGCAAAGGATCCGTCTTCCAGATCGACACACCGGCCTACCTCTCGTCCATGGCCGTATCCCCCACGGGCCAAGGACTCGCCTTGACCGACACCGAAGGCTACGTTCATCTCTGGTCCGCGCAGAATGACTCCAAGTTTCTGCGCTTCGAGACGGAGCAGATCGAGCTCCCCGATGTCGTCGATCCACCCGAAAGAATTCACTGGAACGATCAGACCCCGCTCAACTCGATCGGTATGCCTTACTACTCGCAACCTTTGCTGTCTATGGCCGCAGCGAACAACTCCGATCTCCGTCCTCACCCTCTGCACCACCGGAAACCCATCTTGGACCCCGCGCTGTTGGCCAGCGTCAAGCAGGTCGACTTTGTCGGGTACGCCGCCTACCCTCCTAGTATGAGGGTGGCACAAAGGAGGAACCAAGTTCCCAAGATGGTCGACGATCAACGCCGTATGGGCATGGACGTCCCCATGTTCAGGAGTGACAGGGAGCGAGCGGCGATGAAGAAGAAGCGCGATGGGGTGACGGAGGAACAACAGGCTCTCAAGGATCTGAAGGGGGACCTTGCGGAGGAGGAAGATAGTGAAGAGGATAAGGGCAAGAAGAAGATGCCGAATCATTATCGCAAGGTCGAGATTCAGTATTCGAGGTTTGGTGTCGAGGACTTTGATTTTGGGTCAGTCTCTCCGCGGTCGCGCCATGGAGGTGTCGTAGGCTGACCTGACTTTGCGATCACTGATAGCTTTTACAACAAGACACCGTATTCGGGTCTCGAGACTCACATCACCAACTCGTATACCAACTCGTTGCTCCAAGCACTGCACTACACAACCCCGGTTAAAACACTGGCAGAAGCGCACACGCACACCTCATGTCCGAAGGAGAACTGCCTCTTGTGCGAAGCTGGCTTCTTGTTCCGCATGCTCGGAGACGCGAAGGGCATGAACTGTCAGGCGAGCAATTTTTCGAGGGCGTTTGGGGCAAGCCCACAAGGTAAGTCGACATGGGGGAACCTCCCCGTGGTAATGAGGATTTGCACCCTGATCGTCCTCGTCATATGGCCAACAGTGTCTGCTCTGGGGCTCATGGATCACGACAACGAGACCTCGTCAACAGTCGCCTACGCCTCGTTGATCCAAACGTTCTCGCGCTACCTCCTCGAGCAAATGTCCGCCGAGTCTAACGTCGGTTCGAACGCGCCCTTGTGCAAAGCCAAGACGACCACCGATGACGCTTCGGTTCCGTCACCCTTGGCTCAACTCTTGAGGATCGAAGCCAAGACCGTGAGCGTGTGTTCGCAATGTGGATCCCAATCGAAGAGAGACACGGGTTTCAGCACGGTCGACTTGTTGTATCCTAGGCGGGTGAGTAGATGCTCAGGGTCAGGGCTTACCCGGCACGCTGGCTAAACAACTTCTCACGTTAGGCGCTCTCAAACGAGGTTCCACCCGCTTCGGATTTCACGACCTTGTTGCGCAACTCGATTCATCGCGAGACCATCGCCCGCATGGTCTGTTCGACATGTCGTCAACCCAATCATCTACGGATACGTCGTGTCGTCGCCGAGACGACCTTGTTACCCCCCGTTTTAGTCGTCAATGCTGGAGTGAGGACGTCGGATGAATTGGAAGTGTGGATGGACGGGTCAGCGGCTGCGATGGGAGCGGGGAGCGGGCTGGGAGCGGGAGGTCGGAGGAGGTTCTTGGAGTCGAGGTTCGAGGTTAGGAGGAAGGGCGAGGTGTTGAGCATTGAGAGTTCACCGAAGGAGGTGAAGGAGAGGATTGAGGCGGAAAATGGAGTGGTCTATGAATTAAGGGTGAGTTTGTTTGCTGATTATGTGGGCCGTGTTGCCGAGCTGACCCGCAACTTGCCGTACTCCTTGCCAGGCCATGGTGGTTCAGATCCAGTCGGAAGGGGATGCACCGCATCTGGTTGCACTGGCCAGAGGTGGGTTTCAGGGAAAGACAGGGTATGCGATGAAGCATCCATCTCACGCAGTCAATCTCGCCTCGTACACAGTGTCATCTGAGGAAAGGAATCCCGGCTCATCGTGGCATGTCTTCAACGACTTCCTCGTCCGCCCCATCAGCGAGGACGAGGCGCTGAGCTTCCCTAGCTCATGGAAGGTACGGTATTCCTTCACATGCTACATGGGGATCTGGTGGATTGAAATCTGCTTGATTTGCCCACGTAGATTCCGGCGGTTCTGTTCTACCAGCGCGTCGACTCGTCGTCTCTGCTCGACTTCTCGGCGCTGCCTCTCAAGGGCGACCCCTCAATCCTGTGCGAGGATATCACAGTCTCAAAGTAAGCCCAATCCGACGTCAACCTTGTGATCAGATCAGTGATGCTGACTCACCCATTTCACCGAGCCTATAGGAACCGCGATCCAAAACTGATCAAACACCAACCCCTTAGAACGATCGAGCTCCCCCATCCGGGAACACTCATCTCCATTGACGCCGAATTCGTTTCCCTTCAATCGGAAGAAGCCGAATTCCACTCCGACGGAACGAAGAAGGTTCTGAGACCTAGTCGAATGACGTTGGCTAGGGTCTCGGTGTTGAGAGGGGAAGGGGAGGATACGGGGATTCCGTTTATTGATGATCATATTCATACGAGTGAATCGGTCGTCGATTATTTGACGGAGTTTTCGGGTATTCAAGGTGCGTTGAATTTGCTCGTCCAAGGGCGATGTTTCCGAGCTGACGTTTCCCTCGTCTATTTTCAGCGGGTGATCTCGATCCTTTTGTTTCGAGACATACGTTGGTCCCGCTCAAGGTCGCGTACAAGAAGTTGAGGATGCTCGTCGATCTCGGCTGCGTCTTTATCGGCCACGGGCTCAACAAGGATTTCCGTATCATCAGTGAGTTCACCTTCACCTCATCATTCGCGCTTTCGGGGATTTGAGGAGGGTGACTCACAGCGATGATACCCCAGACATCTACATCCCTCCTTCCCAAATCATCGACACCGTCAACATATACCATCTCTCGCATCGCCAACGCAAGCTCTCCCTCCGGTTCCTCGCCTGGGCAGTACTCAAATTGGACATCCAATCCGACGCGCACGACTCGATCGAAGACGCTAGGACAGCGTTGCAGTTATACGAGGAATATTATAGATTGGAGGCGGAGGGGACTTGGGAGGAGGTGTTGGAGGAAGTGTATAGGGATGGGAAAGCGACGGTGAGTGGACTTATTTCGTGGGCCCAGGGGGGGGGTATGTGTCTGACCACCCAAGACTTGCTCTTCATGACCAGAATTTCAAAGTACCGCTTCCAGGTGGCGGGATCCCGACCATCTCTCCGACCCCAGCATCAGCCACGATCGCAGCGTCCTCCACGGCAGGCACGCCAACAAACTCGACTCCGAGCGTTCGTTCGCCGCGCTCGTCCCAGCGACAACCACCCGGATTTTGATTCCCGCGTCAGCTGTAGTATTTGGAATGGAATGCAAATTTGAAGAATCTGCAGAAATGTATTGCAAGGATCTAAGATAGATACGAAGACCTTATGCGGAGATGTGATTGTTCTTTTGGAGCCAGGTGCGGAGATCTTTTCGGTCCCTTCGGAGCCATGCGGCATTGGCTCGGATCGCTTCGAGGCCCTGTATCGACGCCAAAAAGAAAATTAACATCAGGATATTCTGCATTCTACATGCCGCTCCCCAGCAATTGAACAACTCACCTGATCCAAAGCCTGCTGGAAGATATGGGTATCCTTGCCCTCGAAAAAGTGTTCGACCTCATCCGCATCCTTGTCCGTCGTAAAGGTATTGAACGCCTTCCCAAAGATGTAGGGCGCCTGGAAATTCCCATCCAACCTCTCGACCAACGCATCGAAATTACTTTTCAACAACCCCCACAGCTTTCGTTTCGCCAATGGGTTCATCGAAAGCCACGTGAAGAAGGACGAGATATCTTGCGTCTTGACCTGCTTCGACAAGACGAACTCGAGCGTTTCTTGCAACCTCTTCTCGTCCCGTGTCGAACACAGTGCCGATACGGCAGCTGAGAATTGCACGGGGTTGGGTCGCGCGAAGATGACTTGGAGCGCTTTTGCAAATTCCTCTGCTCCACCGTGTTGGACGCAAGTGCGGAAGATGGTGGGGAAGAGGTCGGAAGGGATGAGGGAACTGTCGTTTGATTCAACGAAGGGCCGAAAGCGCCTTTGAAACTCTTTGATCGTGCTGTGGATGGAAGGACCAGTCACACCAGTCCAAGCCTCAACGTGCAGATCTTGGATTCGGTCGTAATTCCTCAGAACTCACGCGGGATCCTCACTCGAAGCCATCGCGGACCAACTCAACGCCCTCAACTCGACGTCCTCCAACCTCTCCCTCTCAATAGGATCCAAACCCAGTCTCTTCGCCTCCTTGGCAAACCACCGCTTCTTCAACTTGGCCAATCCCTCCAGAACGCTCTCATTCTCTTCCCACCAAACACTCGAGATCGCGCTCAAAGCGGAGGAGATTTCAGAAAAGACGAGGTATTCCTTCTCTGTCGGTGCGATGAGGTCGGCGAGCGCTAGGAAGGAGGACGTTTTCGAGTAGCCTGAAGAGGCGAGCACGGAAGCGTCTTGGATCAAGCCCATTCGATCGGTCAGGGAAAGGGACGAGTCGGGTCGGATGGCTTCCTCGCCGAGGCGCTCGAGACGAGAGGCGGGGTATAGAACACGATCTGTTCAAAGTCAGTGTTAGCGATTCCGAGCGCCAGTCAGTCGAAGAGGTGCACTCACAAACACCGCAAGATTCGGCATTGAGCTTGTAAATCCCCTTCTCGATATCAGGCAAGGCGATCTCCATCTCGCGATCCGAGAAGAGAAGAGATCGGTTTACTTTGCGTTCGCCAGTCCTGGGATCCACGGTCAACAATTGTAGAGGGATGTGCCACAGTGTCTCATCCTCCTCGGCCTATGACCGGCAGAGGAGTAATTTGTCAGTATTAGACGTGCGGGGGTATCGCGTCGCTTACAGTAGCATCTCCAGAGCTGAGGAACCGGTGCTGGGTCAACTTGAGCCCTTTGAGGCTTTCTTCGACCTTCACGTAAGGGAAGCCAATCTGTAGTCTAAACCCTTGTCAGCTAGTGGGTCGAGATGAAATCCTCTAGCACCATTGTGACGGACCTTGTTGACCCAATTATCCATGACCTTGGCCACATCCTCGCCCGAGCTCTTCGCAATCCCTTCCCATAAATCTATCGTCTTCGTATTCCCCCACAGATGCTTCTTGAGATAGATCGTCACCCCTTCTATGAATTTATCCTCGCCGATCCACCGACACAACTGCTTCAAGACGCTTGCTCCTTTGGAATAACTGATACCATCGAAAGCTTGCGAGATGGCAGCTTCGTCGGGGACTCGGACCTCGATGGGGTGCGAGGAGCGCAGGGCGTCGAGTTTGAGTGCGCGGCCGAGGTGTTCGGATATGAAGGAGGCTTGGACGTTCCAAGTAGGTTCGAGACGGTCTATCATGAGACATTCTCCCATGAGTGTGGCGAACGCCTCGCTGAGGTAGAGGCCGGACCACCCTGGTAAATCCAGTTCTCAGGCGGATCAGCTCAGGAAGGCCACGGAGCACGGTCGCATCAAAGACTCACAGTCCATCGATACCATGTCACCGAACCAGGTATGACTGATCTCGTGCGACGTGATGGAAACGACACCCTTCCTCGACGCAACCGACCCTCCTTTGGAATCATCAAAACGCCGAGGTGCGGCCCATCTGGAGACCGAGGTTCTCCATCGCTCCGAGATCAAAGTCGTTGACGACGAGGGTGTCGAGTTTGAGGAGCGGGAACGGGATGTCAAACACTTGCTCGTATCTACAGTACAAAGAGTGATGAGTACCTTATTCCGTCAGGTTCTGAGTGAGCTGGGCAATACCCACTTGGGCACCAATCTCCTCGTCGTTTCGAGCGCCAACAGCGTCTTGTCAATCTGATCCCACGTCGCATAGAACCTCAAAATCACATCTCTTGTCCTGCCATCCATTCCGACCGAAGTGAAATGATCCTCGCGGTACTCGAATTGACCGTTCGCGAAAGCGACGAGGTAAGACGACAGCAAAGGGGTCGGGTGGAAATGCACGATGTGCCAATCTTTTGCTTTCGAAACAACGATCCAATCCGTCTCAACAATCGATTGATCGGTCTCGCTCGGAGCCTTGGAAACCCCGAGCTCACCCTTTGCCTGATCGAATTCGATGTTGCCGGTGGAATCTTGGTCGGTAGCCTTTGCGTCAGAGTAAAAGTCGTCATCAAGTAGTTCATCGATGGGGAAGCGTTGGCGATCTTGCATGATGTCGACATGGTCGACGTGCATGTTGGAAAGGGAGGTCGTGCGGACCCTGGAGATCATCGACAACTGCCAGATGGCTTTGAAGTGGGGTTCATCGAAGCAAAGCTGCGGGATGAAAGGGTGCTATCAGCTCGGCGCGGTCAAATCGCGAACAGTGAGCGGTATGGCTCACGAAAGCTCTTCTTGCCGATGTTGGTTGGAACTGGGTACAGGCAAAGACATGGGTCTGCCCCTCCTCGCCGCCCTTGCGTGGGTAAGTCGAGGTGTAGTATCTGCTTTCCGGACCAGATTGCGACGGTTACACCGCATATCTCAGACCGTCAGCGTGGTGACGCTCGGCCCCTGCTTCAAGTGTCGCAGAAAAAACAGATACGGACCCTTTCATGGACCGATTGAGTTCGCCATGCCACCTCAACGCCATCTTGTACTCGGCTGGTTCAATCTTGCCACCATGGAAGAACAGTTTGGCCTTTTCTCCGTCGTACTCGACGTGGTCCAACCGCCGCTTGGGCGCGTGGCTTTCTTGGGCGAAAGCCGATTGGGTCGAAAAGAGGAACGCGTTGGATTCGTGGAGGACCAAGGGTGATGCGGCGTGGAGGGTGATGCATTCGATGGGTTCATGTACGGTCAAGGTGGTGATGGAAGCCCCTTTGTAGAGCAGAGCCTCCAAGTCGGTGAGTAAGCGGATCGAGTAGTGCGATGGCCTGCACGTGGGGTCGCACACGGCGGCAGATGCAGTGGGATCATAGTGGGGCTTCAGTACGGGCGTGGGTGGGGGACGGCATGCCGAAGCGAGTACCTGGCGATCACCGGAGCGATCTTGTGCACTCACGACACCGAACTGGGCAGGCGATTCGAGTCATCAGAACAATTTCCCTCGACCATGATAGCCCGTGTATCCAGGCAGGTGGTCCGGAGCTTGCACAGAGAGACCGACGGGGAGAGAGACGGAGACGGCCGAGAGTCGGGGTCCACACCGCTCACTCTAATTCCCAGTTGGGCACCATTACCAGCGATTACTAGCCATTACTGAGATCGGCGCTTAATACCTCGCCGTGAGCTCGCTTGGCGCGATCGCGTCTTGGCTTCGCTCCGCACCGAGTCGCGACCCAACTGGTGAGTCCCCGCGCCGTTTCCTGCCTCCGGAACTACAAATACGACGCCCACCCACCCACTTCCTCGACCCAATCCGAACAACCAACGCACGATGATGATTGTAAAGCACTGGGTTCCGAATCGAGCTGCGGGCAATTCAAAAGGGAGCGAGTGTATTTTACCTCGTTTCCTGCCCGCAAGTCCTCTTGAGCGACAAGCTTTTAGCGGCCTAGAAAACCGTGTTAGCCGAGTGCACACCATGCCCAATCTCTGCAACAACGGACTCATGAAGTGGTACACGTGTACTGACGCTTTTCGCTGCCCCCTTTTTTTCTTGGCTCCGCGTGCTGGCGACCGGATGTGATCAGGGCTGGACGGACCACCCTTTTCGAACACCTAGTACTCTTTTACTCGTTCTCGTCGCACACTTCTCCAGTGATATTCACTCTAATAGCGAGTTGTCTTGAGCGTCTGAGCGCACGGTTCCTTCTTTCGAGCTGAGCTTCACGGCGAAACTGGCCTGCGTGTAGAGTGTGAGATGGGGACGGGACATGCAATACATCCTTTACTGTGGCCACACTCTGGCATCGTCGTGTGACCCCACGCTGGTACTCTACCGAGCGCTATATTTGGCCGGTTGGGCTGGGCAGACTGTGCTATGATTTGTAGATTGTCTTGCATGCTGTGTGCCACGGGAAGAATGTCAGAATTTGCCGATGTCCGTAGATGTCCGTCTTGAACGATCGACGCGACGTGCGCGACTGATGACGATATTGCGCTCGGATCCGCTCCACGACCTTCCTGCGTGCACAACGCCGGCCCCTTACTCGCATTGGCCAGTGCAGGACCTCGTGCCAAGCCAGCGCGTGCTGGGCAGCATGGTATCGTCTCCGGATATCTCCGCTGAGGAGCCAGCTGATCGGGGCGATGACAGCACGAACACGAACCACGTCGAGCGACCCTCGGCGACGACGCTCCTGTCGCAATGGCACAGCTTCTTCAGTGACCCCTTTCTGTCACCGCACACGCTCAAACAGTCCTCGCTCTCGGGTAAGATCACCACCCTGAGGTCGCTGCATTGGAGGGTTAGTTCGTCTTGGCTCGGCTGGTCTCTACCCTCTCCAGCCTCCCCCCACTTCAGAGGAGCCCGTAGCTGACTCTGCTTCATTCTCACCCCACACCGTACCACGCAATAGTACTTCTTCTCCCTCTTGCCAACCCCGGCACCGTTGGGCGCTTCCTCGATCCCAAGCTCGATATGGACCTCGTACGAACGCATGCTGCAACATGCTCGCTCAGAGTACATCTCCCTGCGCTCGACCTACCTCCGTTCCCCCGACGGCAAATGGTGCTCCGACTACCTCTCCCTTGCCTCGATCGAATCACCTAGACCACCTGTACCACCCAAGTTCACCGCCAATGGTCATTCCTCCGTTGCTTCGGGTCGCATGACCAAGGTCCAGGTCGACCAGAACAACCCGCTCGCGATCGACGAGGCGAACCCCTGGACGAGCTGGTTCGAGGACCTCGAGCTGAGGAGGGTCATCCGTCAAGACGTGTCTAGGACGTGAGTCGTCCGGTCCAATGCTTCCGTCCTGATAGATCTTATGCTCCTGCTCCCCCGCGCTGACCCCGCCTCTGCATGATGTAGCTTTCCCGAGATTCCCTACTTTCATTCGTCTCAAGTTCAAGATCAGATGACCGATCTCTTGTTCATCTTTGTCAAGTCGTTCGCATCCGACACGGGCTACCGACAAGGCATGCACGAACTCGTCGCACTCGTACTGTGGGTCGTCGACTGTGATGCCCTGCCCCCACTTGCCTCGCGCGATGGGAAATCTGAACGCCCACATGATTCGGAAGGGCTGGCTCGTCTTGTGTTGAGTCGAGATCATATCGAACACGATGCGTGGTCCTTGTTCACAACCTTGATGAAGTCTGCCAAGTCGTTCTATGACCCCACACCTTCGGTATCCCTACCTGCAGCGGCGAGCAAGACGCCGTCTTCGGCAATTGCAGCCATATCGACCGTGATGGTCCAGCCTATCGTTGCGACGTCGATGAGGATCCACGACTCTCTGCTCGCGACAATCGACCCGGAACTGCATGCCAAGTTGGATCGACTCGGTATTGAGCCCCAGTTGTACACGATCAGGTGGTTGAGGCTGTTGTTCACGAGAGAGTTCCCTGTCGAAGAAGCTTTGCTCGTGTGGGATGGCATATTCGCTGAAGATCCGAATGTGAGCCGTTCAGACTGACACTTGACCGCTGCACCCGAGCTTATCTCCTTTTCAATATTTTCTACAAAAGCTCCGGGTGACCGAATTCATTTGCCTCGCGATGCTTTTGCGCATCCGCTCCGCCCTCCTCTTGGCCGACTACTCAAGCTGTCTCTCCCTCCTCCTCCGCTATCCTTACCCAACCTCCTCACCCGATTCGCATCAAGTGACGTATCTCATCTCTCAAGCTCTACTACTCCGCGATTCCCTCTCACCTTCGACGGCCCAGATGATCCTTCGCGTCAACGAGCAATACGGCTTACAAGCTGGTGATTCAGACCTGCTGAGACTGGAACGGGGGGAAGATGATTTACCTAGAAACGGGGGCCCAGGAAGAGGTGTGAACAATGGTGCTTTGGCCGGGAAAGGGTTGGTCGGTGATCTGGCCAAGGGGGTATATGGACGCGCAGAAGCGCTGGGTTGGACAGGAGCTCTGCAGGGGGGGTTGGCCACGATCAATGATTTAGTCAACGTGGGTCTCTTGCTCGTGCTTTCAAGTTTGACCCCTCCTTTGGAGCTGACACAAATACCCTTCATCACTTCAGCGTGGTATGGCGGCTCAGCTGGCGGCAAGGCCCCTTGCTCGGGATCCGTTATCCAAGATACCTGACCGCGCGCCTTGGGAGGTCGTGCAACAGCCGCATCATCAACCGCCAGAAACAACGCGGCCTTTGCCTCCCGCCCCTTCGTCCCCATCTCTGTCAATCTCGAACAGCCTTAGGCTGTCCAGGGCGATCGACGCGTGTGTCTCCGCACTCCAGGCTAGCGCTACCGATGGGTCGTCTCCTTCGACCACGGATATTATGGACGTGTTGAAACACGTTCGAGATGTTCTGGGCTCCAATGGTTCCGTTCTCGTCGATGAGAGCATCTTGGGCCGAATCAGCGCGATCACGATGAAAATGCCCAAGTCTCCACTCGTCGACAACAACCGGGTCCAGCGCCCATCGACCAGTTCGGCGTCGGCTACTTCGACAAGCATCACCGAAACATCGTCGTCGAGTGCACCGGTGACTCCACCAAGTACGCATCCTTCTTCGCCTGGAGTAGGGCTAGCGAGTCGTGATACATCGTCAACCCCTTCACCCAAATTGGGGCCGGCGTTCGTCGAGACCAAGCCCGCCTCTTCGTGTCTGGCCCATTCCACCGGCCCCTCCCCACCACTATCCGCTACACCCTCTATACAACGCAAGTCGTCATCCATCCCACAACCGCACACTCAAAAATCGCTCGGCCTCGGTGCGAACGCCCGCGCCGCACCACTCCCTCTCACCGGTTTCTCAACTCGAGCTTCGGGGATGACATTCAGTCTTGCGGACAGAGGTTCAGGGACGGGGGATGGGATCGGACTGGGATTGATGAGCAGTGCTTCGCCTTCGTCTCCTCCTTCGATGGGAGGTGGAAAGAGGTCTTCGACGTTTCGTACGGTGAGGGATCCATTGGGGGCTGTGGATGCTTAAGGGGTTTGGAGGTTAGTGTGAGGTGTGGTTGAATGTGTTTGTTGTAGCTTGGTATATAATGTGTGTGTGATAAGTATAGATTGATCCGATCTGCATTGTCCCACGTAAGACTCACGGCCATCAGACGACTTGAGGTGAGGAGGACCAGAACGCTTGGCAACTAAAGTCGGAGGCAATCGTCGTCGCGTGGCGAACGTGGTAGGTGTCCCCGAGTCGAACGACGGTCGCGCGTTTCCTCTCTCCGTTCTAGGTCTGACGCCACTCGAGAAGTCCCCCACAATTAATGGTTAAGAAGACCAGACAAACTATCTATAGCTCAAGCAGCAGTATCCACGACGATAGGAACGACACGTCTGATGCGGCGTCGAGGGCTTCAAGCGATTCGGGGTCGGACAGACACCCCGCTCGACGTCGTGGCGCTTCGTCGACCAAGAATCGCCGCGCTGCAGAGGACCCGGCCGTACAGACCAGAAGTTGGCTCATTGAGCGACTGCAACGGTCGCGCCCGCTACGGTTGGTGAGAAGTTGAGAGAACACTTTGGGCTCGATTTAAAATTGGTGAAGCCTTTCGTATCGAGGAAGTCCATTGCAGCTAAGGGCACCGCGACGTGGATTTATCTGCATCGGCTTCACCTATGATGAATACATTCGGAAAACACCCGAGCTTACTAATTCATTTATAGGTCGTAGCTGGTTAGGTAAACACTTACCTCATCTAGACCTGCGACAGGCCGGGGGTTTGGTACGTGAGGCCATTACTAATGATGACGCATCTCGTGCCCCACACTCGCCCCACCTCGCGCTCGATCGGATCGACACGGAAATGATCCGTCATTACCGCTGATTGACCCCGAATTCGTGCAATCCTTCTCTCTTGACTTCTTCCCATCCACTCGATCACCACTTTTCGCAGACCTACTTCCTAACTACACAAGATGCCTCACACCGGTTCCTGCCTCTGCGGCTCCGTCCAAATCAAGATCGCGTAAGTCCTGCTGACTTCGGGCCCGCCTTAGTTAAGTGCGAGCCCGCGGTCTCTGATCGACCCCACATCGTCCGATTTCGTGTCCACTGCAGGTCGAGCCACGAATCTCAGATCGCTTGCCACTGCACCGACTGCCAAATCACCTCGGGCTCCGCTCACTCCACCAATATCCTGGCCAAGCAATCTGGTCAGTTCAGAGTTCGAGTATCACGGTATCACGATCGGGCAATTTCGCCCTCAGTGGTGGACGTCGTCGAGTCCAGCGTATTTAAACCGCAATCAACCTCGTGTACTTTTCTTTCCTCTTTGACAAGATGTTGAGTTCAAGGGCGATTCGGTCAAGAACTACGACAGCAAGGCGGCTTCGGGCAACACTGTAACCCGGGTCTTCTGCGGAAACTGCGGATCTGCTCTCGGTAAGTCCGATCGGCGCTTCACAGTTTCTCCGCGCCGTGGATAATATGACCTTGGGACGGGGATCAGGGACGGGGATTAACACTCCGCTGAGCCTCATTCTACCGATATTGCAGCTCACAAGTCGAAGGCTTTCGGTGACTCCATGGCCGTGCAGACCGGTACATTGCCCGACTTCCGCAAGATCCCGTTCGAAGCCGAGCTCTTCACCAAGGACCGCTGGACTGGCCTTCAGGCCATCAACGACGCAGCGCAGAAGGAAACTATGTAGCAGTAGACCACGATTTTGATGAATGGAATGCATAGTCTCCTATGCGTTTGCTTGTCCTTCACGGCATCTTCTCGAGGCTCCTCTGTCACGGTCACGGTCACGGTCACGGTCACGGTCACGATTTCTTCAAGGATGGAGCACCTAAGTCACCCTCTGGTGACGATGGCGCCGACTGCCACTGATATCCCACGAGGAACACAAGAGACATAAAATTCTCAGACATACACACTCGGCGACTATCATCGATTGAGACGTGCAGGACGGCCCCGCGATGCCGAATCTGTAAAGGGATGCCTTACAGAACAGCCCTATAAGTAGCCTCTGAGTAGCTAGAACTGTCGAGTTCTAGTTACGACTTGCTTTTAGCCTAGCGGTCAAGAACGACAGATTGTATTTTATGCACATCAGAGGCGCATACCTTACAGAACCTTCTGGTCTTTCGCCGTGGTAGCCCGAGTGCCGAAGAAACCTCATCATGTTACCGGGAAACCCTGCCCTAGGCTTCTTAAAGCAGGGTTAAATACCTGTAGACTCGAAATGACTCATCGAACCTATGTGATGTGATTACAGACCATGGGTGCTCTGAGTGAGGAGCGATTGTGATGCCATCATTGGTCGATTCGCGGCGGCAAACTCTCATAACGAGTGCTGTACCTACTCGGTTGGGTGCCAAGTCTCCTCCGATGCTGGACTTTCACACGCTGCTCTGCATACGTCCCTGTCTCGCTCGGCGCTGTCGACGCTCACCGAAAGCCTCGACCTCGGGCAACTTTGGCAGTCCGTCCAAGGGCGCAGAGTCTGACCGAAGAGGGGCTGGTAGCCAGCGGCGGCACTTCTGGATCTCGGGCGAAAGATGAGGGTCCTGAGTCGATTATCGTAAAGGTCCGTGGAGAAGGCTCACAGGATGTCGCCAGAGATGGGATGTGGGGCCCGGAGAGAAGCAGTTGATAGACTGGCACCCATGTAGGCATTTACTGAAGGCGTAGCACCAGCATGACGCCGCCGGAGTCCGGACCATCACTCGTGACCGCGCACTTCTGCGAGGCTTCCTCCCTTCCTTCGCAACTAAAAGTCCATCCTTTCGTATCCCTATTATTTTTCCCACCTACCTACTACCCGTCCAAGATGCTCACACCGGTATTTGCCTCTGCGACCAATCACGATTGCCTGAGCATTGTCAGCGGAATCTCGGGAACTTTTTGTGTTCTCCATTTCTGACCGTTCCCATGTCTTCCTTGATCCTCACTCTTGCAGCTCGACTGCTATGGTATAGCAAAGCGGTCGATCAAAGATAATATGAAATGATAAGGGGAAACGATGGAACCGAGACCGAAGACGAGGGAGACGAGATACGAGAGAGCGACCGGAACGGCCGAGAGACGAGAGACGAGAAAGGAGCCCAAACCGAGAAACGAGACCGAGTATGAGAACGAAACGCTGAGACCGGAGACCGGAGACCGGAGATGAGAGACGAGACTTGAATCACGCAGAAAGTGAGAACCAGCTAAGATGCTGTATTGGATCCTAGAAGTGGTCTAGCTAAGAACAAGACGCAAACTCCCCTCAAACGTCCCGACCATTCAAACCGCTGCGCTCCTTACATTCCCCTTTTCCCCTTCATCCGCGCATCCGGCCCGGTCTTCCATTCAAATCCCGCCACATGATTCGTCGCTGACAGTCTAGTCTCGAGTTACCGAAGTACTGAGTTTATCCGGGACCGCTTAATCGCTGAGAATTCCGCCGAAACTAGTGGAAATTGAATCGACTCCCGACCCGGCCGTCGAAACGACTTCGGAACTTGACCCTGCTTCGCTCGAAACGACTCCGCTACAACCGCTGCTTCCGACGGGATCCCGAGTGCCGCAGACCCCACTAAAATGACCCGAAATGACTCCTGGACCCGGCCCGCTATGTCCGAAATGTCTCCGACGTAACCCCGAGTACCACACTGCAAATATCAGATTGCATGCCACTGTATCGATTACCAAGCCACCTCCGGATCGGCTCACACCACCAACTTCTCGGCTAAGCAATCAGGTCAGTGAAAAGTACGAGCATCAGGTCCGATGTGCGAACTGGGCTGCAGGCATCTCCGACAAACTCGCCCCCCGAAATTTGCCCGCTGCACCAACTTGTGCAGCTTATTTGCGGCGCACTACTCAGCAAGAAGAAATCAGAGTTGATTTCATTGTGAGTCGTCATCTGTAAATGGCAGACGTCGAGCTCAAGGGAGCTTCCGTCAAGATCTACGACGGCAAGGTCGCGAGTCGGGCAACTTTGTGACCCAAGTGTTCTACAGACACTGTGGAACCTCTCTTGGTAGGTCCGAGTGGAGCTTCGCATTCATTGACTTTCACCGACGCATCCGACCAGGGACGAAAATGATTTGTCTGTTCTACTCACAATGTAGCGCACGAGGGGGTAGGTTTCGGAGACCGCATGGCCGTGCCGACAGGTACTTCGTCCGACTTCGGCAAGATCCCTTTCAAAGCCGAGATCTGGTGCCCGAACGGATGGAGCGTCTTTCCCGCCATCGCCTACACCAAACAATACGAGAAGAGAAGATTACATTCTCATCTATATATGCCTGTGCTCTACAGATTGACGAAATTTTGCACGTGCTCGCTCGCTCACGGACATTCACATCGGCGTAAAGCCCCCCGAGCGTAGTAGCCAATCGTGAGGCATGGCAAGAGGATCAAAGTACTGATTGGTGAGAGTCGAGTCACCGACCAGTGTCGGATCGAAAGTTGGGAACGTGTTCCACGAGATCGCGTCGAACGGGTTAAGCAAGTTGGCATCGGCTTGCGTGGGCGTCGCGCCAGGGATCAATGAAGTCGGCTGCGCCGCCGAGGGCGTCAGATCAGTGGCGCGCAGATTGTCGCTCATCAGCATCGGGTCGTACGGATTGGTGATCAAAGAAGAGGGCGCCCCGAAGCTCGACGAAGGGAGCCACAGACTAGGCCGCGCAATCTGGAATGTCGGCAAGGATGTTGAGGCGTCGGTGGCCTGGGGCTGCGGGTACAAGGGCGCGAAAGCGTCATTCGGCGCAGCTGAGGTCGCATCCGGATGCGTTGCAGCGACGGTGTCTTGGGCGTTCTTAAGCTGGCTATTGTCGAGCATGGACGTGACCCCTCCGAGTGTAGGATGAACCGGCCCTCCAGATCGCTCTGCATCTGGTTCCGTCGGTTGAGCCGATGAGACAGCGGGCTGCGTCTCCCTCGTCGGCAGAGTCGTGCCGGATGTACTCGCCACTGTGGCTGGGGGCGTACTGCCCGGCGTACCCGTCTCGAGATAAGCGATGAGGTTCGGGTAGGTTGCTACAGCGGTTTCCATCAGACGCCGCATGTACGTCATGGCAATGTGAGCGAGAAGAGTGTGCTTAGACAGCTTTTGGAACATGTGCGTAAAGATGCGGGTGTCGCGCAAAGTGGATGGCACCGGCGATGCACCCGAGGCTCCTTGTCGGAACATGAAAGTGAGGACTGTGAGAAACGCCACACCCATCTACGAGCGGAAAATGAACCACGGAGTCAGTTTGACAATCCAGCTACGCGCTGGCTCACATCTAATGAAGACATACCTTTTGCACAACTGTCCAGAACAAGTCGTCTATCCGTCCTGCTTGCAGCATCCAATTATTGATGTAGGCAATCGACGAGGTTGCGTGCGCGCAAATGTCGAGTGCTCGAAGGGGGATGAGGACCGAACGACTGGGGGCGACGAAGTCGCGGAAAATACGAATCTGCAGCTCGTAGTACGAGATGTAGAGGATCGCTGATGCCGTCAAGAACTTGGGGTCCAGTTTTTCGCCGTTCCTGCAAAACAATCAAGATGCCAATCTCAGTTCACGTCTTGTTGGGCCTCGTTGGTAACCATGTCACTCCACTGACCATCTCAAATGGGTGGGGACCGCGCATGCCCAGTCATTCATCTGCTGATCCAGATCAGTCACGAGGGCCGTACAAGCCTCTGCCGTCGTCGGCCGGTGAATTCCGTAGAGCGCGTTGAACATTTGCCCAAAGATCCGTGAGAGACGAGACATGCACTCGATAAGTGCGACAACCGAGGGATCCCGAGTTGCTGGAGGTGTGCTCTTGGGTCCTCGCAGATTGTAGTCGTCCAAATCAACGTCCGAGATGTCGAGAGGATAGTCAAGATCGATATCGTCGTCGATGATGGACGTTGGTCGACCCAAATTCGTAGAGATGGCCCGGTCTAGCGAGTAGAGCGTGTGAAAGGCCCTCTTGCGCAGCTGATCCTCGAGCGGTGAGCTCGTCCACCGCGTCCGAGTCTCTCGATGACATCCGACGTCCACTGCTTTTTGCAGCGCATTCCCTATGGAGCTCCACACGGGAACGAGAGTCATGGACCCCATTTGGTAAAAGATGCCAAGGACGGAGGCTTGAACATCAAACAATGTCGCGGGGATCACCGCAGCGACCGAACTGAAATCTTCGCCCACCGCGGCGCGATACCAATTCAAGCCCTTGCAAATGCAGGGCTCAGCATTCTTCCCGGAAGAATCGGACGTGTTGGCGATGATCTTATCGATTCGCCGATCCTCGACCCATCGCGATCCGAGCGCACAAATCATGAATACTGCGCGGGGGACGGGAAGATGCCATTGGGGTTAGAACAAACGTTGACGTGTGGATTGAAAGTGGGATTGCATGCTCACCAAGACCACGAAACGATTTATTCGACAAGTGCATGTTGGCGTTGAGAGCGCGTTCAAACGAAGGGCGGTGCAAGATAGGCAGTTGGCGATCGTTGAACTCGGTAAAGTAGGCATCGATCAATTTGCGCAACAGATCCGGAGGCGGGAGCGTATTCGGCGGCTTCGACCCGTTCAGGTAGTCGAGCTCGAGCAATTCACCAACAAGCGAAGGCGGTTCGTCGGGATCGATGATAGGTGCAGGTGCCCGCATATCGCGCACGAGCTTCTGGAGAAAGAAGGGACTCGATCCACGTCCAACGTAGTGAACCTGTGGTTCGAAAAGAGACGATCAACGCTCGAGATCTACGCTCTCGACGGCTTCGACTAAAACGGACTCGATCTAACGCAATATCATCTTCGAGTGAATCCCAAGCCCCTCCTCGGTTCCGGATGGCGTGCGACGTTGTTGACGATGACGAAGGCGTGCCAGCCGGCGACAGCGACTTAATGCGCTCGGCGCGGATCTGCCGCGCGAGATGCTCGATCTCGATCCCTTGCTGGGTCCATAGCACGTCATGATCGTGGTTTTCGATGAGCTCGTCGAGCATCTTGATCAGATTGACGCCGCCGTCGCTGGTGAGCTCCTGAATACGGCTGGTGACGGACTTGATGCGCGCCTCGAGCAACTCGGCCGGGTCCGCGAGGGGCACGCCGCGCTTGATCGGCTCGTACGTGCACGGGACATTGTTCGAGGAGCAGTACGAGCACGGCGCCGATCCTGGTGGTGGAGTCCCAAGTTGCAAGTGAGCTCGTCAGCTAGGCCTCGGATCACGTCATGACCGCGTCGAGAAAGCTTAGGACTGACCATCATCTGTGTAAGGAGGTAGTCAGGGAAGGGGATCGGCCAGTCGTCAAGCGGCGGGTCAGCTCGGGCTCATCGCCAGCGCATCAGCGAAGTAACAGCCATCGCCGGCTGGGGGCTTGGGCCGGAAGAGGGGGGGGGGGGTTCGGAGAGCGTGAGAAAGCAAGCTGTGCCTGGACGACGACGGACCTGTTTGGTTCGAACATCGCGTCTTGCGTCTTCTACACGCGTCGCCTGTATCGTTCCAAGGGCAGATCACGGTCAGCCACGTTCACACGCCAGGCTCCAGGAAACTCGTGGTCGAGTCGACTTAATCGCAGCAGCGACGGGCGACTCACAAGCGCGAACGGCGATGGGTCGCTTGGGTTCTGCAGCAGCTTTCGCCGGTGCGGTCAAGCTGCCCGTCGAGGACGGCGACGAGTCCGTGGCCAATGTTGAGCTCGAGTTGGACGTCGAGGCCCACGGTGCTGTGGATGTCATTCGTCACGCAGGCGCGCGGTCCTTGTCTTGACTCACTGGCGACAAGCAGGCGCAACACGTGAGCGTGTGAGATTGTGTGGGCGAGTGAAAGTGAGACGGAGGAGCGACGCGGCCTCGCCTCGGCTTCTCTCGGGTTCGCACCTCTTCACACCACCGCACCTAGCTTGCCGGGAACTGGGGCAGAAACTTCCCACGTTCAGAAGGAAGGTGGCCGAATCACCGGCAAACTGCCTTCTTAACTTGCGATGAAAACGCAGATTGTGTGACATTTGCAAAAGCGGCTATAACTTCGGAAGTAAAAGATATATAGGAGAGCACGGCTTTCAGGATTCACAAAGAAACCTTCAAAGGACAATGGCAGAGGGGCAAACGAGAGGGTTCTACGAACGTGAATGGCACTTGATCGTAAGCTTAGTTGACGCCGAGACCGTCAATACCGTGACTTGAAGCTCTTACTGAAACACACATGTGATCGAGACGCGGGGAAGGGGGGGACGACGACGACGACGACGAGCTGGGTAGAAGCTGGACGACCGAATCCGTCTGAAAGGGGCGCCGTCAGCTATGCCGAAGCAGACCGACGGAAGATGACCTCCTCGAGTGGAACAGGAACAACGTACAAAATGAAAGCCGCCGGTAACAAACCCCCAGTGTGAAAAAGCGATAACGACAAGGGGTGGAGCGACCATTCGAGGCATGGACCCCATCACTACCAATTCCACATCGACAATGGGACGTCAGGGAAGGAGGCGTGTGCAGGAGAAGGCCTAATTCGTTAATGAATCTGGAGGCTTGACCCCAAGCAAAGCACGAACACTCACGCGACGACGGCGCAGCTTCTTCATGCCACTGTAGGTCGTTCCACCACTCCAGCTGTTGGTGCCCATGCTCTCATTCTTCCGCGACTTGGAGCCGTCCTGCTTGGCCTGGGAGTTCTTCGCGTCGTCCGAGGCCGAAGAGGAGAGCGATGGGATGGCACTTTTGGGATCGACGCTTGGGGTGTTGTTGGGTTGCTCAAGTTCATTATGAGAAGGGTCGACGTCGCGCGCTTGCCGCAGAGGTACCGGCGCGGCGATGGCGAGAGCGGTATGGAACAGCAAGAAGCTCAAGCACAACGACATGGAACAACGCATGATGCGCAGGGGCAGTTTACGTCAAGTAAATAAATCGCGAGGGCCTGTGACTTGGGGCGGTTGGTGGGATGTCGGGGGGGAGGAAGCTGAGAGTGTGGTTCGCCAAGTGATCGGAACGAAGTCAAAAGACATGCCGGTTGCGCAGTGTTGAGTGGATTCATCGCAAATGGTGGGATGCATCGCCCTGTTAATTGCTCGAAAATTGGCTTTTTCCGCAACGGTTGACTCCCTCGAAGGTCTCCTTTCCTGAGGAAGCGAGGCAAACGTACCGAGACATGGTGCCTCCTGTGTCGTCGCGCCCGGCGGCCCCAGATTCGTCTGGCTCCTTGATAGGTAGCCCCGGAATTCGCTTGGGCTAGTCAGCGGCCGAGGATCAGGCTAGTGTACCCCTCAAGGTATCTGCCAGAACAACACTGACTTACCTACAACTCTCTGAGCCGAAACCCACGGTGGTGGGTAGTGAGCATAGTGAGCAGTAGGCATTGCCTCGTTTCCGGGAAAAGGCCCTCGTGCGGTGTCACTGCCACCGCGAACGGCTCGTCGAAAGGGGCCAGTCGTTAGCAAGAATATGATCGAGCACCGCACGGTGGTTTTCTTTATCGCCGCGCACGTGCGCGATTGTCATGGACCTGGAAGCCGAGCCCATTTCGCCGTTGCGGATAAATGCTGTTCGCGGCAGACGATCGGCTGTTGATGAACATGGCCTCACGAAAGTGCTTTTCCGAGCATGGGTCCAAACATGGCGTTGCCGCCCCTCGGTGTTGTTCACGACCAGGTGCAGTTACAAAGCACCCGGCGGTATACAATTCCGCATACGGTCAAATGTTTGTAAAAGGGTCGGGTCAACTCGCGATGAGGTGATCGATCCGCCGAGGAACATAATTTCAAAACGTTTGTAAGATTGACGCACCGCGCGGCAGCGACGAGGCCCCTACCCGCTTTCCGTCTTCGTTGAACGCGTCGTTCGGATATGTATTACATAAGCCGAAAGGCTGGGCGAATACCGCAGGAGCAAGGGAGAAGTGTGGACAACAAAACACGTGCCGATAGGTGACACGGCTTCAGGAGCCGTTGTCTGCTTTTTCTGCGAATCGCCGGCTCAAAACTCAAAACACGAGGACTGCAGAACGACGCGCGCAGTGATTGTCAAGTCGGTCGATCAGTCCGGCGGTCCGGCGGCTGAATGGTGCAAGTCTGTTACTCTGCGAGTATTTGGTGAACAGTCGGCAAGCCATCGACTCGCAGACGGCTGAACATGGCCCCCGACTTCTAGCTCCTGTCCAGCTAAACTGAGCGGCTAGCCTCGGTGGCCCCCGGGGCGGGGAAGGAGCACATGGCTGCGGGGCAGCGGCGCTATCTCCAGAAAATGAGGGCGTTGAGAACGGAGTCGAATTTCAAGGCTGGGATCCCCACACATTTTCGAAAGAAAAGCTTCGGGTCTAAAGAGCTTCAAGGATCCATCAGACCGGTAGAACCAGGGGGTTCAGATGCAGACGAGCGATGGTCCACAGGAGACAGATACCATTTCCTCGACATCCGTGCGAGTATGAAAGGGTCTGTTCCCCCAGCGCAAAGGGCACGCGCCGATCACCTTGGTTTCTTCACATGAAAACGGTGACGGAGAGACACTCGCCCGAAGGGAAGAGATTCGTGTTGGACAGTATCCTTCCAAGGATGCATCGCAGGCCGCAAGGCGCATCCAGGCATTGGCAGGGCCGCAGTACTCCTTGGCCACGAAAGACTGATCAATCGATTCCATTTCAACAGCTAGGGATGGTCGTCTCGCTCATCTCTGGTCGCGAAAGCGCGATGGCTGATCCAATTCGGGACGTCAACCGGTCTACAGAGCAGGGTCACCACATTCCTTCTGACCGAACGGAGCTTGTATGGATTGCTGATCGGCGTGCCATCCGCTGGGTCGATGGCACCGGAACGGTCACCCTTCGGTCGGAGCTGAGTAAGTACACGGGCGCGCGTCAGAGCTGCAACGACAGACAAATCTTCAACCTTGTGTCTAGAGACGCTTACCATCTCAATCGTGGTCCTGTTCGTCCATATCAGTCGGGCGTGGTACGTAAAGAGTCCAAAGATCGGCACTAACAGCGCGAATGCGATGACAGCGACAACAATGCTCCCAATGACATCCCAACGGGTGACCCAAGGCCTACGGAAGTCAGCGACATTGATTGGATCGCGGGAGAGAGCCTGTTGGTGGCCGATGTGCCACGCCGAGAATGCGATGGCCCAAACGGCGCATAGGATCGCGGAAACGAGGAACGCTATGAAGGGGATGTAGTTGCGCCGTCCGATGCACTGCAAAAGACGGGCGTGACATCGGTATGCATCTCGAACCAGCGCGCAATCGATCAGATAGAGTCACTTACGTTGTTAAGAAAGGTACACTGCCCGGATTCATGCGCGCAGATAAGTGGATCAGCGACTTCGTTCGCAGCCACCACGGACCGGCTCGGCCAAGGACTCACATGGTGGTCGGTGTGCTCAACGCAGTTGTCGCACAATCGACAGTGGCTCGCCCTCGGGGGTCGATACGTGTGACAAGTCTCGCACCATTTTGTCAGGACGAGACTCCCTTTGATACGCAAGAACCTCGGCTCCACTTTGAGACCCGCGTGGCCTTCACCGTCGATGTCTTCGACCCATTTCGTGTCGGGGGTCGGATCAAGGTTGCGTGGAATGATCCCCGGGTCAGTCCAGCACGTCTTGATCATGTTTGTCCACATCAGAGCGACGATATAGATGAAGAGGAAGATGCTGACTTTGCCGCCTGCACCGAGGTGGTGCCAGATAAACGAAGCGGAGAAAATGAGGAACATGATTGGCATAACAATCGCCAACGCGAATGAAATGACGAAAGGTAAAAGGTCATCCCCCGAAGTGAGGAAACGGCCGCCGATGAAGAAGCGGTTCGAACCACCATGCAGTTGATAATTGCGCAAAGGTTGACCGCGATCGTCGAGGATAGGCTCGGCAGCAGGTGGGCAGAGCTGTGTGGGCGGCGCGGGTGTTGGCGGCAGAGACGAGGAGTGGTGGTACCCTTGACGATCGTAGTCAAAGCAGATCAGTCGAGATCGGTTCCAGTCATCGGTCGACGGAGAGACCGGTGATTCTCGGCTTATTCCGTCGACTTTCACCGACGGGTGACTACTTTTATTCGACGGGGCGATCGAGTGATCGCCATTCAATACTCGACGGTCGTGGCGTCCACCATCGCACGAGGATGGGCGTATCCCAAAAATGGGCTCCCTCGACGCCGTCATGGTGCCTCGACTGAGGATCGTGGGTGTGGTCAGTACGCTGGAGCTAAGACTGTCGTTCTTGCGTCGACTCGAGGCTGTCGAAAATGTGCGCCGTAGCTCGACCTCGTCTGGTATCGCATGTTGCTCGTCCCACTTCTGCACAGTTTCTGGGTCCCCTGTCCGCCGCTGGTGACTTAAACGCATCGAGGCTGCCCTTCCGCCGAGGGCCAAATCCTCCTCGACCTCTTGTTGGGACATGTCGCTCGAGTTCCTCCTCATTGCGGCTGATGACGGGCTCGGCCGCAAGGAAGCAGACGCTGAGGGTGATCGGCTGTGCTGGAACTGCTGTTGATGAAGATTAGCAGGAGAGGAAAATCTGAATTGGTGTGTTTCACTCGTCGAGGTAGAGGGACTGGCAACGGAAGCGAGATGGGGCGTGGTCGGCGATGTCGCTGGCGAGGGGATGCGGGTGATCAGGGGGCCCTTCGTTCTATTTTTTGGTATCCGAATTTCGCGACTTGTCGTAGGGCATGAGGAGATTGTTCCGCCCATCATGCTTGATCGCCAATTGTTTCGCGGCGGCGGCGAACTAGATCGGGACGGATTGCCAAGTCGGGGCTCTGAGCTCGAGACCCGCCCGGTTGAAGAAAGGAAGGCGCCATTCGTTGAGGCAGGGGCAGAGGGCCCCGGCGAGGACTGGTGATGAGCTGCCAGCAGCGTCGATCTGACGCCCGTGGGCTTGAGTAATGTCGAATTGGGCAGGATCAAAGTCGAATGGGCTTGAATTGCGGTAGAAGGGGACGAGTGCGATTCATGTTGGACCTGAGCCTCAGTCTGCAAGCCCGCCCGAAACATGCAAGGGGCCCGAGACAGAGACAGAGACCCCGACGGAGACGACGAGCGAGTCGTGGCCGTGTGCCGCTCCGTCGTAAAGGACGCAGCACGAGGTCGATCACCTTTGTGATACTCTGCTGTCGACGATGTCGTTAGAGACGTTGTTGAGCTGGCTCGTGACCTTGTTGGAGACACAATCCCGGGCGCTGCTGTTGCTGACGTCGCCTTCTCGCTGACATGCGCGTTCGACATCATGGTGTCAAAGGGGCTACCGTCGCCTGCGGAGGTCGATGCCATAATCCATCCAGTGCTGTCGGTGAGGGAGAGAGTGTAAGCCGATGAACGAAGGGTGCTCCAAGGGCAGGACGTGGACGAACGGGTTGGTTTACAGGAGAGCCTGTCGCTTCAGATCTGGCTTGAAAGACTAGCCAGGGGTGCGTGCACGGGCGCGTAAAGTGTACGAAACCAAGCTCAAAGAGGCGAATGCCGAGCTGCTCGCCGCTCGGCACATATACGTCACTCAGCGTCACTCGGGGAGACTCGGGGTCACGCGCGCGCTCGGTCCTGCCGCGCCCAGACTCACCCAGCCTAACGCCGTCCGGCGGTTCGGTCTCCTCTTCCTACCTGATCCCCTCGCAGCACATCCTTCAACAACCGCAGTTGATCCGATCTCACAAGGTACTACTATGACGGAGTTTTACACCGCTGGATCGACCGACAAGACGCCAGAAACGCACCGAGACGCGATGGAGCTCCGCATCCCGCGCCCCACCGTCTCCACGCATTCGTTCCGACTCGTGTGCGATCTCGAGCCCGTCCGAGCCTTGGGCCAGGGTTTACATGCCGATGGTGGACAGTCAGTTACTTCAAACCGTCGAACGCACGCAGGAGCTGCGGTGCTGTCCTTGCTGATGCTCTTCCACCACAACGCCCTCATTCCCCACTTCCGCTCTACCACCTCCCGGCTGATCTCGCTTACGGCCGGCGCATGAAACGGTTCCGCGCTTTGCCACAAAAAGATTCAAGCAAGTCAACAGCGACGACGAGCAACACAACTTTCTTTTCGATAAGTTTCTGACTAATCATGTCATAGTTTTGAGCTCGCAGCTGGATCACCTTCACTGGAGGTCATTTCGAAGCCAGTTGGGGCATAGGGGTCGTGATGTGAGAACCAATTTGCCTCCCGCTCCACATCTCCTCGCGATCTTCGTCTTCATTCTAGAGGTTCACAGCCCACTAGAGCTGATTTCGTCCGTTTCACATCCTTCAGGCCCGGTGGACAAGACTCGCAGCACGTCCTTTCGCTTGACCATCCTTCGGCACCCTACTCGGCCCAATTATCGACTCGCTACCTGCTGCAGACGACGAGCGATGAAGACGGTCCGCATTACATCCAAGTCCAAACCAGGGGGTGGAGGACCGGACCTCCAGAGGTTATGGAACGACTTGCTGCGTCCGCTCGAGAGGGTTTCACCGGAGTCGCACCGACCGTCGATGAGTACAAGTTCAGGTTGTTTTTGGAGATGGAGGTGAGGGGGAAACGATTAGCGCGAATTCAGGATCCTACCATCTCTCGCCTCTGACCCGATTCGCCTCGCCGCTCAACAGTGTGACGCGAGGGACACAAAGTATGGATGGCTCAACACCGCCATGTGGGTGGGCAGCGGCATCAGGCTCGGAAGACAAGGTCGGTTCCTCCTCTCCCCGCCTCCGCTTCGCTCTCACCGCTAATACGGATTTTCGTCGAACCTTTGCAGTTATCTACGATGCCTACTTGGTCGAATGATCCAATGTCTTCATCTCCATATCGTGAAACTCCAAATGTAATTGCTTAAACTACCAGGGTCTATTATACTGTACATCTGATTCCGGAAACTCAAAAAACATCTGATTCCGGACACTCAAGATATCATTCTGTCGACTCTCTTCCCGTCTATAAAGCTGTCCTCCTCGCGATGAATGGATTCGGTCTCTTCCATACGTCCAAGCATCTCCTCCACTTCTTCTGCTCTTCCGTCGTCCCAACGAGCTTGAAATGGATCTTGATCACCTCGATTCCTGTGCAGTCGATCACGTCAAAAGTCAGAACTCAGTTAATTCGACACATTCTCAAGAAGCGAGGAAGATTGCACCTTCTTCATCCGCGTCGGGAACTTGCCATCTCCTATCCCAGCTCTCCCAAACTTCCCTCGGTACCATCTCTCTCTCTTCCCCTCTCTCGAAGGCTAATCTTTTGGCATACTTCTTCTTCAAAGGGTCGTAAGCAAGCGCACTCGGGCTCAGTGCTCTATACACCGTGTTATGTTTACAAAGCTCCCTGTCCGTCGTAAAGTGGAAAAGACGGACTTTGATCCCACCATGTGAGCGGCTAGATTGGTCCGCTGCGTCCATTGAAGACCTCTCTCGACTAAGCTGCGATATATGGCTGACGATCGAGGCGCGTAGGGATCGGGAGGGAAGGAGCAAGTCAATGACGCAGGACGGAGGGTATGGTGTGGATTGGAAATGATAGGTTAAGAGCGCCAGTGCGTCGGGTAACGAAGCATCGCCCTAATTCACCCTCGGAAGAAGAAAGTTGAGCTCAGAAAATTTGATTTACCAAAGAATGCCGGCCACTCACGATGCGAAGATAGCCTTCTCCCTTGAAGTTGTCGCAGTAAAACTTGGTCTTTCCCGCTCCCGGAGGACCAATGAACAAGACCACTTCAGGTTCTTCCGCCGGTGCGACAATAAGAGGGGATGTTGAAGGTGAGAATAGTGGGCCCGTGTACGAGTAGTTGAAGGAAGGCCAATGGTCGGTGCGGAATGACCATTGCGTAGAGATCGGGCGACAGAGAAAGTACTCCTCCGGGGTGTAGAAAGGAAGATCTATGAAGGGCAAACACATCGGTGTTTCAAAATTAACCCTCAATTTCTTCGCACATAACGGGACCCTTGCACGGACCGAGGTTGTGCGCGAACTCTGGGAAGCATGGGCATGGGCCGTATCAGCTGATCAGCTTTACTTGTGATGCGCGCCCTCGGTTCATGGAGAAGCCAGAGACTTACTTCGATCGATGTCCGTTGCGTCGGCACGAGGGCGCTGGTCCCGTGCAGGCCGTCCAGCCGAATCCCCGACGTAGAAGGACTGTGTAAGATCTATCTCGATGAGACAAAAAGACAAGATCGTGGGTTCACTGGCGTCGCGTCAATCATATGCGATAACGTGGCGATAACGTGGATGGGAAACTTTGCCGATCGGCGGCTCTCGCGACTACGCTGAACTCACCAACTTCGACTCCCTCATTACAATATTGAACGAAATAGTCCCACATTCCAGTTGCCGGTTTTCTGTACATCGAATAATCGATTGCGGCAAAGACATGGAATGGTACGTTTTCTAGCCCACGCCGCGCCATCATCGGGAGCTTGAGCCGAAAACTGTGTTGAGATTTGGCCAAACCAGCTTGGTTCGAGAAGAAGACAATCGTATAGCTATGGAAGGGAATTAGGATACAAAGACGTAAGTCATAGGTACGATCAGCGATTTGTGTCCTTCGGGGTGAGAGGAATATCATGTGCTACGCACCCGTTCGCGTGAGCTTGGCACAGCTTGGGCACCACCTGGGCATTGAGCCAAGTCCAGTCGTTCTCATCGTCCGGGAATGTCTTATTCGGCCTCAGCGAGTCCTTGCGGTGGGTAATTAAAGTTCCGTCAATCTGCAGGCAGTCAAAAACGAGCCGGCAGACGATTCATTGGTAGGCAGCTCATGTCATCTCGTGAACTGCAACTGCAGTGGACGAGAACTAACATCGAAAGCGGCGATCCTGGCCGATGATTTGGGTCGCTTCCACGTCCCATGCCAGCACGACGTGTTGCCCAACAGTTCGTCCTGAAAGTCGGAGTCGGGAAAAGAAAGGATCGAACAAGTGAGCTTGATGATTTTGCTCGATGAGGGAGAGGAGAAGGGAGATGTCGACACGCTCGCATCCCGCTTGCCTGGCGATGGATCACTGGAGCATCAGCTGCCGGTCGGGTCTGCGAGCCAATCTGCTCTGACGGGCGACAACTCACTCGAGATGCCCATGAATGATTGTCCAGACCTATGTACTATATGTCCAGCATCGAATAAACCCCTGTCCCAAGCAGCTCGGTCAGTTGCGACCAATCGACTGGCGAAACGACCAAAGTCAATCTCGCGCGTCGACACGTCGAGAAGCAGCCACGCGCACGTTTCTAATCGCTTGCTTCGATAGGGGGATTTGGCATTAGAGATCGATGGCTTTCGGGGCTCGCGCGACGTCGCGCCTCGGGCTTGCAACCGGTTGACCGAGCGGCGCTTCCAAGACGTTTTGCCCGACTCGTGGGGTCTCGGATCTTCGGTCCTTTACATCGGAAACGTTGCACACCCTTGCGAGACTCGCCTTCGCAGTCCGCATTGGGCGCGAGAATACCTGGCAAAAAATTGAGCACAAGAGTTGAAGAACCGTTCCATGCCCTGATGTATTTGAATCGCCCTCTTCGATTTCCCACGTCTGAAGCCTGCACGCTCTTGGCACGCAGGATCTCAGACTCTACTGTCTCTGCCCCGTCATCGACCTGATCCGCGGTCGTGCGGTCAGAGTTCGCCTGCCGCGGACGCCTTGAGCCTCGGCGCGCGCTGCGCCCATCGATCGGCTGGGTCGCGGTCGCGCTCTCGCATCTTTGGCTCTGCGTAGTGCCCGAACCGTATCTCTTCAGTCTCACCGCGTTGCAACAGCAACAGCTGTTTCGACCCCGTTCGAGCACGACATGGCTTCTCCCGTGGCTGGCGCCTCGCCATCGTCCCCCCAGTCGTTCCGAGTCTCGTCGTCGCTGCTGCTCTCCGAGGCGGGTGCCGCTTCACGGCCGTTCACCCTGAACGGCGGTGCGACCCCCTCGACAGCGTCGCCGTTCGCAGCCGGCTACGCATCCACAGGAGGACCCTCGGTGCTCAATCGACCGAGACCTGGCCAAGGAGGACGAAATTCGGTCGACATCTCCCATCACCACGCCTCGACGTTGTCCATGTCGTCGAGCGTGTCTTCGTCGAACCGACCGAGCACCGACTCGGAGCGCGAACGAGCCCAGCAGCACCACGCGCCCTCGGCACCCTCACGACCCAACGTGCTCGGTCATCCCGCCAGCGCCCACGCATCGCAGCACACGATGACCCATCACAGCAACTCCGAGTCGGAAGAGACGGAAGATGATATGTCGGGTCGTCATGGCCGGCAGACGACAGCGCGACGCAACTCGTTCTTCGGCATCGCAGCCAACGCACGCGATCGAGACGAGGACGACGTAGAGGTTGAGGCACGGACCGCCGCGCAGATGCGATCGTCGTCCTCGTCCTTGTACGGCGCTCTGGCTGATCGAGAAGACGAAGCGGCTAGTTCAGGTCGACCTTCAACTAGCTCTGATCGGCATGCCCGTGACGCGCGTCGGTCCTCGTTCTACGGCCTCGATGGCCATCTCGATCCGAGCCAGGGCCTCGCCGGACTCCCCGTGAACGGCATCTCCTCTTCTCACGATCCGATCCCGCACACCTCGTCGACGAATGTTTATGCAATTTCTCAACACCGTGTTCCCCAATACCACCACCAGCAGCACGGCGCAACTGGAGGCGACTCGGGTTCGGGCTCCTACTCGTCCCATGAGTTGCGGTCCAGCGGCGGAACCGCCACGACCTCGACCTCGAGTGGACCCGCTGTCGTGTCACAAGTTGGAGCCCAGGGAACGATGCTCGGGCAAAGGATTTACAGTGCCCCCTATGCGGCTTCTCGTGCTGCATCTTTGCACCTGCAAGCGGGACTTGGCGGCGCAGCTTCAATCATCGAACCATCACCGAGCTCGCAACGACTACTGTCGGATCAATCTCACCTCCAACCGGGCTCAATGGCGTCTTTGCTCAGCCACGAAAAGACGCTCGACTTGTACCGTGCGAACGCAAAAAAAACTGACGACCCCGACATCCAGTTCGAGCTGTGCACCTTCACGATGGAGCTTGTAGCCGAGATGGAAGCGATCTCGGGCGCCGATCGACTGGCTCACGCTCAGTCCGGTTTCGGCGACGCGAGCTCGCCGGGAGCGGCGATGAGTAACGTGCTGACAAAGGACAACAAAGAGAATGGTGTTCCCGGTGCGACGGATCTCACATCTCGGACGAAGCAACAGGAGCTCGTGGCCGAAAGTGTGACGTTACTCAACAAGCTTGCTACGCGTGGCCACGTCAAGAGCCAATACTTCTTGGCGGATTGCTACACCCAAGGTGTCGGAACTGCAAAAGTAATTTCTTCTTGTCGCTTTTTTCGAGTATACGTTTGAATCCTGACAACCGTTGCTCACCAAATATTACATTCTGCTTACAGGGACGGAGGGACTACGACAAAGCTTTCCCCCTTTTCATGCTCGCCGGGAAACACGGCCATTCAGATGCCTGCTTTCGAGCAGCACAGTGCTGCGAGAACGCCTGGGGCACGAAGAAGGACTTTAGCAAAGCCGTCACATTGCTTCGGTTAGTTCACATCCAACCCCTCTAGCGGAGGAACCTCTACTGACGAATTGAGGTCCATGACCCCTGTTCGGTCCCATAGACGAGCGGCCGTTCTCAACCACCCTGGCGCAATGCACCGACTAGGTATTGCAGAACTTAACGGCGAGATGGGGTTGGCACGGCGCCCGCGGGAAGGAGTCAAGTGGCTCAAACGCGCCGCCGAGCTCGCCGACCAAGTCGACCCGCCACAACCGCAGAGTTTGCACGAATTGGCCGTTTTGCACGAGAAAGGGATCGAAAATGTTATCTTCAAGGTGCGCAGAGAACCATGCCGTGTACTCTCTGGTGATCTCACACTGACGATTCTGACACTATTATCTCCTACATCTGCTCGCAGGACGAGGAGTACGCCGCAGAACTGCTGGCTCGCGCCTCTGAACTTCAGTTCGCTCCCAGTGCCTATAAGCTGGGGGAGTGCTACGAGTATGGAAAGATGGGATGCCCTCAAGACGCCGCCTTATCCATCCACTACTACAGTGCGTATTACGGAGCTCCGAGAGACGCCCTCCTGACTGATGTGACGTGCACTGTTGTCACGTAGATATTGCCGCTCAGCAAGGTCACCCCGAGGCATGCTTTGCTTTGACTGCTTGGTACCTCGTTGGGTCGCCCGGTGTCTTGCCGCAGTCGGATACCGAGGCATACCTCTGGGCCCGGAAGGCCGCTGGCTTTGGACTCGCGAAGGCTGAATACGCAGTAGGGTATTTCACCGAGGTAAGTAACGAATATCGGCGGAAACAAACTCCGAGACGGAAAGGAGCTGACACCAGAGGATGGAATTGGATTGCCTCATAGATGGGAATTGGTACGTACAAGGACGCTCGAGAAGCGATCGACTGGTTCCGAAAGGCGGCGGGGCATGGGGACAAGCGTGCGATCGATCGATTACGTATGACTGGCGCCACGGTCGAGACAATGTACGGTCGACTCCCGCCTCAGGCCCCAGAGCTGCCACAAGCTGCCGAGCCAGCGGGCAACTACAAGCCACCGATCGAGACCAAGATAAAGAACCGAACACTCGGTAACCGGTTTGGTGTCGGGAAACGAGAGGGGCTCAGTATTCACACCGGTGGAAGGTCGGCTTCGGCAGGTCAAGCCTTGAGTGCGGTCGAAAGCCGGGGGCAACCGAGCGCTCAGGAGTTCGATAACGCCTTGCGTGCGGTGCACAATGCCGGTCGACTCGAATTTCCTCGCCAGCGCAGCGTCTCACAGCCTTCCACCCCGACTGACGCTTACCAGCCGCACCCTCGACAACGTCATGACCAGCAGTTCGACTACTCTGGAGTACGTCCAGGTGGGCCGCCCACGCCACCAAAGATGCCTGCGTCCCAACAAGCTCACTGGGGTCGCTCCGGCTCTCCCATGGGCCGTGGCCCTTCCTCAGCATCGGGTCCTAGCTCACCCTCGCGTGGTGGACCCATGCCCGGCCGCGGCAACCGACCCTACCTTGCATCCCTCTACACTGGTGGTCAGCCGCCATCACCCAACTTGCGAGTGCTTCCACCGGGAGCAGCCCAACCTCGCTCAAGTACCAACGAGCTGGGAGGTTTCGAACGAGCACTACCTATCCGTCCCCCCTCGCCAGGTCACGCCAGCTCGAAATTGAAGCACGAGCCCAATGTCTTGACCAAAAAGGGCCTGAATTCGAATTCAACTCCCCCGCTTTTGTCGAACGCTGCCGGCAAGGGATTCTGGAAGAGGAAATGATACAACTACACCCGCGATCACGATCATGACGGCTTGACATGCATATTAAGCGACGACTTATTTACGTCGTTAGCGCAAGCCCCTCTTCCTTCAGACATCCTGCCCATTACGACCACTACAGACCCTGGTTTTGCCTTCTGCTTTCGCCATTGTTCATACTTTAGTATCTAGACCGGCCTAAGGGCTTTGCCATCCTTTACCTTCTGTGGCTTTTCAGCGCTGCCTCCTCGTTGCCTAGCCGTAGCCACGATTCTCCTTCTCTCACACGCAAACATCGCAATACATCTTCAGTTTCACGGTCCTCGGAACGTCTAGACGGACTGGACAGTGTGAAGTCCCAGAGTTACAAAGACTGCGGTACCACCTCTCCCCTTTCGTCCAAGACGATCTTGGCTTCGCCCTGCAATTCACTTTCATTCCACCACCCGCTCCCCGTACACCAACTGAGCGCCGACTCAGCCTTGATCACCAATCTCGCGACGAGTCGGTCCGTCATTCTAGCCACCGCGCTTGTCCTCATCCCAAATCCCATAGCATAGAGCGGCATGTGGATGCACAAGAAGGGAGGGATCATGATGAGGTTGACCACGAAGCGGCCAATCCGTTTGCCGATCGTCGCCGTAGGGAGGTATGGTCGTAGGAGCACCAAATGCCCGAGGTAGGGTTGCGACAAGAGTGACCCAAACGCACCTAGGATGACCAAGCGCACGTATTCGTTCGAAGGTTGGAGGTTCGGTTGTCTTGCGATGGAGAGGGGAGCGGTCGGGATGTAGGCCGTCAAGGTTCCCGCTGTCTTTATCGAGTCACCAGGGGTGAAAGGTTGACATTCGATCGGGATCGCGGGCCAAGCGGCTTCGGACCGAGCCGTATCCTTGTGAAGATTCCCGGATGATGAAGAAGAGGTAGGCGATGAAAAGTCCAAGACGATCGAACGAAAGTCGGCCTCGGTCAGTTCGAAAGCGACGCCTTCCAATCTCGGGGGCAGCAAGCCGGTGCAGTCGAGCCCAGGGCAACACCGCCTCCAAATCCATTCTCGGTAATCTTCATCCTCTTCCTTCTCCGCGTTCGTCATGTCCGAACGAGCAGTATGTGGTTTGGACGACTTGGCGGTCCACCCGATGTCATTCACACCCTGTACAATGGCATTCGTGCAAGCCGGGGACGAAAAGGGGACGCCCTGGACGTCGAAGGCGAGAAAAGCGGAGGGGACGATCACAGGTGTTGAAGATAGAGGCTTGATGGGTCCAAGACGAGCCGACAGCAGTTTGGCTTTGGAATTACGAGTAAACCGAAAAATGAGAGGGGGCCCGTCAGTCAGCGCTTCATCCTTCTAGAGCCAAGACTCCTCGAATCGGCACGTTCTCCGCGAGAGTTCCAAGTCGTGACGGGTCCTCGAGCACTCTCCACTGCATGCGCTGCGCTTAGGGCGAGACGACTCCGACTCACGGTGCAGATCCACTCCGTAAGCCAGGTAATGGCAGGTCTTGTGTGGCTTGGTATCTTTTGTTGACATATTGATAGCAGTGACAATCTAGCCGCGAGATGTTTGGAGTGAAAGCTGGCGATTCGGTGGGAAGCCTCGTCCAGAACCGGTCCCGAAATAGTTTAGTAAGCGCGACGCGTTCGAGGTTGCGGCCTTGTGTAGGTATAAGGTGAGGGTGGAGACGCTTCGACTGTACACCAAGATAATTTCAGGTTCCACGCGTCTCTTCAACTGACCAAGCGGACTAAGGTGAAGATGCAGTGGTGTACGAGAGAGAGAGAGGAGCGCGGGGAAAGCACTTCGGCGATGGTGCTCAATTTCGCACAGCTTCTCTCCGCTCGTTCTTCCGGCTATCGTGGGGAGCCAGTGCTCGCGACTGCCTGGGGCCCCGGGATTGCCGTCGAAGAACGTCTAGTATCTTGAAAATCTCACCTCAACCGAGAGTCGTCGCTCATTCAATTGTCAACTCCTGTGTCGATTACTAGGTATCGCAAAATTCCGATACTGAATGCTCGGGTGCCCGCTTCGACACTGCAAGCAGGATCAGTGCCCGAAATAGCACGAAATAGAACTGGGCGCCGCCCCGCCCGCCTGTCCCCTGTATCAGCATCGCACCTCGCAGGTCATAGTGGCCCAGCCGGACGCTCCGTATCTTTTCCAGCGTATTTGCCTTAGCGTAGCACTCATCATTGATTGGGACTCTGCCTAGCTTCATTCTACAACAACTTCCTGAGAAACTAAGGACGTACTCAGAACACGAAAACGGAAAAACTCTAATCGGCCTCCGGAAGTTCTCGCTCAACGAGCCTATTCCACGTCTCCTCCTTCCAGTCCTGCTGGCCAAGCAGCTCAAACACTCGATCCTCCGTACACCCCATCTCCGTGTACACCTCCTCAACAAGCACATCGCGGACTTCTTCCTCGGTCTCGCCTCCACCGCCCAAAAGGATGCTCCCGATCCTCTCTCTCCTGACGACGGCAATGGCCCCACGATCCTTGCCACGGAACACCTCGTCGAGCTCGGACTGTACGGGGTTGAATAACCGAGGTTCGAGGATTTGTAGTAGGACGAGGGCGACTCGGAAGACGAACGCGTCGCCTTCAAGCAGGAAGACGTCGAACAAGCGCGTGCTCAGGTCGAGCGGCAGGAATTGCACGAACATGGACGTGAGCCACGGGTGGAGGTACAGCGACGGTCGTACGACCTCCTTGTAAAAGTTCTCGTAAACTTTGGGCATGTTGTCGGCCAAGAGGGTGTCGAAAATGCGGTAGTACGCATCCGGCTACGAGAAGTAGAAGCGGTGTGTCAGGGAACGTTCAGGGCGGAGGATCAGATATTAGATAGCATAGCTTTCGGGGGACGAACCTCGTCAGGATTATCACCATAGAAGCTCTTGAGGAAACTCTTGTTGACGAGGTTCACGAGGGAGATGAAGGCATCGGCGACAGACATATTGATGAGGCTATACGGTCATGGATGGATTGGTCAGTTTCATTGTTTCAAACGGGCTGGGGGGTCCTGAGCAACACGTACAGCATCGCGGCCGGACAGGCGAGACCGGGAGGCTAAAAGTAAAAGACCGAAGTGAAGCTTCAGCTGAGCGGTCCTTGAGTGTGTCTGATCTTTACTTGTCTGCGACTCACATAACTAGGCTTTTGGCCCGTCGCTTTGCTGGCGTAAACGGCATAGCCGAGCAACAGATCGATCAGGTCCTCGTGCATTGCTCCTCCGCGTTGGAACAGCTTGAGGTTCCGCAGTGTTCCCTGCACGTCTTCTTCCAGCGCAGCCATCGTCTCCTTAAAGAAGGTCCCATCGTTCAAGCCGCGCCTGGCCTGGGATAAAATCCCAGCGAACGAAGTCCTGCTCACGGCCAACCCGTTGCCAATGCACAGACTCCACAGTCGACCACGCCAGCGCACAGGCATCGTTCCGTCCCACCACAGCTTCCTCAGTTCTCGACCTTCGGCCGACTCGTGCGTCACGGCTCGCCAGTTAGGGAGCACTTGGTTCTCCCAAACGGAATGAGCAGCCGCGATGCGAGTCGCTCGTGCCATTGCAGCGGCTTGAAGCTGAGATTGTCGTCTTCGTTCTGCTTCTTTCGCGGCTGCTCTCATCTCTTCGAGCTGCTTGAGATGTCGCTCCTCTTCGAGTTTGTCTTTGGGTGGTAGGTCGCGTTGCCGCGTCATGCTCATGATTTTTTGGATCGCGGTCGGGACTCGAGTGCCCAGTCGCTTAGCCTTGGTCGGGGAAGTCGCGATGGCAACGGGCAGGGTTGAAGTATCCGCTGGTTGGCCATCGAAGGTGACCGCGACAGGCCGACCAGAAAGAGATGCTTTCCTTTTGGCTACCAAATCGGATGGAGTACCATCTGCATCGACGGGAGTGGCATCTCCATCGGCGGGCGTGGAGAGAGCCTTTGACGAGTCGTTCCTCCTCTCGGCCTCTGCCTGTGACTCGGCGTTGGTTTCGTCTTGAACCTCTTCCTCTTCTTCGTCGTCGTCAAGATCCTGCTTTGAGGTGGCAGCTGTTGTGGTCGTTTCGGGTGCAAACGAAGAGTCTGCACTTGCGCTCAGTGTCGGTGATGGCGTGGCGGATGGGGGTGCTGGGAGCGGGGCAAGCGGGGGAGACGTGGTTAATCTTGCGCCTGAGACGGAAGGGATCTCGGAAGGACCGTCCGCGGCTGGTGTTGGCGACGCGAGCGTGTACTGGTCGAGGCGGATTGTTTGGAACGTCATATCGTCGTCGCCGTCGTTGTCATGGTGTGGGACAGTCTTGCCGTGACTTTCCGCGGCAAGAGTAATGCCCCTGAGTTCATCTCCTCCCTCCTCGTCGACGCGGTGGCCGGTCAGATTCTGGGAGCGTTCTTGGGCCCAGCTCGGGCTTGAGAGATCGCCCTCGTCAGGTGGGGAGGCAGGTTCGTCCGCGTCTTCCTGGCCGTCCTGGTGGTGATCTGGCTGCTCGGAATACGCTGCTGCAGCGTGGTCTGGTTCCGATGCGCCACGGATCCCGCTGTCGAGCTGGGGCAACTGCGCGTTCGTGACGTGGCTCAACGCGCCGGCGTCGCCAGAGTGAACCGCAGCGCCTGCGGAACGGTCGTCGTCGTCGTCGCGCGCTTGGACTCGGCTCTGGACTTGATCGAGCGCAGCGGTGATGTCGAACGACATGTCATCAGCCAAGTCGGCCATGTTCGCAAGCTTTCCGGGAGGGGAAGCCAAAGGGAAGCGGCAGCCGGGGGGTGAGCCTCACTGCCTCATCTGACACTGCCCTACATTGCCCGACTCTGGAGCACCACCACCCCATTCCAATTAGATTCCGTTGAGCCAATTTGGGGTTTGGCGCGCGCGCGCGTGGTCGACTGGTACTCGACTGGTTACTTTTGGCTCTCTGTAATGCAAGCTGGCTGGCAGGACAGCTCTCACTCGGCCCCCACCACCACCAGTCCAAGGTCGAGCGAGTAGGAACGGGGCCCCGTCATGTCGGCGCAACCGAGGCCACTGCGAGTGCTCTCCCTGAATTGCTGGTCAGTCACTCCTACTAAATACCCAATATGTCCGCATCTCATCACAAGCGTCACCTCACCCGCTTGACAGGGGCCTCAAGTTCGTCGCCGACAAGCGCAGGGAGCGTCTACTCGCCATCGCCGACTGGATTGCGACTCACTCCAACCCACTCTCCTCATCTTCTTCACGTAACGACGATGACGACGAGGAACGCGCCTTTGCGGCGAGCGTCTCCCCCGGCGACTCGCTCGCGTTCCAGTCGTACAGCCAGGGAGGGCCCTACGACGTCATCGCGCTGCAAGAGATCTGGGTCAGGGCCGACTTCGATGTCGTCGCCGCCAGGGCAAAAGAAGCAGGCTTGATCTACGCCCGCTTCTTTTATAGGCGAGTCACCGCCGATGAAGAACGCGCGCTGCTGCTGCTAAACTGACCGAGACGAGCCCGCTTTCCGTTCAGTGGAGCTATCGGCTCGGGGCTGGCCATTTTATCGGCACATCCGATCGTGTCCTCCTTCATTACACCCTACGCTCTCAATGGATACCCACTCCACTTCATCGCCGGAGATTTCTTCGCCGGCAAGTCCATCTGCGGGTGTACGATCGATCTCGGGGCCGACGTCGGTTCAACGAGATTGGTCGACGTGCTCAACACCCACATGTTCGCACCTGGAGGCGAAGGGGATGGCATCGATGGCGCTCATCGGGTTGCACAGGCGTGGCAGTTGAACGAAGTGGTCAAGGAAAAGCTCGAAAGGGGTCGGCATGTCTTGCTTGTGAGTCCGAAGACAGACGAGTCAAGTTCGCACTTTCGGGGTCATTTTCTGATCAGCGGGGCCCGATCCCCTCTACAGATGGGCGACTTCAACTCGCAACCCTACTCCATCATCATGCGAATCCTCGAATCAGGTGCATCGCTGTCCGACGCGTGGGCTCTAACGAACCAAGCCCCACCCTCCATCACGTCAATCGCGCACCGTAAGCTCACCCCCGTCCAAACAATGCTCGTCCACGGCATCACGTGCGACTCGCCGCTCAACACCTACTCGGCCGCCAAATTGGCGAAACGACATCCACGCGACGAGACGCGCATCCGAGGTGGTAAACGACTCGATTACATCCTCTTCCGATCCCCACCCACGGCTTCGAGCAAGCTTCAAGTCGAATCGACCAAAATCGTCTTGACCGAACCGGTCCCAGGATTAGGCGTTTCTTACTCGGATCATTTCGGCCTTGCAGCGACTTTCTCTTTCCAGCCGCAGACCCCGACTACCGAACATGTTTCTCATTCGAATCAGGGCAGTAGAGGAAGCATCTCGTCCGAGGATCTATCGACGATGCTCAAGAACCTCATGATGGCCTATCGACACGCGCTCGAGTGCCAAAAGAGGCAATTCCAGCTCTTTGTGCTCGCCTTGTTCCTCGTCCCCGTTCTCGCGATCGCTGCGAGCTACCAACCACTGAGGGGCGCACTGAGTTGGTTGTTCGTCGTCTTGGGTACCGCTGTGGGAGCTAGTGGCGCGACGATGCTCTACACCGGCTTTGTGGGAGGCAATTGGGAACGAGGGGCGCTGAGAAACGTCATCGCCGACATCGAGGCGGAGATGGAGCGCAGGGATGGAGACGGGCAAGTCAGACGGTGAGAGACCATCCATGCAACAGACAAACTCAAACAACACGATTGCAATATAACAATACATATACCAAAATAGTCCGAAAGCTCAGGTGTATCAAGCTGCGATAGGAGTCGCCGAGCCCGCCACAGATTGATGCGCCTCGTTCGGCATCTCCTCTTCTTCCAACTCGTCCACTTCTTCCTGTCCGGCGCCTTGACCCGAATGCATCAACTGACCCTTGACGAAGCCCGTCAACCAATCCCCACCTTCCTCATCCTCGCCTTCCTCTTCATCATCATCGTCATCATCACCTGACTCGCCGTCAGTGAATTCCTCCTCGAGGCCTTCGGCGTCTCCATCCCCCGACTCGTCGTCCTCGCAGCTATCCTCCTCGAAAGCATCCTCGTCATCCTCATCCGGCTGTTCAAATTCCTCGTCTTCGTCATCCTCATCGGGTCCGATGGCATCGCTAGAAGGCACATGGTCGTCGACGAAGCGCACCCTGCCTTGTACCGCTGAGGATCGAGGTCGTTCAGGTGCACGCACGAGAGGATGAGCCTGAAACACTCGTTTTGTCAAAGGTATCATCGGAGGATCCGTATAGGGCGATTCGAGGAGTTCGTCCAAGGTCAGACGGTTGGGGTGGTGACGAGACAAGTTTTGCGGTGCATGATTGGGGTTAAGATGAGGAGGTTGAAGCGGCGGAGGTTGTGGCGTAGAATACGCAGGCTCGTAGAGCAAATTCGGAAGCGAAAGGTCGGTCGAGGATGAAACATGCGGATACGACATGGGAGCAGGCATTGAGGGGCCATGCGTTCTTGTCGGTCGTCCACCGGACAGCAGAGGGGCAGAGGCGGCACGCGGCGCCATCTGTCCGGCGGCCGAGATGAGTGTCCACCGCGGCGGTCGACTCGACGTCATATCGGAAGCATGAGCCTTCGATGTCGATGACGTCTGCAATTTTGATCGCTTTGGTGGGCGTGACGATCCGATATGCTGAATCGATGTATCTTCACCGAAAGTGCGATCCCGACCAATGGCCGCGGCCGTTGCCTCACGACCGATCGCTGCTTCGAGCGTCTTGATCATGTCGTACCTTTGCTGATCCTCCTCGGAGCGAACCTGGCTACTCGTCGAGCGAGATCGGACGGGCGTAGCATTGTCCAAATCACCCTTCTTCTTTCGTGGACGTCCTAGGCCTCTCTTGACGACGACCTCGCCGGTGTAGCCCGGTGCACCCGAGTGCCCGACCAAGCGATCCATCAGCGAAAGCTCACGCTCGAGGTCGTAGCTGTGATCTTCGCCACCAGTTTGAGGAGTCGAGCTCGCTGCCGCTGCCGCTTCTTTTTTGTTTCGTTTGGCTTCTGCCCAGGGCCCAGCTTGACGCGGGGCATCCTCACGCAGGGTGATGACCCACTTCTGAAACGACTCGTGATGTGTCAGGACGAGTCGGAGCTGCGGCGCGGTGGGGTATTTGCTCTGCTGGAGAAGATAATTCCATGGCTTTGGAGGGGGATTCGGTCCTTTCGCTCGTGACCGTCGTTGATGGCTGATTATTGAGGAAGCATGCGGACCCGATCTCGTTAGCTCTGCATTGGATCATGAGAATTGAAACTCTTCCTCCTCGGCGGAGGGTCACGGATAGGGAAACTTGATGGCCCAGAAACCATGGTGACAAGGTGCGCTGACGCGATCTTCAACTTACACTGGCTTGACATCCCATCCCCCTGCACACGTAATGCGCTTCACCAAAGCGCCCCGATCATCTTCTCCGCCATCGACGAGCCAGGATCCGGTCACGACGGTGTCTTCCACGCGAGCGCCTTTCTGAACGAGATTGTCCATCGCGGCGGCGAGTTGGCCACACACGTCCTCGAGTGTGATGGTATGTTCGGGTGCCCAATAGGTGAGCCTCTTCTCCTGGGTCCAGTACCACTCGTGCGACTTGCAGACGAGGTAGGGCTGCAGCGAGGTCAAGCGCACGGGGAAATGGTCGAGCGTGCGCTTCTGCTTGCACTGCGAGCACCGACTCAATTCTTGATGCGACGCATCGTCACTGATAGAGGACGCGTTTGACGTCGAGCTCGAGCTAGATCGAGACTGGGAGAGCATGGGTGTGGATGAAGTCGACGCGTGTGGTGCGGCTGACGCGGATGGCTGCAGATGCTCGCCGCTCGTTGACGCGACGGGACTGACGGGACTCGGCCGTGACATCGTCGTCACTGCACCCGCTTCTGTAGCGGGTAATGGAGCTGTAGCAGAGGCGTCGTGAGCGGTCGTGGTCGGAGTCGGAGCGTCAAGGTCCCGGCTGGTCATTGAACCCAACAGAGTGTCGCATAGCTCGCTCAGGCTGTTTCGGTTCATCGTCGAGTTGACATCACGCGTCGGGCGCAGTAATAGTGTGGAGCAGAGCCAAGAAGCACCCGAGGCCGCGCCGGCCGGCAACAAGCGAAAAAGAAAGTATTTTTTCGATTGTCCATAACCAAATGCAAGCCGCAAGAAAGAATAATACTACAGTGTTGAAACAAAAAGTCAATATTCGAATGAGTGAGTGAGCAGGATGCATGACTACTCGAGATATGTAAATGCGCGAAAGAACGAAGGGACAGAAAAAGCTTTCGGGCCGTGTCTCGCAAACCTTGGAAGGAAAACGGCGGTCAACTGCGAAAGGACCTCTTCTGGTCATCATCACCGTCTAGCTGGTGTTGACGTCGGAGCACTGGTGCTGGCCGAAGCCGTTGGCGAAGCAGGGATGGCGGCGGCCGCAGCGAAACGGGCGGTGGGCGTCGACGTCGCTGGAGCGGTGGTCGGGGCAGGCGCATTCGCCTTGGCCTCGTTGTTCTTCTTGATCATGGGCAGCACGACCTCGATCACGACGACGACGGCTACAACTATGAGGATGATGAGGATGATGATGAAGCAGATCCAGCGCCACTTCCGAGCATTCCTCGCCGACTTGACGGCCTTTTGTGTTTGCTGCAGACCCTTCTCCATGTCATGCGTCGCCTCGGCGGCCTTGGCTTCAATGGCGACGATCTGCACATCTTGCTCCTCGACCAGGATGGCCATATCGGAGAAGAGCTGCGCGAGCTGAACGAGCGTAGATTCGATCCGAGCCAGCGCAGCGGCGCGGGTCTCGACCTCGCGAAGAGCTCCTCGAGCAGCATAGCCCCTTCGACCATCGGACTGCTGCAACGCCTGGGAGAACACGGCGTTCGAGCCCTCTTCCTCGGCTTGTCGGACCACTTCGTTGACCTCCTGGGCCGACAGACCTGGGTTGACGATCATGACTTGACGCTCCATGCGCGACCTATTCTTGTTTCGGTTGTCTCGTTCGACTTCGGCGTAGCGCTGGACCGCGCTCTTGAAGCGCTCTTTGAGAGCAGACACCTGAGTGTTCCGGACATCCACATCGGCCATGGTGAGATTGTACATCGACTGGGCTGCCGGTACGAGGGCTCGGAGCCCGGCATTGCCTTGATCGAGCGCCAGGATGCGGTTCTTGAGCGAGTTGTACAGCTTCCGAGACGACGTTGTGAGGGCGTTCAGCTCTTGGTTCAGCGCGACAGATTGTGGGTCTTCGGTCGATGGGAGCGCCAAGATTCGAGCATGGACCCCTGCAATCTGCTGAACCAACCCATTGGCCTCTCGAAGACTTTCTTGCAGATCCGAAACCTGCAGCAGTGCAGCGTACACGTGAGTCGTCAGCGACTGCTTTCATGCGCTCTCGAGACGGGGCAGCCACGTTAGAGCCACGTACCTCAGCGAAGAACTGCCCCATCTCTTCAAATTCGACATCGCCTCGCTTGACAGTCTTTTTCTTTTTCGAGGGACGTCCGCAGTTTGAGTCGTTACTGTTGCTGCGAGGCTTCTGCATCTCATACGACTCTTCGGCTCGAGATTTGCTCGAGACGAGGTTTGCCGAGCTGCCCTTGTAGTCATCGTACTCGGTCGCAAAGCTTTGATAAGAAGGTGCGGGCCTCATCTCAGGTGGCGGATTTGGATACCCTCTTGTCTTATCCGAGTTGTAATTCTGGCCCGGTACGGGCGGCGGCGGCATCGAGAATTGCTCCACTGCTCGACGCTGATCGGGGTTGAGTTTGCCCTCGGATATGCTGCGTTGGCGCGTTCTGACGGGGTCCAAAGGGGTGTACTGCGATTTCTGTGCTTTCGGTTGTTGACCAGAAGGGGCCTGGATCGGGGAATAGGCCTGGGGCTCGTACGGATTGAAGTCGCGTGGCGGCTCTTGATAGCTGGGAACCATGTGGTTGCTCGATGGCGCTATCGACACCGGAGGCGGGTTACTTGGCCTCGGTCGGGTGGCGGAACCTCCATGGCTAGAATTTGAGCGCGACCTCGAGTAGGGCGGATTGCTCTGGTACTGGCCGGGATCATCGTAGGATGCGTTTCTCGACTCATACGGCGGCCGATGCATGTTGGGACGCCCATACTTATCTTCGGCGGACGGGCGGCCGTACTCGCCGTAGAGCTGTTGCTGCTGCGGCTGTTGTGGGTACGAATGATTCTGCTGGTGCTGCTGTTGTGAGTCTGTCGCCGCTTGTTGAGCCTGAAAAGAGACGACTTTTGCGGGATGAGTGCGACCGTGAGTCGAAAAGGAATGACTTGAAGGCCCTTCAAGCCGACAACGACAGCCTCGACAGGGGTTCGCAGGGAGCTGAGCCAGCTCGAAAATTCGCAATGGTCCAATACTTACGCGGATGGCAGCAAGACGATCACGGGCCATGGTCGATACAGAAGTCGGAGTAGTCTGAATGGCCGACGTCTGCAGCTCGGAGTCGGTGAGGGGTCCGTGGAAGGGTCGTGGCGTGGCGCGGCTGTCTGTGGAGCCGAGTTCGTCAGATCCATCACCTTTCATACTTTGAGTCGTCAAGCAGCGGACGTTCTTACAGATTCAGGCGCTCAGTCGATTGGTATGATCCCTTTTTGGTATCACTATGTCGGAGGTTTGAGACTATGAGTGAGCGTTCATGTGAAGCGACGGTGCGACAGGTGTCTGAGAGTCTTAAGTGCGCCGCGTTGGCGCGTCGTTCACACACACACGTTCACGCGCCACAACCCGCGCAGTTTAGCGCGCCTACGGCCGCCAGCTTTTGGGCCGGGCACGCTGGTCGTCGTGCCCCATCATCACACGCGCGTCGCGCCGGCGCCGACGGCGGTCGACGGGACCACAAATACTCTTTGCTCTTTTTTTCTTTTAGTTGGTAGATTTCAGTAACAGTATAATTATCTAGAAACCTTCGGAAAAGTCGCAGGGAATGCTTTTACGCACACTGGTAGAAGCCAGTACTCTTTACTTTACTCTAACTAAACTAGTAAAAATAAAGTGAGTTAAGGAATGTACCTAAATCGCTGTTTTTAACTAGGTTGCGGCCCGGAGGGCCGCCAGTGGTGGATGTACCAGCATACTGTTGTGTCTGCCGCACCTGCCTGTGGTGTCCATGTTCCCGATCAGAAGTCATGTACAAGCTCTGGCATCCTTTGTATTTTTCGCGCGAGTCGAACGAAGCTACAGCGTTCCCAGTATTTTCCTTCACTTTTTCGTTGACGTAAAACAGGAACACTTATATTCTATTTAATAGACGGCAAGCGCGTGGCTTTTTATGACATTGCTTCTACAGCAAAGCTTCGCCTGATGGGCGGGGCGAGGGCTGGCGTCTGTCACGTGATGCGGCGCGCCGGCGGTGTCAGTGTCATTCCGGCAGCCGCCAAGCGGCATTAGGCGCTGAACCGCAAATCACACCCCGGGAACAGACCCGCGCCACTCCCTCTAACCTTTTCTTTTTCTCTCCCACTCTCATCTAATTTTGTGACACTCATTATTCAAGGAGAAACCCTCGCCACTATGCCCCGGTCCTAAGGTCGCTAGTAGGGAGGGCCATCGCAACCTCGCCAAGTCTTGGCCGCGATGCCGCACCTAGTGAGTGAAAAATAGTTTCCCTGCTGTCTTTCGTCATTATACCGTTTAATTCTCTTGTTATCTGGAACCATTCCAGTTAATTTAACGGGGTCCCACTGGTTTGAGAAGATAAAGCCACTTCTTTTTGCATTATCTTCTTGGCGAAGTGCACAAATCAGCGATAGTCAAGGTTTTCAGCAGAAGCAGTGACCACCCGACGAGAGGCTTGTTGGAATCAACAATGATTCCGAAAATGATCAACAAAAGAAGAAGAAACGGCTGGACCAGGAGTCGAACCTGGGTTGCTTCCATTAATCGGAAAAGCTTTGACCTCTAAGCTATCCGGCCCCTGATATCAGTGCAAGGTCTACTAACACCTTCAATACTTCCCCTTCGACTCTAAGTCCCAATTGGACTCTGTGTCACGCTTCTGCGGCAGCTCCGGCAGCTATGTGCGGCGTCATTGGAAAGATTTACAAGCAAGGTTCTATAATAGATCCTCACAAGGCTTATCCCTTGCGATGAAAGATCAGGTTGGTGCTGTCATTATGGAGGTTCTGGATTGGTCGTCAAGGTCGGAAGCCGCTCCTTTGATGTTGCTTCAGCCTCCACTATAAACCGACCCTGGAATGACGCTGGCCAACTTGGGGGTAGTGATTTCGGTTCTATGCCAGGACTATGAACGCCTTGCGTCCAGGAATTGGTCAGCCCTCAAACTTCAGTCCGAGCACATCGGCTGCTTTTGAATGGGATCGCAAAGTGTAGGCGGCACGTCGTAGCCGCAGCGCACAGGGGCGAGGATCTCCGACTCGAGCATCACGACCGCTTGTACGGGAAAGAAGCGTATTCAGCCGGCCTGTACCGGGCACAAATGTTTCATCCAACAGTTCATTTGCTCACTTAAGACATGCAACCAAAGGCCGGTTGTGTCTTGATCAGTTTTGGGACCGCGGGAAAGAAAAAGGTCACTGCACTGCACTTGCTAATTCTTTGTCCAGAGTTACTTAGTGTCACACCCTCCCAGCTTGTATTCGAAAGCAGAATATAAGACGTACAAACCAAAGACGTACAACCAGGACGCACAACCGGGAAAATGTACCAACTCAAAATCGAAGAGCTGACCAATGCTACTTGGGCTTGCCGGCTCCAGCTCGCCCCAGACTGCCGCACTGCAGCCGTCACTCTGAGCCTCGAAGTCAGCTTCTCCGGTGACCAAGCAGCTTGCTTCGTCCGCATCCTTAAGTCTAGTCTGCATCCGGAGACGTATGCAGATACCTCATTTGATTCTTTTTGGGGTATGTCGGCAGACCAGCGATTCAGAACAGCGAGGAGCTTTATGAATGAGAGCAGTGAGAGCAGGCCGGGCCGCGCGTCGGAATCGAGGCAAGCGGATGAAGTTGGCCCGATCGTAGCCGCGTTGTAGGCGGTAGGTACGGGCACAAGACACCGCACCTCGTCAGAAAGGGTGACCTAAACAGATTGGAGGAATTTCCGTGCGTAGGTCTAGCGCAACCGTCGAACGGGCTTCTGAGAACGCCCGTGGCGGATTTCGTGATTCGTGACTCGTAAGCACTTGCGCGAGTACTGTGGAGGCGGCGGAAAAGACTGTGGCGGAGGAAAAGTGACGCATCTTGTTCGGAGGAATGGAGGACGTCCTCTGACGTCCTGGTGCGCGCGGTGGAACGACCGCCTTTTTTGCCTTGCCTAATTACCCTGCAGCAGGGGAACCAGAGCGCAATTGGTCATTATTAACCCTTCATTTGTCGCGCAGGAAACAAACGCAATAGGACCGCGGAGCTATCGCAAGCCTGACTAATCAAGATGACTGCCGCACGCGTGAAGCTCACTGATCAGCTGGCGCTCGGCGCCCGACGCCCGTCCCCGAATTCCTGTCCGACTCGCTGATGGTCTCGGTGCTCCGATTATCTGTGAGGCTTCTCTTCCTCCGAGACGATTTTGACCTCAATCTTTGACTTCACACCATTCACAACATCGCCTAACCAGCCAGATAAACACCAAAGTAGCAAGGAATCTCTCACCGTCATACTTCTACCGTCACATCCCTCATCTGTCGACCGTAGTCGTGCCCTCCCTGTCCAGCTCTCTCTCACCAATCAACTTGCGCGCGGTTAGAGTCTCAACCCGAGAAGCCCTGGTTCTTCTCGACCTCCGCTGTTCGACCAGCACCACACATCATGCCTTCACGAAAACGAGCGTTTTCGCCACCTCTTGAGAAAGGTCAAGCATGCATCACTTGGTGAGTGCCCGGTCGGTTCCCCTGTTCCTGCGAGCCGAGGTCCGATCTGCCGCCGTCGCCTACCGACAGTGATCCTCGGCGATCGCGCCCGCGCTCGGGGAGCGGGTCGCTCGTGCGCTGGCCCCCGGGCGCGCGACGTCAGCTCGGGTCCGATCTCGGGCGTCGGGCGCGCGTGCCGGGAGTTTGGCGATGCCGGATGTTTTGAGCAACAAAAACTGACCCCGGATTTTTGGGGGATTTCGATCTTCTTCTTCAACGCGCTACGTTACAGCAAAGCCAGAAAAGTCAAATGTGATGCCAAGGCCCCGGCGTGCACCGCGTGCCTGCGCACTGCCGCCTTCGAGGGGCGCTCAGCCGACTCGGTCCATTGTTGCTACACCCAAGTACTTCGCAAGTCTCGCAAGAACACAGGGAGCCGGAGATTGGCGCTCAAGAAACGCCCTACCCAGCTGCCTGCTCCGTCGCGGCATATGGTTAACTTGCCTACTGGTGCGTCTAGCGGTGAGCTAGATTCCTCTCCTCAGCGGTGGGGCGAGACGAGCTTGACTCGAGCTAACCAGCGACTGTACGCGCCCCTAGACCCGCCCCAAACGTCCGATGCGGCATCGATCACACATCCTGACGGGGTGCCAGACCAGTCGCAACCTCCACCAACTCTCAAGATCGCCCTCGGACTTCCAGAGCTGCCTCCCTTGCCTCCGCTTCCGTCCGTCGCCGCCACATCGCAGGTCAAGGTCGCCCCTGGTGGGCCCGAGGCTTCCGCGACGCACTCCCCCCTCACTGCGGCCACCGGTGTAGCAAGCGCTGTTTCGGCTGGCACACCGGAACCCCTGTCATATCCGATAGATATATCTACTATCAGACCTATCAGAACTTTCGCTCAAATTGCGGAGTCGCACCGGGGGACCATTGCTGCGCTCCCTGCCAAGCCCCTGGCCTCGGCGGTGAATTGGTCGAGCGCGAGTCTCCCGAGATCATCCATGTCGCTCGATGAATCCGACGCTGTTCTAGCCCTTCTGGAGACGGAGATGTCCATGAAGACGCCAAGTCCGACTTTCTCCGACTCCTCGTCCTCATTCGGCTCGCCCCAGTCGACTTTCTGGAGCGATTTCTCGGCGGACGACACCTCGCATTGGTCCTGCACACCGTCGCCACCACCATTCGCCGAGTGCGGTGGTATCTCGTTCTCGGAACCACCCTCTCTCATGGACTTACCCCTCCCTCTCGACCACCAGTCGCTTGCCCAATGGTTCCCGTTACCGTCGACGCCCTCCCTCGAGCTGGGACTGCGAGAGTGGGTCTGGTGAAGCATACTCTTGTGGAATCTGCCGACATATGACTCCGTTCTTTGCTTCATTGCTTAGTTGCACTCGCCATCTCATGTTTTTACTTTCGCCTCTTATGTTGCATAAAAACAATATCTTGGTACCCTGTTTGTTCATAATTTCATACCTACGGCAAGCATACAGTGAAGAGGAACGCCGCCAAAGAGGAACGCCGAGAGTTTTGAGCTGTACACATGCTTATTTCGCTATGGCCAGCAGATTCCGAAAGTGCCGCCGACGGTGTATGAAGCATGTGGAATGACACTGCTGCAAGAGTTGATGCGAAAGAGCTAGGGTAGGTGAGTGGTCAGCTCAATCAGGCCCTCAAAGACGCTACCCGAGGAAGCTCCCTCCCAACGTCCCGTTAGCTTAATTATAGATACCTAGACTAGCCGAAATGAGCCCCATGACATTCGTGTAGGTACCCTAAGCACATCGTGTAGGTACCCTAAGCGAGCATCTGGGAACAGCTATCTGGCATAACATGCTATTATTCCGAGTGGTCCACAGGAGCAAATTCACCATTCCATTGAAGCAGCACGAAAGATAAAGTACAAAGTAGACCGAACATGACGAGAAAGGTGAATGCAAACTTTAAACAAAAAACATGTACTCGAAAGAAGAACCGCCAATCATTCCACTCAACGCCGCGCAGCCTTGCTGGCCTTGCCCTCGGGCGTCATCAAGCCCTCTTGATCGCGGCGACGTTGTCGCCTCGCCACTCCCGGAACGAAACCCATAGCTCGAGCGACAATGTACGCCGCTGTTAAGGCAATCGCAACCGTGTTACTCGGTAATTCAAGGCCCGTGGCGTGGCCCGTAAGACCGGCATAGAGAGAGGGGACACCCTGCGCACCGACCCCAGCCGCGCCGGCGCCGACAGGTTGAGCATGAGCGAAGCGAGCCTGTTCCCACGTTGAAGGGGTCGCTTCGATGCCTTGGAGGAAGTCGCGATATGTCGCGCCGCCATTCTGCCCCAGTAGGGCGTCACGCATCGCATTGTCGGCACCCTCGACGAAGCGACCAGGTGCTACAACCTCCCAATCTCGCACGAGTCCATCAGGGCCCAGCACGCGACCGGCATTGACCGGTTGGTAGGTCCTTTCGGCGGTTTGTTCCCACTCTCTCCAGTCCACGGCACGCGTATCGAGCTCTCTTGCCTGGTAGCCACCGTCGCGAATGACTTCGGGGTCGGCGGGGATGGCTTCGGCCTGTTGGGCGTAAATGTTTTGGCAGTATGCGATCCGTGCTTCGCGGCGGCGTTGTGACGGCGGGGTGATGCACTGTTCCGGGCCAGGACTACCCAAAGACGGTGCCTGAGCAGGTGTTTGACCTTGGCTCGAGGACGGAGTGGAGGGCGGTGGCTGGTTGGTGCCGTTTGACATGATGACGTCGGCGATTGTGGCGTGGGCCGCCGCCGCCGCAGACGTCTGTGGGGCGCGAACGAGCACGCGCCAGGAAGAGCAACGGTTGAATGAACGCAGACCAACGCAGACGTGTGTATTGGGGGTGGGTGGAGTTGAAGCTTTCGAATATGACTGGCGAGCAAGTCCGCGACGGGGAGGTCTGCAGGACAGGGGAACCGGGACGTGTCAGTGTCAGGACTTGGATGTCGGCCTGGTCACGCCATCGTGACCAGCCCGGGGAGGATCGGCTACTGCAGTAGACTACAGTGCCGAACGCAGATCGACAGAGGCGCTGCAGGTCTTAGCCGAGCGCTAATGAAAGTCGGAGGTGTCTTTGTATGGGATAGCCACACTCACAATACACCGCTAGTGATTGGTACAAAGGAAAGGAGCCGGCAGCGCTAGTGCGGCGAGGCCATCGCCGCGTCAGGCAGCACTGCAAGGCACTGCATGAGACTGCGTCAGACCTCGCTTCCGGGCCGGCGGGTCGCACAATATCAACCAGTGTAGTGCTGCCGGCACTCAATTTAAACGCCGGCGAGGTTTTGGAGATGGTAGAGTCGGTCTTACATAGTCCAGTTTCAACTTTCTGGGGATCGGGGGATCGAGGAAACATCGATACTGCAAGAAACCTGATTACGCGATAGGTCCATTCCATGTGATATGGCTGGTCCCCCGACAACGAATTCCCTACGTGCACCATATGCATTCAATATGTGCACGGAAGGCCCGAGACAGCCTGCATCACCCATTTTTATGGGCCGCACCACACAAAAATGCGGTTCCGACGTGCTTCCGGCGAAGGAACCGGTTGCTCCCGGGCTTGGCTGTTGGACCCAAGTTTGCTCACTTGTCAATTGTAATGCTTGTGACAAAAGGAACGGCTTCAAAAACAAAACAAAAGTGAATCATATTATTAATGACATTATTAAGCTAGTGTTCGGAGCACCAGCACCGCTTTCGTCGTTGAGTTAGCTGAGTCATGTCGGTATGTCTGACCGGGTCCACTTCCGACGCGCACTAGTAGAGAGACTCGTTGAACAGGGGCGACGGGCGGTGCCCAAGTCAGGGGCCGCGATAGGAGGCATACTGCTGACACGAGCTATTGTGCTACTCCGAGACTGTGGCCAAGATTGCTCAAGACTACTTTCTCCTCCAGCGCCGTTGAGACCAAAGTGTTCAGCCGTCTGCATTCGCAAAAACCACGGAGCATCTTATTGACAGGTCTCATCTGTACCTGTAGAGCAACCTTTGTACTAGACGGCGAAACTTGGATCAGAGTGAAAAGGATGCTGCAAAAATCTCACAAGGCAACGCAACGTGTGGACGGAAAGTGGTCGCCGAGAACAGCCCTGGCCGATCGCGGCCTAATGAGGCCCAGACCGCATCCGACACACGACCAGCCCCTATTGTTCACTGCCCGCCGAGGCTTTGTCCGCAGGGTTTCCCCAGAAGTAGTCTTCGAGCCGTACCTCCCCTGAGAGCACAGAGGAGCAGTAGAATGAGAAGTCCGCTCACCGCGCTAGTGTGAAAGCATAGCCCGGACATAGCTTGTCGCAACCGCTGTCGAATCCGAGACCACCCGGGTCTTAGCCGTCGATCCTCGAGCGCTGTTCTTTACCTTCTTCCCCTCTGTCATCGCTCACCAAGAACGGATATATGCTCTCTCCAAGCCGAGTTCTCGAAGTCAAGGCCAAAGGCGACGCTTGCAACAGGTGAGTGCCCTGCTTAGCCGGTGAGGCTTCGAGCTTGTAGCGCGGTCTAATCAGTTGCCGAGACTCCTTGCACCGAAACACTTCTGACGACGTCCGTTGGAATTATAACTCCCTGGCAGATGTCGGCTTCGTCGGGTTCGCTGCACTGGAGTCAATGGTCAGCCCTGTGCGGCGTGCACAAGAACTGGTGAGTCTTCGCCGCTTCCGTCGGCGATGTATGCAGTGCCGTAACCCGGGCGGTTAAATCCGCCGGCGGCGACAGGTAGCTTCGGATGGCCTGCTTTACTCGCACAGCAACTAAAACCGAATGTCCTGCATTGCTACAGCTCGATTTCGCAACCATGACCTGGACGAACTCTACTGCGGCTACCATGGTACGAGGCCATGCAGCGAAGAGAGTGAAGATCGCGTGAGGCGTGAGTACTACAATTGCCTAAGTGCTACTGCCACCCGCGGCCCGAGGGCCACGTGACCCTGCTCCGGTCGGAAGCGATCTCTTCGCCCCCGGGTGACGTAGCCTCCTGAGTCTATACCGTCGGCGCCGAGTCTCGTCCTTCTTTTCTATCTTGGACCCTTCCCCATCCGAGTCATTGTGACCTCCACACAGAATGCATCTCCACTCGGAATCGCGAGATTGTCTGGTCTTTGCGATTACTCCTGAGCGCTTGAGCGACCTGTGCTGATCGTCTCCTTTTCTCCACCGGTGGTTCCCTTTTTCTCATCGTAGCTCGCAAGAAGCGCAACCGTTCTGGCTCGGAACTCGAGTCTTCGTCATTGAACAAGAAGTCATCGTCTTCCCCATCGAGCTCATCGGGCAAGGCTCGCTCCTCTACGTCCAAGACGGTTTTGCGCAAGCGTCTGCCAAGCTCCTGCCAATCACCTCCCAAGAAGAGCTCGGAGAAGGCCGCCAGTGTGGCTGAGGTGGTGCAGTCCTCGAACCAGATTGGAGGGTCCATGTCCATCAAGCGGCAACCGACCGAAGTACACTCCAAGGTCAAATCACTCTGCACACCTCCCTCAGCGCCTGAAGTGTTCCTGTCCCCTACCGCCTCGACCTCCCACCTGCCGGATCTGCCGGAGCTTCCGGATCGAGAGTCTACTTCCATGCACGTCGATGAGGCCCCCAGTCCCGTCCAAACTTCCGCAAGTCCGTCCATGAATGAGACTGGCTCGATCGCCGAAGTGTTCACAGTACCCTACGAATACCCTGCGCTCGAGGACGTTTTCCAGGACCCCGGACCTGCTGTTCCGTACTCGATTGACACGTTGCCCGACCCGTCCTACTTCGGGCCTTTATCACCGACTCACTCCTCACCCTCTTCGCTCTCGTCCATGTCAGCCTCACCTTTGTCCTCGGCTTACTCGAGCTGTGCATCCCCCTGCGCCAGCCTCATGCTTACTCCCGATGCCGTCCCGGACGCTTTCTACCTCGGCGACTCCTGCATCGCACCCTCGCTCGTGGGCACGATGACCAGTATCGCAACGGCAGCCGCGACTACCGAGTCTACGTTCTCAGGGCTGCTTGCAGCCGTTACGACGACGCCCTACTGGTTCTCCGACCCGTCCGATACTGTCGTCACACCGTGCTTCGAAGACGCTTGGCTGCAGTGGTCGCCAATTACGGATCAGAAGACGTTCCAAGCGTATCCTTCACCGCTCTCGTAAAGACTCGTGCCCCGACAGAGGCCATAAATTTATCGTGAGTGCTCAGAAGTGGGACGGAGAGCAAGACTTTACCGTGTTGTGCTTATAGGTGTTCAAGTTAGGCTCTTAGTGTATTTGGTCTATCCATAGTATTGCTTCTCTGTATGCGATTCACAAGTACAAAAGTGTAATGTTTTGACGAAAACGATTGAAGCGTTGTTGCGTTGCCAAAAAAAAGCCAAAGAACAGGATCGATGTAATCAACTGAAGCGAATGAATAGGTATTACTGAAAAGAGACAAGACAAGAGCAACAAAAGAGAGTAATCAACAAGGAACGTCGATCGAAGTGGAGTGAGGCAAGCAGACGGTCAAGCTCGTCGTCCCTTCATTGCGCCGAGATGGTGGTAGACGTGCCGCCGACCCTGACGCGATACAGGCAGGTGTAAGCCGACTCGCCATGGTTCGTTAGGACCTTGAGTACAACTACTTGGACGGGAATCGCAAGCTGGCGGGCCATAGGTGTCACGGGGAATGTCTGGATGGGCGCAGGCGACGCAGCGTCGTACGAGCCGATCGCTAGCAGGATGTGGTTGGGCGTCGGAGGGATCGAGGTAGGAGGCTCGAGCTCGAAACCTCTGGGCTCGTCGTCCCCCTGCACCTCCGCTTTTCGACGCGCCTCGAGCTGCTCGTATCGGTAGCGAGCCAAGCGATCGATATCGGAGCGAGATTCGACAACACCCCAGACCTCAAATTCGCGAGGCGCACTGGCGACAGTCCCGTCGAGGGAGACGTCAATGGAGACGTGCTCGATCGTGACGTCGCTAGGCACGATACTGCGGCTAAGCTGAATCCCTAGCTGACCCTGAGAACCGGCAAAGGGCCAGCACGACCCTGGAGCGTTGTCGGGATGCAAGGCCGTGACAGGGGGTCGACCACGCGGCCCAGCGGTGCCGGTCACCCAAGCCAGAGCTCTCCGGCTTGCGCCGAGAGGGTTGGCTTCGTACGTTGGCGAAGTCAGCGTCCGGACGACCCGGCCACCTGCGGTGAAGAGCGCGTAGTCTGGGCGAGCGAGGACGTCTTTGGAGTAGCGAAGCAGAGCTGAATCGACGAGCGACGAGACCAAAGCCGCCACGTTGTCGCTCGGAATGGTTGCCGATTCCCCGCCCTCGCCTCCTTTGTGACCGGTGAAGGGAAGGTGTAGATGCGATGCGATCCCGCCGCCACCACTCTCCTTGCGCTTCATCTCTTCTTGCTTAGCCACCTTGCGCAAGAGTTCTTGCCCGATCTTTTCGACATTTTCGTTCGCCTTGGCCTCAAAGTCGGCCTTAAGCGTCTTGATTTCGCGCCGCAGCGTGTCGAGGAAAGCCCTGCGCGTCACGATCGCATCTGAGCCCGTGCGGCCTTCGATATTGGAAGAGACGAGAGCGCGCAGCGCAGCGTCATTGGCCTCGAGGAAATCATCCCACTTGGGCGGTTCATGAATGACGATCGGAGCCAGCGGCCCACCGCCGTCGGTCTTGAGGGGCAGCTTGGCGACTTCTCGGGCCACCTTGCTATTGACGATGCTCTCGACTTCTTTCTTGTCGACGAACGCATCCCGCAGGTATTGCCAGAACGTGGCGTCGACTTCAACTTTGCCGTTCTCGTTGACTTTGACCGCCATCTTGGGTGGAAGGCGTTGTTCGATGGCTTCAAGCGCGAGTTTGGCCATGCGTTCGCCGTCGAGACCTTTTCGCACGTCCTGCGCGACTTGGGCAACCTTGCCTCCCAGCGAAGTGATGTCCTTGGCCGCGGCGTCGATGCTGGCCTTGAGCTTGCGCAAGTCGGCCGCATCGCCTGATTGAGCGTCCTGGAAGGTCTGCACGCGCGTCACGAGCGCATCGAGGTCGGCACGCGCCGCCTTCAGAGTCTGCTCGAGCTCGTGGTTCTGCTTTGCGTTGGCCTTGACGGAAGATTCGATTGCTTTGGCAGCGTTCTGGCGCTCGGCCGACAGGGTTTGCTCGAGTGAGGAAAGCTGCTCCGCCATCTTTGACATGAGCTGATTATTCGCCTTTGTGCGGGTTCGGTCACCGTCGGTAAGCGAAGAGAGCTGACCCATCGCTCCTTCGAGCAACGTCAGGCGAGCGATCAGTTCCTCGAGTGAGCCTGCGGGTGTCGCAGGAGCACGATAGGTCGACGATGGCCGGAAGAAGGGCACGTAATGAATGATGGACGACGAATGGTCGGAAGATGACGCAGATTTGGAGGGTGAATCGGACGTCATGTTGGGTCTGTGAGCGAGATGAAGAGGTCAGTAAGATTCCAGTATTCAGACTCGCGAACGTACTCACACTAAATATACCATCGCGAGCAAACCAAGCAGCAACAGGCCGATCGCCCGCCAGATTTTGCGCCAGTCCAGCAACGGGTCCTGTATTGTCCGCCACACGCCAGCGAGGAGACGATACAGCTGTCGGCCTAGGAAGGCACCAATCCCGCTCTTCCTCACGTGCTGGGACTCTTCTTGTATACCAGCGAGGGCCGGGGCGCCCTTGAGTCGATGGCGCCGTCGCAGACCCGCCGTCAAGCTGTTGACACCGTCACTCGCACCACCTTTCGACTGCTCGGCCGCAAGCTGATTGAGCCGTCGCTGCTCCTCGAGCGCGGCGACGATGCGTTCTTCTTCGCTATAATCGTAGGAACTACCGCGAGTAAGCGAGTCGTCGAGGCTCAGGGATCGACTGAAGGAATGTGAGGGTTGAGTGCGGCCAGCATTGAGAGTCTGATCGAAATCGTCAAAGGAAGGATCGACCGGTGGTGCGGCGGCATTCGCGCCTCGACCACCAAAGCCAAACGTGAAGGCGCGCAAGGGTTGGAATGGCGAATGTGTGCCCGGGGAAGACGTCGGATATCCTCCGAGCTTGAGCTGCGGTGTGACCACCTCTTTCTGCGCCGATGCCTGCGTTCGATCGGCGGGGGATTTGTCTCGAAGAAAGAACGAGACCGACGGTGGCTCGACCGAGATGTTCGGCTCAAAATCGTGCTCCATGCCTCCCATGTCCTGCTCCTTGTCGTCGTTTTGAGCAAATTCATCGTCCGAGCCTGCTCCTTCGTCGTCGACGCCATCGCCTGTGCCTCTCCCCTTCCGCCCTTTCCTCTTTCTGGCCTTCTGCCACACCTCGTTGTCTCGTCTCCCAATCGGGATTGCGTTCGAAGTTGCCGATCCGGTGCTCGCCCGACCTTTGCCTTTGCTCTTTCTCCTACGAGCGATCGCGTCGTCAGAGATGTCGTCCCCCGAGGTCGCTTCCGATTCGCCCGTGGGTTTATAGGCCGAATCAGTCGTCGTCAACTTTCTCCTTGCGTTCGGTGAAGTCTTTCTCTGCCCGGACACTTGCTCCTTCTCGGCATCGTTGCCGCGTTCCCGTTCGGGAGATGTCGTGCTGGTCGTCTTTTTGGGTCGCTTCGCCTTGGCTCGGGCCTCTTCCGATAGCTCCTCCTCGCTTGTCGTTTCCCCAGTCCGATGCTTGAACGAGGCATCCTTCGAAGTCGAGTTGCGTTTCTGCCGTCACGAATGCTGTGATCAGCTCGATTATTCATTCACTGTTGGCGCGAGCTGTGAGCACTCACCTTTCGCTTCTTACTACCATCGGTTCCAGCCCCTCCACCAGCACGGTGGGTCTCCTTGCCACTATCTTCCTCTTCACTGGCATCCTCTTGACCAACGGTCTCCTGTGTTGGTACCGGCATTGTGGCCCTCTTGCCTCCAACTCTCATCAATCCCTCGGCCGAGGACGTTCCTTTTACAGCAGCAGCGAAAGCATTGGCGATATTGACGCTCGTATTATTGAGGTCCGTCGCAGGCCTCGTCTTTGAACTCGATGTCGAAGCCACACCGGTCGTCGTCGTCGTCCCGAGATTGGTCGGGTGTCGAATGGCCGAACCGGTGTTCCGTTTTCTTTCAGCTAGACGAGCATATCTTACTGCAGCGGGTTCGAGGGACCTTCCGATCGATTCTTCCCTCTCCAAGTGTCGCTGCTTTTCGAGTTCGAATGAATCCTCGTCCTCTTCTTCGTCGTCATCGTCGCCCGTGATGAGGATCGTCTCGTCCTGACCCGCCTCGACCTCTCCCCTCAACAAAGACTGCGCTCGTAGATGCGCACCTCGTCTCGAATTCGAGCTCGTACTCTGTGCATCGTTCGATTCCCCGGTGTTGGCCCTTCGGTTCGATGATCTCGAAGCAGGCGATCCATGGGGTGAAGAACCGACGGGCGCGGGTGGAGCGCCATACGCGTACGAGACCGGCATCGCGGGGTTCGATAGACGCCTCTCGTGGTGCGGTACTTGGGAAGTGAATGTCGAGGCCGAGGTGGAGGCGTGTTGGTCACCACCACGACTTGTAGGATTCGTTCCTGATCCCGACACTGAGGCTGAATTGAGCACGGGCACAGCCGCGGGTGAGCGTGATCGGGGCGGCATTCTGTGGTGGTTGTGGAGCAGTTAGAGCGTACACAGGTTCCAATGAGGTGAGATCTCTTGAAGAGTCGAGTTTCGATGAAGCACGAGAGAGATGAGTACGAGCTGAGGGATTGTGCGCGAGCGCGTTCGTCGCTCGATCGTAGGAGCGGATCGGTCGCCACAGGGGCTGATTTGGGATGACACCGTGATGGGGGCCTGTAAGAGCACAACTCGATGTGATGGGCGTAGGGTATATCGTGTATGCTGTGAGGGTGGGAAAGGAGGCAAGATCAGCGCCAGGCCCGTCCGAGCCCGTGAACAAGGGGACCCAACTCAGGAGAGCTTGGGTCGCTGAGCCCACTCTGAGGCGGGGGCAAGAGCTCACTGACCTGTCAGAATCACACACTGGGAAGCCTACGTTCGGCGGTGTCGATTCTGTTCTCCGGCAAGGTCGTGCAAGACACAGGAGGGGTATCGTAACGAGTGACTTGGGAATCACAGACTCCGGGCCTCGCGAGGAAGAAACGAGAGGCGCGCGCGCGCGGGTCGTTCAACCTCTCACACGCGTCTTGTCCTCAGTTGCCAAACTGCATACAAGCACCCACCTCGTGAGAACCCCCTTTCTTCCACGGGCCCGAGACCATTTCTCAGATTTGAGCTCAGATCTCCGGACAGAAGTGAAGAAGCGGGTCCGTGCAAGGCGTCATGTCATAGCAAGCAAACAAGTTGTACTTGATGACAACGCAGGACCTATGCACGAGCGCCTGGCCCGCGCTCGGACCCACTCCAGAGCGGGCCTCGCCGAAAGAAAGGGAACATATGACAGAGGCTTTGAGTGTTCGTCGCTTCTTTTGTTTTGATCGCGCTCAGGCACAGACACAGACTTAAAGAACGTAGTAAGAACAGAAGAAAGAGAGAGCGGAAATTACGATGGGGCGACGCTATCGCAAGCAGAATTGAAAGTGAAGGAGCGTCGGAAGAGAGAGGGGAGAACACACAAGAGACACGGGTGATGTAGATCGGTTCAAGACGATATCCAGAGATGAGACCCATCTTCTTATTACGCCTTCTACTTCTTCCTGACCTCGATGACGACCACGACGACCACGACTGCCAGAAAGAAGGATGAGTCGCTTCAGCTGGGTGGGCTAGACCCGGGACATCACAGCAAACACGCTTCGGCTTACCCACGATGATGCTGAACATCGGTGGCACGGAGATAGCACAAAGGGCGAGGTTAGCTGCGTGATCGCGGGCGGCGAACGAGTGCGCGGCAAAGGACTTACGCGACCACAATACCGGCACAAAAGATCTTCTTCTTTCGAGCAGCGCGAGCTGACTTGACGGCCTTTTGGGTTTGTTGCAAACTGATGAGAGTGCTAGACATTAGCCGCTGGTTTTTGTACAGCTTGGAAATACCAGCCTACGTACCCTTGCTCAACATCGGTGTTGGCTTGCACAGCCGTGGCTTCGATCTGCTTGACGCTGTCGTCTTGCTCCAAGACGAGAGTAGCCATCTGGGAACGTACCATCGGCGCGGCTCAGGTCGGGTCACACCAGTGGAAGATTTGTGAAAACCCAATGACTCACATCCTGCATCATTTGGGCAAGCTGAGTGATGGTCTCTTCGATCTTGCGCAAGTCCTGGTTCCTCGATTGCACCTCGGCGAAAGCGGCACGAGCACCGGATTGACGAGACGAGACCAGCTGGGGAGACGCCGGGACAGGAGTTGCGAGTCAGTTACCACATTGCCTTGGCTAGTACGCATAGTGTAACTGACTGCTTGGGAGAAGATCTGCTGGCCAGCTTGTTGATCATCGAAGGCCGCCTTGATCTCGGCCTGAGTGGCATCGGGTTTGACTGTAGCCAATGCGCTGATCGTCAGCTCAAGATTAGATATTCAACGTCATGAAACGAAACGCACCAATCCTAATCTGCCTCTCGACCCTCTGCCTGTACTTTTCTCTGCTCTTCTTCTCGACCAAGTTGTACTCCTCCAGGCCCCGCCGGAAGGCGTTCTGCAGACCGCCGACCTGGAGCTTGCGCGTGTTGAACTCGGCGTCGCCCGGCGGGGACTGCTTATTGAAATTGTTGAGTCGGGTGATGCGGTCGCGGATCGAGTTGGTCAGGGACGAGGTGGCCTGCGTCAGTTCCTGGAGGTGGGCCGACGATTCGGATTGCTGCGCATCGTCGGTCGTGGCCAAGCGTCGGGAGTGAAGGTCTGAGATCTGGTTGACGTATTGGTGCAATTGTTTGATGTCGTCCTGGATTTCTTCAACCTGCGATCACAATGATGCAGGGTCCTTCAGCACTGGTGGGACCGGGGCTGGGTGGGGTGCCCGGATGAGACAGCATCGGCACTGACCTCGGCAAAGAAGGACTGCATGTCCCCCTGTCGGTAGCCTCCCGCAGCTGCACCATTACCATAGCTAGCTTGGTTCGACTGCTGAGGAGGGTATGAGGGCTGCTGGGCTTGCTGTGGTGGGTATTGACCGTAGGACGGTTGCGAGAAGCCCGACGCTGCTGCGGGGGCGAGGGCGGGGGCGGGGGCGCTTTGCTGAGGTGCATAGCTTCCCGGTGCCGGTTGACTGTGATCAAAAGCCATGTAGATGAATGCGCTCCGGTCAGAACGATGCCCTTGACAGCATGAAACCCTCCTCTTGCCCTCGCAACTGCCGATTACCCGAGCCGACCCGTTGACGAATCCGGCTTCACAGATGGAGGATCGCACTCGCACTCGCTCACTCACCCGTATCCGTACTGCTGGCCGCCGGGCTGCTGCCCACCCTGCTGTTGGCTCTGTTGGAGGACATTCCAACGAGAACGAGGATGGATCAGTGTAGCTCCGAGCTCCTTGGCTTGGGGTGATGCGGTTCGGCGTTATTTGGCTCGATCGTCTCTCCGTCAGCCGTTGTCTTCGCCGGTGCTCGCTCGTTCAAGTCTCGAACTCTCGAACGAGCCACAGGCGGCTGGCTGGCTGGCTGGCTGGCTGGCTCGGCGAAACAGCGCTCGCGGGGGGTGGTCGGCCACAACAGCGCAGCCTGTGAATCGACGGTCGATGGAGTGTGGACAACCCCTCGTCACTTTCCCCGCAGAGAAGAAGACGACACTCAAAACTTACCCGAGCTTCACGTAATCGATCTCGAGACATGGTAGGGGAGAAGTAGTGTGAAGAGGGTATGAGGAAGGGGGCGGGGGCAGAACGTGTGGAGGGGAGAGCGCACGGGTGAGCCCGACGTGGTCGAGGAGAGCATTACACGACCGGCGCTTGAGAGTAATGGAGCCCAATAGAGCCCAATAGGGAAATTGGCTGGCCGACGATCGCGGCCGGGGCAGCTCCGCGCTCATCGTTGGCGAGCTCGAGCGTGAGCGCGTGAGCGCCGCCGTGGCTGTGCCGTGGCCACGGAGTGGGCCCGACTCGGAGGCCCCGAGTTAGGGTATCGCTGTTCCCAAACTCAAGACTCAAGAGGTGCCTCACAGTCAATTCTGTAATTCGTGTTTGAACTTCCTCCAAGGCCATATAACTTGGGGCGATTGCAATCCCAGTCGGTGCTCACCCCACTCACCCCACTCAGCACTGGATCATTTTCAAGTTGGCCTTCAAGTTGAGCGGCAACTTCCGTCGGGGGCAATCCACCAATGGGTCCGAGCGACAGGGAGCGCGTCTCCCAAGCCTGAGGAAGAGCTGCCAGCTTCTACCAGCTTCTACCAGCTCCCCCCGTACGCGGGGTTCTGCTCGGCTTACTGGCCACGACCCTGAGGCATGGCACCTGTCGAACTGCACGTTGATGCCTTGTCCAAGGTCGACGTGTTCGTGCACCCCTCGGCGTACCCGCCCTCGACGCAGGTCGGTGATCTGCTGACGATCCGACCGCTTACCACCCCTTCGCGCAAGAACAAGGGCAAGGATCGGGCATTACTGTTCAAGGTCGATCGTTTGTCGGATAGTGCTGCATCCTCGTCGGTGGGAGCAGCCACGAACATTGGGGCCAATGCCAATACTTCCGCAGCACAGGGGCAGGGCTCGGCGCAGCATTCCACAGCCGCCGCTACAGCCACCGCTACAGCCGCTGCAGCGAGTCAAGCCGACAGAGAAAGGAGAAGACCGCCCAAGGCTCAAGTGCTCGTCTCACAGAGCGTGCAGCAGACATTCAAGTGGATCAAACCGCGCACCGAAGTTGTCGTCGAGGTGCTCAGTCGAGCCGATCGCAACCATCAGGTCAGTCCCCGCCGCGCAGCACTGAGTCCACAGGAAAACATCGTGCATGCATAATGATATTCTAGTATATTCTGCTTACTATTCGACCGGCAACGCTGACCATGATGTGCGCTACTTGCTCGGAATACGCTTTAGCTTACCCCACCCCCACCTGACGAACTGGTCGCCTCGCACGTCGAGCTCTACTTCAACAACCTCTACCTCTCGCGACCGGACATGTTTCGTCTCACGCTCAGTTTGGCTCGCACCTGCCTATTTGTCAACCAACGCGTCACCTCCGAGGTACTGATTGGCGCTCGTCTCAGGGTCGGCGCCATCTTCAACCTGAACAACCATCACCTCCGCTCGGCCTACATCACCGACGAGACAAAGATCATATTTCGTTCAGAGTCGGCGCGTTGCTTCATCTTTGTCGAGATCAGTCAAGAGATGTGGCACTTTGAAGAGGACGGATCGATGCTGCGCGAAAGGTGCGAAGTCTTTCTCGACGAAATGTTCCAGCACTGGTCGGGCAAGCAGAGAAAAGGCATGGGAGGCGCCAAGAATAGGGGCTACTCGACGAGCCATACCGTTTCCATCATTCTGTATGGCCGCGTAATCTATGAGGACAACGGAGAAGGTGAAGAGGCGAGGGCGCCAATGAAGAGGCACGAGAATGGGACCCTCTATCGCGACTTTTTCAAGGTCAATCACATGTGTCATCTGCTGCTGCCCACGGGCCCCATGACTCACGCGCCCTATCTTGTTTGCTTCAGGTCATCATGGATCTCACGCCCTCCCCTCATCCGTCCATTGTTCGCACGGTGGCGCAAGAGATCCAAAGGTGGCACGAGTCCGTCCTGCTGCGCACGCGAGCCACGGGCGAGCAGAAACTGGCGGGCCGGATCGCCTACGCCCACGAGTCGCCGGTGCTGGAAGCAACGAACCTCGCTCTCAACTCGTTTGAAGAGCATTGGATTGATCGAGATTTACAACGCACCGGCTTGGAAGTGCTCGTCCTCACCGCCGGCACGTCGTACTACGAAGTTCCCAAGCGCCTGTTGCGACTGACAACGGAACGCATGCTCTACCATGGAATCGGTTTGGACCTCATCTCGCTCAGCAAGACCCCGTTGCATACGGTGCCGCTGTTCGCCTTCCAGAGTCACGAGCCTGGCTTGTCCGACGAGCCTCATATCGCTTTTAATGGCTTCAAAGACAAACGGCGCGCTGGCACGGACATCCAGCCCACGAACGTTGGTCTCCCTTCATCGCATGGTACGACTCATTCGGCAACTTCGCGACCCTACACGGCCGCTACGGCCGAGCACTCTGGTTCGTCGCACAACATGCCGCAGAACCCGTTCGGCCGCGACCCCACCCGCATCGCCTTGCCAAATGATCAGAAGGATCCTCTGTACTACGACTCTTCGCGACCTTTGCAAGAGATGTCGATCTACTACGCCGAGCCCATGTTCATTTTTTGCTCCTTTTTTGGTCTGCAAGTCGACAAGCCGCATCGCATCGATCGGTTTATGCCCCGCGCGAGGTGCTACGAGTTATTCTCTCAGGGCATAGGGGAGAGGACGCCGATCGCGATCCCATTGCTGTTACCAATCAATGCCGCGATGGACGCCGAGGATGGGGGAACTGGTGCGAATGGTGAAACCGTTGGCTACCTGAGTGAATGGGAGAAGCGTCAGGCCAAAAGGGAGATGCATGATGCGCTGGCCGTCGGTGCTCGGGATGGGTTGGAAGGTCTTTCGACCTGGTCCAAAGAGAGTGGAGCCATGAGCACGACGACTGGAAGTTCGGTCGAGTTGGCGAACAATGCCGGTGGGAGGTGGGACAAGACGATCGGCGCGAAGATCAAGGGAGCTCATAGCAACAGCGATGCAACGACCGAAAGTGGGAGCGATGGAAGTGGGAGGGGCGGAAGGAGTTTGTCGGCGCAGAGCTCGAGGGAAATGGATGAGAGAACCGCTGAGACAGCCAAGGTGCGCGAGAGGGAAATGAAGCGCGTGACGCTGGAGCGGGAGCGGGAACAGGAGATCGTAATCGAGAAGGAGCGAGGGCGACAACAACGCATCTCCGAAGCGGAACGAGTGGCTACAAGCTCGAGGTCCAAGACGCCGATGCCAGGTCGACCGCGTTCGGCATCGGTCGCCACGTCGGTTCGGACTGTTTCGTCGGCCCAAACCAAGACGGATCGTAACAAGTTGGCGACCCCGGCTTTGATCGCTCGATTGACCAACACAATCGCGGCCCCATCCGGCAGCGGGTCATCTACGAATCAATCGTTCCATTCGTCTCGACCGGGCTGGCTTGGACTCTTCCGTGGACCGGCCTCGACGAGCAACGCAACGCCAGCCCCCTCGGTTGCGGTGCAAAGGGTTGAAGCTCAAGCCAATGTGACACCCCAGTTCGACCTCGACACGGACATGTCTGTCACCTCCGGGAGATCTGATCACGGCACGACATCCCCTCCTCCGTCGAACCGAACTTCGTTGCTGACTTCTCCCCAAATCAGAGGGCCCACTCTCCCCATCTCGATCAAGACCTGGGCCATCCAGCCCAAGGACGCCGATCGACCCTCAAGGGGTTTGCGCAATTCGCCTTCGCTCAAGCATTTCACCACAACGGGGATTAGCAAAGGCAAGAGCTCAGGCCACCGCTCAACTGCGTCTCGCTTTAACCCTTCCAAGCCGGGAAGGCGAAGCAACGGACTGGCTGATCAGGCTCGACGATGGGCTTCGATCTTCGTCCGGCACGCCAATGACCAACGCTCGGTCAACTGGGTGTCCATCACTCGCGGGGCTTGCCTGCCTTTGACGACCGACTTTTTGCCAACCGCCGATGCGCTGTCGACAGAATACTCGGACTTCGGTTATGCTGTGCCGACATCGTTGACATCGAACTCGTTCCTTCTGTTGTCGGAACAGAGCAGGACGGGTCGCAACGTTGTGGCTGAACTTGTCTTGGAGATGGTGTCGCAGCGGCTCTCGCACGGCTTCCAGCTCGTCACGCCCGCGAACCACATCGGTGCGCTCGACGAGATCAGTGTAGCGTCGTCCAAGACCTTGCCCGATGTCCTGCACGAGGTCGAGATCGGCGATTCGACGGCAGTGTACCTCACCTTGGCGAACCAGATTCATCGCATCTGGTACGACCGTCGAACCCAAGCCGTGCAGGTCAAGATCATGCGCCGCCGCCGGACTTGGTCGAAAGAGAGCTATAACTTCTCAGGTCTCATCTTCACCCAAGGCTCAAACGTATATCACTACACCGAGCTCGAGTTCCCGTATCCCTCGATGATCGAGCCGGACGACTGGCAGCATCTTGACCGGCTCGTCGCTGGCGCAGAGAGACCTGACCTCCGGCCTTCGCTGCGTTTTTGGCGGACTCGGCTGGTGTTGCTTCCAGCTGAAACAGTAACCGAGCGAGAGAGCATCATTCGAACGACGGAAGCACTGGAAGCGGACGCGTCGGATGCGATGATCAATGACCAGGGGTTCTACACGTTCAGAGATCTCATCGAGTCTGCGCGATGGATCCCACCTGGTGCAGATCGGGAGCAAATCCCGATCTCCCAGTGAGTCAGAACATACGCTGTAGATCTCGGGGTATATGCTTGAACTAACGTCGCCCTTTATTTTGCAGCACCTCTCTCACTGCCCCCGAGTGGGCCTCGATGATGGCCAAGAATGCGACGTCGGCTAATCTGGATCTTTTGGCGACCGCGGTGAATCGTGCGGCTCATTCATCCCAGTCAGCGAACCCTCATATTCCTCGCTTGTCGATGTGGCTGTCGCGCCTCACCAACACTTCGGAGACGCCGCCACCGGCTTCGCCTTTATTCGATCGTGATATGCAGTTGCCCTCACCGATCTCCGCCCCAGAACACCTCGGCGACATGGGCACCTCAGCGCCTTCGCCTACCCCCAAGAAACCGGTTGTACAAATGTCGTACGCGGTCATTGTCGATCTCGACCACCTCGGCAAAAAGTCGTCCAGGGCCGAGCGCGTCATCTGTCACCTCGATCGCTCGCACAACCGCAATGCAGCGTACCACCTCGAATTGAACTGGCTCTCTGGGTCGGGCAAGATCATTGATAGCGCAATCCAGGCTTGGTCGAGGCAGGTGCAAAAGTTTGGCTTAAGGCTGATCGAGGTCTCTACGCGAGCTGTCGAAGACCTGCACAACCCGTTTCAATTGGCCACGATCTTGCCCTTCAAGGTGCCTCCACCTCCAATCGTAGACTTGACACTACCGCGAGAGTAAGCACTCTGACATTCTGCGCACTTCTCGACAAGCTGCACCGTGGTTGCTGAACTATCCCATATCGTTCAGGTACTACGAGGCTGGTCTTCTCCGTTCGCTCGGCTTCTTTCTCGACATCGGCGCCGATTCCAGCTTCCCCTCCGACGTCGACGTGCAGTATTCCTACAAACGCAGTCCTTCCCCTCGTTCGCAATACATTCATCGCTCAGGCACGGTCCTCGTCGCGATCCTTGGCGATCGACGTGGGCTCGCCATCGTCGCGAACCGGATCTACCTCAGCCATAGACCGCAGGCGAAAGACCAGGATCCGACGCGGGAGTTGGTCGAACTTTGTGGTGATTTGCAGAAGTTGAGGGCGATGTGGGATCGATTGGGCGTGGAAGCGGATCGACTCAAAGAGAAGGCGGCATCCGAAGCTACGACGGCGAGGGAGGTCTCGCAGGAGTAGAGATCTCATGATCGATTGCAGTAAATTAATTTAGTTTCCAGAGTACTGTAAGCTATAACATAGAGAAAGTGTACAGATGGAAGCGAAATTTGCATAGAGAGGAGACCGAATGGAAAGCTCATTTTGCACTTAAATTTTGGATACGCGGTCGGCCTTGAGGATAGCAGGGTTGGGCAAGATCCAAGCCTTGTGACCGTTGAGTTGTTCCTCGTGGCCGAGACTGGCTTTTTGCAATGCTTCAGACCCCTCGAGAGCGGCACGGACGAGTGCGCTGCCGACTGCAGGCGTTGTGACGGCGACCGATTCGGAAAACTTGCTCAGAACAAACGTAACCTTGCTACGAACGCAAGAAACGCAGAATAATCTCATCAGCAGTCGCCTACTATTGCCGGCGCTGGAAAACACCTTCGTTCGTTCTGAAGCACTGACCCAAGGATGCCTTCGATCCATCGACTCTCTCCCCTTCCGCCGGGGACTTCGAGATAGCCTGGACGAGCGATGATGGTGTCGGCATACGAAAGAGCGGCAAGGCTTTCTTCGGTCAAGCCCTTGGACTTCATATAGAGAAACGGTGCAGAAGAGTTGGAGCCTCCCGACTGTAAAGAGACGCACTCACGCGGTCAGCGAACCTGTACGCTCTACGCCGACTGCCGTGACCGACGATGCGCTCGCCGAGACCGGACTGACCGAGCAATACACGAGCGTCTGCTGCTTGTCATCACACTTGGCAGACTGGGCCGCGGCAAGGACGTATCCACGATCAATCTTGATGAAGTTGGCCGCACTACCGGCGTTGGCTCGAGTCGTACCGAGGGCGATGACGACAGCGTCGGCTCGGACTTCGGACAGCTTCCGACCCTCGGCGGCATCACCGGCGAGCAGCTTGTCAAAGTCGAGGCCGAAATGCTTGAGCTTGTCGATCCCTGGTGCATCCGCGGGGACGGGAGGAGGTCGACGTCCAAACGAGTAGACGCTTTGAGTGGTCGGGGCTGAAGAAAGGTATCAGAAGTTCATCAGTCCTGCGCCACAACGAGTGCGACGAGACGATCGACTGGTGGAGCCCTGATGGATCAACTGACCAGCGAGAGCAGACGCAAGCGCCTGACGTCCTACTTCCCCCGTAGCACCGAGGACAATGATGTTCTTGCCAGCCATAGATGTGGGTGGAGTCACGAGTTGTGGGCGCTTGTAACGGGTAGCGCAAGTCAAACGGTGGGATGGCGAAGGTCGGAAGGGGACGAGTCCACGAGCGGAGCTAAAGACGTCAGTCGGACCAAGCATGCGCAAGTGCTCTCGCTCTCAAGTGCAGTCAAGTGCTCGACGTTGCTCGACTGTGCTCAACTGCGCTTGACTCTGCTCGGGCTTGCAGCTAGCCGATCTAGTACGCAGGATTGCACTCGTGAATACCCAAGCGGCAACGAGAAAGTATAAGGAACAGCGGGAGACTGGTACAGGGTATTATAAACTTCATCCTCAATTACCTCCAGTCATCGGCGGGCGAAATCATCATATGGACATCGTCATCATCATCATCATCTCCAACGTTCGTTGGCACCTTCTAGTACACGTAAGGGATGTATCTGTTGGCGAGCGGGCGGCAAGGCGAGTGGAGGAATCAGCCACTTCCTATTCCCGTTAACGAGAAAAGCTCGAGCCTAACTCACGTATACGGCACCTTTTGCTTGTACTCGATCCAACTCTTGCCATACTTGCGCGCGCATTTCGCATTGTCCCTCGCGTTGCGGTGCAACAGCATCGTAATATGGAACAGAGGGTAGAAGTAAGGGATCGCGGAGCCTTGACCGGCCGAAAGACCCCAGACCACGGCTTGGAACCAGTCGAACGTGTAATCTGGTACAGCACAAACGGATAGGAGGTCAAAATCCCGATAAAAGGGTGGTATGGTTCTTACAAGAGAGGTCGTGCTCACTCGGCTTCCTGAGGATACCCCACAAGCCATCGATCAACAAGTCGGTGCCGGTGATGGTCTTCATCGTCTTGGGGTTCTCGATCTCGGTACCGGGAATTTGCGGGAACGTATAGCGTTTGATGAAGGTGTTGGTCTGCTTGGCCTTGAAATACGACTTTTGTCCCATCGCTACGTCGAATCTATGCATGAAGCTTGGATATGAGTTTCGGCCATCCCACGTGATGGAGGATGCCGTGCTGTAGTGACTTACAAGCCGTGCGAGACGGTCAACAAGATGAAGAGCTGTACGACGAACCACGTCGGGTACGAGTAGGTCTTGGGGTCGTGCGTCGCCATGTAGATCGCCGAGTACGCGTAGGAGAAGGGGACACCCGCAAGGTTCCAATAGGAGAGCAACCATCCGAACTGTGGACATAAAAGAGGCCAATCAGTATTAGTGCGAAGGCTCAAATGATTGAACACTCGCCTTCTCATAGTTCATGTCTGGGAAAGGCAAGCGAAGTGTCACGGATTAGTTCCTCAGTGCTACAACAGTGTGGGCGCGTTCACGACTTACCCCATGTCTGGGGTATGTATTGCTCGCCCTGTAGAGTACCCAGCACCAGACAGACGATCAGCTTTCGAAACGCCACGAGCACCCGTGCATCCTCGACATACCTTTGCGCAGGCGTTCAGGTACAAGCCAGTTCCCCAGGCAAAGAGTGCCGTGTTGGCCGAAACGTAACCATAGGTCTGGTACTGCTTGGCGCAAGCCGCCATGGCGATCGCAAAGAGCAACATCCACGACACGCGGATTTCGGCCCACCTATGTCGAGAATGGGACCGTCAGTGCGTCGTCGGAAACTGTTCTAACGACCACCAGAGTGCTCACATTTTGAGGTCGACGGAACCCAGCCTCGGGTTCAAGCTCGAGCCCATGAAGTAGTCGTAAATTATGTTGCCGCTCATGCGGTATCGCTCGCCGGTGATGTAAACGATTGCGGCGAGACCAAAGCCACTCAATTGGGCAATAGTGAAGAGGGGCCCGTAGAGGTCGATGATGTCGGCGAGGTTGAAAACGCGCGTGTAGTGCAACGCTCCGACGATGGCGATAGTGGCGTAAAGCGAGGTGTAGGCGTTGCAACTGTAGACCAGAGTTTTGCCTCCGAGCGACGAAACGGGGAGACCGCGTTGCTGCACACCGGGCATGATCAAGGCGAGCAAGAGTTGCAGCGAGATGAGGGAGAAGTACAAGGTCGTGGCCTTGCGCGTCGGTGCGGCATGCTGTGGGATTCATGCGAAAGAAGTGCCCAGTCAAGAAAGAGGAGACGATTCAGTCCATGAAGATGGCAAATCCGGAGGGTTGGTTCGGCGAGAGGCGATGGATGCCCGCGCGCGCTCGAACCAAACAGTGCGGAGGACTGACCGTCACGACCAGACGGAACACGAGCTTGACAAAGTCGATCCACCCTCCGGGTCCGGTGAGAGTCGAAGGATCGACTGGCCTAGCGAGTCTGCCTGCACGGGGTCCAGATCGAGCTTGTTAGCACCGAGGCGACTCGCCCTTACGACACCGAAAGGAAGGCCGAGCTCTACGACTGCACGGCGTCGAGGTGGAGTGCGCCTCGCATCGGGCACGATCGAACTGACCATCATAGAAGTAGAGGCACACGTATAGGTAGTAGAACAGGCACGGGAACAGCGTCATCATGGCCATGACGCCGACCGGACCTCCAAACTCGTACTCGTGATGCATGTCGTCTGCGGTGACGGCCCGCTTGCGATCGGTCGCGGGACTGTTGTTGTGTGTGCGCTCGGACGACGCGGAGGCGGCGGTCGAACGAGTGCTCGAGCTGCGTCGTCTCGTCGCGGTCGATCCGGAGCGAGCGGTCGCACTAGTCGCTGCAGCACCCGAGGGGCTCGACTTGGCCGGTGTTTCCGTGCGAGAACGGATGGCATCAGCGGGCGGCATGGTGGAGGGAGGGGGTAACAAAGGGAGAAGAAGAAGGGAAGACAGTTGGCCGGGGGCAGCCTTCTGCTTGGGCATGTTGCTCAGTGTTGCTCTTCGGCTACCCCTTCAGACCCTTTCAGACCCCTTCGGCCACTCCGCGCGCTGGCGAAGTGCACCGGCGCCACCTGCAGACAATCTTTTGTAGATCGACATTCCAGTACGGTTAATCCTCGGACTCTGTTCTACCCAAACAATGAGAAAACAAAGAAGAGGACCATCGTCGGAGTCGCTGTGCAACGCGGCCTGATACGTGCACGTGAGAAAAAGCGAAAAGAGCAAACACAGCGAACGCCCACACATCCCCACTTCCTCTCCATCATCCCCGTCCTCGAGTCTGACCTGTCCCGCCGCATTGCCAGTTGAAGCAGCTGTCGGCAGCGGGTGACCATGCATGTTAGCAGCAGCTCGCAACTTGACGTTCGAGCAGACGGAACTACTAGTATGCAGTGATACCTGGTGTGCATAAAACTCACTTTTTGTGGACAAAGTTGTTGATTCATCATTGATACCGGTCATGACGTCTTGCACTGCCGATTGGCGGACAAGGAAACCCCCTGTAACGCCAAATCCCGAGGTGGAGGCAAAGGTGGAGGTGGATGACGTAAGCAAGAGGTGGACGGTGCGGTGAAGGGGAGGTTGACGATCAAGATCAAGGTCAAAAACGAGCAGCATGAAATGCGGTTAAGTCAAAGGTGGAGGTGCAATGGGGAGGTACAATGGGGAGAAACAGACGTAGAGATGAAGGCAAAGGATGAAGGTGGAGGTGATTCGAGGTGGAAGCGAATGTGATGGTGATGGGGAAGGGTGAAGGGTGAAGGTGAAGACGAGAATCGATGTAGAGGTGAAGATGGTGTGATGTGAAGGTAGATGAAGATGAACGGGCATGCAAAGGCGAAGGTGAGAGCAAGGTCAGCCCAAGTCTGTCGTACGAGGTCGTGTCCGGCCGATGATGGCAGCTGCGGTGGCGGTGGGGGTGCATGCTCGGAGGCGGCCACAAGCGGGACTGACCCGATACAATGATAATCAACAACTTCTCCCAAACTTTTTACCTCGCAAGACGACCAGGACTGCCGTGGGCCCCTCTTCGATCGAGAGCGAGATTGGAGGCTGATGACGATCCGAGTCAAGATGAGGAGGGCAGTGCCCAAGTCAGCGACGGTGGTACATACTTGCAACGAGTGGGGGGGGGAGGGAACTCACGGTGGCTGATGGTACACTACTGCCGACTTCCACCACCTACCGCCTCGGTGCTGCGTCGATGCGCTAGTCGGTTTCGGCCCAGTGGTGGAGGAGCCATGTGAGAGGTACTCATCAACGAAGAAGAAGGAAGGAGAGAGAGAGAGGTGAGAGGGGGGTGGCGCTTTTATACTCGCCCCGAGGCCAGGCTTGGCGCTTACCAAGCGACTCGAGGTCAAGTTCTTGCTTCATCCGTGCCAATGACGCTAGCCTGCGCCGCCGCCGCTCGGCATCGCAGCTCCCTCGGCGCTGCGATCTTCCGAAAAAGGAGACCCCTCCGGTGACCGAGGTCACCAAGTCGACCTGATTTGTAGCAGCAACAATGAGCAAAGCAGTGTTCTTGATGGTTGCAAAATGACACTCGTATTTTAACGCATCTGCTCGTACTACTCTGAGTCCGAACGACCCATTACTCGTGTTGCCCTTCCATGGTTCGGAGTCATTTTGAGGGATCAGAAGATCGAACTGATGAGCCAGGAGCGCGCCGGTCCCCGTCAAGCGCCTTCGCCTCGCACCACGTCGCACCATCATCAATTTCACCCGCGAAGATGGCGACCCCAGTGCCACGAACGGAGCATGCCGCCATGGTAGACGCTCCGTTTGCCGGCTCCGATCGAAAGCCGAGCCTGCACACGCTGCAGCCGCTCGTGCGCCTCCTTGTGATCTCGCACAGGGAGATCGAGTCCATTCTCGGCGAGGCCCTAGGGCATACCCTGACCAAGCTCACCGATGATCAGTGGAGATTCCTAGGCGACAACAAGAACGCGTGGCGGACCTTGCTCTTTGCCCTCCTCTACCTCTTGCGAGAAGACGGCGGCAAGGCCACGCCCGGCAAGACCTTGACGAAATTCGAGGATCGGCTCACCTCGGATGCGCCCGAGGGGTCGCAACGACGTGCTCAAGAATACGAGCATTTTCGTCGCGTATCGGGGGGGCAAGACTCGATCGGATTTTCCGGTGTAAGTGACGTATGGTTCGAGACACCAGCGACGAAACGAGCACGGGGCTGACGGCTCGTTGGTGGCACGCTGGTACGGGTTCCCTGAATCGGTCCTCGCACAGGCGTGGGTTACCTTGATCTACGCCGTTGAGGCAACCAAACGCAATCGCCCTCCGATCCCCCTGATCCCCCACACCCCCAACTGGTGGGACGACCGTGCGATGAGGATCGTCGAGGCGCTTTTTGGATGGAAAGACCGAGTCTACCAAATCGTCGCGGCCTTTGTCGACAGTCGCTTCGTCTTCACCTCGAATACACCCCCCCAGGACGACGATGCGGACGACGCAAAGTACTCGCCACCCGCGAAAAAGGGCAAGGATATGGGCTCGTCACTCAAGTCCAGCGTCAAGAAGGCCGTTGTTGAGGCTGTCTACGAAGCCAGACTCGCCGACTCGCCCGACGACCACGACGTTCGACTCCTTTCCGACCTGACCACAAAGATCGCGAGTCTACACGACAAGGCCTCAAATCAGGTACAAAAGGCGGTAAGCCTGTATGATCTAGCGTCGGTGGCAAGGTCTACGTTGCAAGTTACGGTGCAAATCATCCGCGACAACTCGCCGCGGATGCTCACACCCGACGAGCGCTCCCGTCTTGCCGAGCAGACGATCTGCGACTGGATCCGAGGGGTATCACACCGCCCTCATTGTCTCTTCCCGGCCCTCCACGCGCTCAAGGTTGCGAGCGGGCACACCCGAGGCCTTGGATTGGTGAGTGGTGGCACCGCCGGCTCTCACCGCGTTTCAACGAGTCGACCCGGCCGTCAGCGGGCCGACGCGCTCCAATGCGAGTGCAGTTGCACTGATCCGATTGTTCAACCATCCGACCTCTTTGCACAGAATTTGGGGGGCGATTTCATTACCATGGGGTTACGACGCACGTCTATACTCATCTACAAAGGTGAAGACGTGGCCAAGACCTTGCTCGAATGGCTTCGATGCGTGTGGGTGCCTTGGCGATCGCACGTCTCGAGCAACCCCGTGGACCACGTCGCAACCGCGCTACTCGCGCAGATCGAGCCCCCTCTCTCCTCCGCTTACTCCTTTGTCGAGACCTCGACAAAGGAGTGGGCATCAAAGCGAGAATGGATCGAGCGCTGGGAGGTGCTGCGCCGTCACCTCAATCAGCAGCTCGGGGAAGCGACCCCTCGTGCCACCACCGCCCCGGCCAACGTGGCACCGGCTCTCGCTACCGCCTCATCATCCACGGCCAATCTCGAAGAGCCCTCCCCCGAAACGACGCTCGATCCTCCCCCTTTCAAGCGCGCCAAGAAGGCGGCCCCCCCCAGCCGTCGGCCTGACTCGGGTCGGATCGACACCCGATTCGACCATCTCGGACCCCTCGTGGCAAAGGTTCTTTTCAACATTGAGAGCTTTGGAGCGAATGGCTTTGTGCCCCACGGAGAATGGCGATCGGATGGACAAACGGTCCGGCTTCTAGGCTACAACGTCGCCAAGGCGATCCCCAACAAGTTGTCCCTGCTCCTCCGAGTCCCACTTTGCGCCGACACCCCTGCCCCGGGGGTCACGCGTGACCCGCAGTCGATCGCGGAGACGTTCGAGCACGTGACCAGTAGCGGAACCGTGGCGTTCGACCCGACCTACGATTGTATCGCACGGTCGTCGCTCCTCGCCACTCCCAACGAGCTTGTCAAGTGGGTTTCCGCCTCGACTCTGGTCCCATTACCGACAGTACGAGGCGGTATGCCGCGCCTCGAGAGGGTCGAGAATGCCGGCGAGAAGGTCCTCCAACTTCTCTACAGCCACGGCAAGGGTGAGGTGCGTATTCGCTGCGCGGGCGCGGGGGCCGCCCGTCTCCGGGCCGGGGGGAATGGATCCAGTATCATCCAGCTGACGAACCGTGTTCGCCTTCACTTCCATCGCCGGAGCAGGACTGGGCTGGTCCAGATCGCATCGGAACCCGCTACACGACCGATGAGGCACTCCGACAAATCGTCCAGGACAGTGCCAACGACTCCATCATTATTGGCATCGACCTGGGCACGAAATGTCCTATGGCCGTTTCGGCTACCCTCTTTGACCGAAATGAGGTTCAGATTCAAGACGACGTCGTCGTCTACGCGGATGCGCTGGACAAGCCGTTGAGGAAGGTGCAGAGCCACGTTCGGAAGCTCTCGGCTGAACCGGCCGGCAGCCTCCGATTCGGTCACGCCAAACCTCCCGGCCACGCAGCAACCCCTCTTGAGGGACAACGCCCTGCCACCTCGGCCGCCACCCTCGACGGTCCTGCTTCAGCCCCCTCTGACTCGAATACGACCGAGCGCGACGACGCCGACGCACGCACTCGCGCCGAGCTCGCTCGTGGATCCTCCTCTCGTCTCCTTCTCGGCGAGCCGGATCGACAGGCCTGGGCGGCCAAGACCAATCTCTTATCCAAGGCTTCGAGAAGGCGCTTCGTCGAGCAGGTGATGGAGGTTTCAGGTTTGAGAACGATAGGTTCGTCCTCCGTTTCACGCCGCAGGGAGTCTTCTCGAACAAGTTCAAGCCGGATACTGATTGTCGTATGGAACCTCGTGCTTCAACCTTGTTGTAGAGAGGGCCCGCGATGACACGTTAAAGCAAGCGGACTTGAGCAAGATCAAGACCGCAGAGGTCCTCCAACGAAAGGACATCCTGTCGCCGCGCCAACGTCCGGTGCTGGTCTTCGTTGGCGAGGGAGGCTCGAGTCGTGGAACACAGAAGGCGACGTATAGGACGAATGTCCTTTGCCGAGACCTCGTTCAAGAGTTCAACAGATTGAAAGAGCGAGGATTCGTCGTGGAGATCGTCTCGGTCGACGAATACAATACCTCCTCGGTCTGCAGCGACCCCACCTGCCGCAACGAGGTGACAGGGGAGCGATCCCGGTAGGTTCCTTCAGGACATTCTAGCAGTCGTGAACGAGTTCCAAGGCGTTGCCGGATTATGCTAACGACGGGACTATGTCCTGCTGGTGTCACATCGCACCGGTCACGGCGCGCCGGTCGCACAGACTTCTCAAGAATGGCCGAGCACACGGGGCCGAGCATAATAATCTGCGGGTCATGCTGTGCGAGAAAGAATGCCGTCCGCCCATCCACCGCGACATTGTCGCGGCACGCAACATGCCGACTGTGGGCTTACAAGTCGCCGCGTTCCAACAACACCCCTTCAGGTACCCCAAGGCCGGGAAGGACGAGGACAAGCAGGACGAGAAGGGGCAGCAAGGCAGCAAGGCCACGGCCAAGGCCAAAGGGAGCAAGCCCGGAGGAAAGGGCAGGGACAAGGAGCGCTAAGAGGAAGCGAGGGAAGGGGGAGTTGGAGAAGCCTGAAAGCCGAGTCTCCTGGGCAGTGACAGGGTGCTTGCCATCGTGCCAGTCGAAAAGCAGAGGATCGGGTCGGTGCTAAGAACGATGGGTGATGTGGTCAATATGTACAGCCTGCTATCCAATTCGTTCAGTCAGCTTCAGAAACAACGGTCGGAGCAGGTCGACGCTATCCCCGAAAACCATTTCGAGCGTCGACTGGGCAGAGTAGATTGGGTTGCATCACCTTGTTTTCGTCTGCAGTGCCAATCCTGCTCTAATCGATCAATCTTTCTTTCTCACCGAGCGCGATGCATTCAACTCCTCCCGCCGAGCCGATCCCAGTTTGCGCCCTTTCGCACTCTCGACTGAGCGACTCGTCACACCAAACCATTCACATTAAACGCACGGTTACCGCCTTGTCGTCCCGCCCTTTCAGGACGAGCCGTTTTGGCGAATCCGACCTCGTCTCCCCAAAATCATACTGCCTGTGACTGGACATGGCGAGGTCACCGAGATGATCGAGTCATCGACCCAAGGGATCATCAAATGACAGCATCTTGTGTAACTACCAGGCACATTTTCAATCCTATGAACCCATTCGATGGTTCCCCACCCTCCCCCGCTGCATTCAGCAAGCACTGCACGCCAACGCTTCACTCTTGATGCGGTGAGGGACATGTGCCATGGGGAGGAGCGACCGCCGAACGCAGGAAGCACGCTCGAGTCCGAGCAACCTGAGAACACCGTGGCTTGACCCGAGTCGGCTGGGCCAGGACAAAAAAAGCCCACGTCAGACGCCCAAGTGGAATAAGGCCCCTTTCCGACTTTTTGTCCAGATTTTACACCCTCTTTTGGCCCCAAAATGTCAAATTTTCACATGTACCTCGAAACATTATCAAAAGTCACTCGAAAGTCATTGAAGGCGCGGCCAGTAGTGTCGCGTATGTCCAGGCATCAAATCCCAAATCCCATGTATTGACCCCTTGAAATCTCGCGAGCGTATAACCGGCAACCGTCGTTTTCCTCCCGCCACGCAGAGTTCATCTACTATGCCTCGAACGATGAAGCTTTTCGTAGTAAACTGAAAGGGCCCTCCGTATTCCGCCCCCGCCCCTCTTTTGTGCTCCTCCGGTATCCGCTCAAAACCTCGGTCTCAATATGGAGGCAGCCTAGTGACTGAACTGATTACTGCCTCGAGAGGATCGCATGGCACCGTCACGTGCAGATCGCGTTAAGTTCAGTCTCTCGCAGGCGTCGCGGCTGTCGGTCACTCGTCGACTCGACCTCTCGGTCATAACGCAACGCTCTCGCTCTTGTTGTGTCGGGACAAGCGAACCACCCGGACCCACTTGCACTGCAGTGCCAAGTAGCTACTAGGGAACGGGTGGGTTTTCACCGATTTATTTATCGGCTACCGAGCCGTCGAATCACCGCGCGGCCCGTAATTTCGGTGCCGGCGAGTCCTCCGTCCCAGCGCATCTGAGACACCCTGCAGCTCGTTCCTCCGAGTGGCGGGATCCAAAGGCTCCAAAAATCACTCCCGGGCGAGGAATGAGGTGCAGGAGGGTGAACGTCCTCCGGTCCCGACAGAATGTCTTCTCATTCCTTCCTTCCTATACCATCTCCATCGTTCGGAGAGTTCTTAGCCCCCTCAATTTTACACCGGGGCACTCGCCTCGCTCGTATGATTGATTTGGGACGCTATGTATCTCGCACTGAATGACACTTCAGTCAGAACCGTTGCGAGAGCGAACGGAGAAGAGACTAAGAAGTAAAGTGTCACCCAGGCGCACTAAACATACTAACAAGCTAATTACTTGTAAGGCCTGGGCAAGATTTATAAAGCAAGAATATCTTCCGTTTAGCATATCAGAAATAGAATCAGGAGTTCAAGCCTAATCAGAATAGAAACTCTTCAGACTCTCGTCGGATCCTTTGGAACCGATCACCGAAACGGAATTCGAGGAGCTTCGAGCGTCTATCCAGGAGTCCAAGGGTCGCCTTGTGTCTTGTAAGCCACCTAAGGGGGTTTTAGTAGGTATGGTTGATCCTGATGAAGGGTCAATGAGTCCTACACTACTGGTTTCCGCCAGTGTGCGTAAAAGCATTCCCTCCGACTTTTCCGAAGGTTTCTAGGTATTAATACAATAATACTGTTACTGAAATCTACCAAATAAAAAATAAAAAAACCACTAACTGTGACATCTCGGGCCTCCCCCCAAACGATCCTGGCCAAGTCAAAATGGTCCTCGCTCGCTCCAGCCTCCTCGCCGCGACCTTGCTCGTCCTCCAGTCGACCCTCTCGATCGCCGCTCCCGTCTTGGACAAGGCTATCCATGCGCTCGAGAAGCGCATCGCTTGCCACACCAACGAGATCGCCATCAGTGGGTAGGATCGCTCTTCTTCGGAATTCTCGCGTCGTCCCCGGCAGGCTGACCTCGAACGCTCTCTGCCCCTGGGCGTGGCATTCCTGCCTCGTGCTTTGAGCCCGATCTTCCTCATTCAGCTTCAGGCTGCTTCTTTCCGCATTTCATGAAGAATTCTACTCTGGGTGTTGATCAAGGAGAGTGCCCGTGCCATCGCATGCTCATCGCTTGAATCTCGGCATCCTTGTTCATCGTAGAGAACGCTTGCGTGTTGTGTGCTTCCGCTCTACACGAACGCGACGAAGTGCAGTCGATCAGAGCATCTGACGTGCTCATACGGTGTGCCCAACTCGAAACGCAAGTGAGTAGTGCATGCCGCTCGCGCTCAGCCTTGGTACTGGGGCTAATGCAGGCGAATGGGCTGACTTTGTGTCAAGGTTGAGGTTGCTGGGCCGTAGGCAGCAGGTGATAGCGAGGACGACGGGACAAGTGCGGGATTGATGTAGTTGTTCTTGTAAGACTACTAGAACAGAGGCCGAGGGGGCTGGAGGTTACTGGGGGAGTTGACTATGAGCTCAAGATTGCAGAAGGAAGACAAGAGCGATTTCTACACAGAAGCCCTATTTATAGTCGCAGGAAAGCCCAGGGAAAGCGACAGAAACTCGTGGAAGCAAGTTGAAGCCAAAGGAAGTGATCGAGGCGCAAGATCATAGAGATAACTGGAAGCTCCTAGAAAGTTCCCAGCGCTGAGTAAGCTGCGCGGTGGCGCTGCGCTCAGACCTCGGACTGCTGATTCGTGACACTTTGAGCCCCTATCTATGACCCCTCCTGCGCAGGTGCGCAGCCGTGGACTGCAGCAAGACTCCGGGTACTTGCCTCAGCCCGGATGGTGAGGCATTGCGATTCATCGTTCTACCACGCAATCTTGTCACATAGTTTCAATGGCTGATCTCGATTATATCGTCCGCTCCGGCGCTCTCCAGCCAAACAATGCCTGCCTTGCACCGATCCGAACGTCGTGACCTGCAACAGCACCACGACCTTGACCTGCTTGCCAGGCTACACATTGTACAACACCTGCTTTCACCCTATCGGTCAAGAACGACAGATTGTATTTTATGCACATCAGAGGTGCATACCTTACACGTAACGCGTTAAGGCAGCTTTCGGAATTTTGGCCCAGGAAACCGTTGGTACAGAATGGTATACCATCCCTCCCCACCGCCCGCGCATAGCCAGGTAGTGCACTTGCTACTCGCCTAAGCTAATCGGCCCTTGGCCTCGGCACACATTGGCCAGTGGCACCCCCACTTTCAAGCTTCAACTATCCTCCACCGCAATGCACCCATCGGCATCGTTTCAAGCATGGACTCCCTGCGACACGCACTGCCACTACCACAAGCAAATCCTGATTCCCTAGATGGGAAAGACAAGAAAGACAGACCAAGACCAAACGTAAGAAATTCACGAGGAGGAGGAGGAAGAAGGCGGCCGACACGATCATCGAGAACGGGGCGACCACGGGACCAAAGGAGGGGCGAAGAAGAAGAAGAAGAAGAAGAAGAAAAGGATGAGGTCCTGGCCCGTATGAGAACGAGAAAAGGAGCCGCTCTAGGCTTGTCCCCGAAGAGCGAGGCTTTTGTAAAATTCTCCGGCTACGCTGCTGGCATTAGCAATCAAAGATGTTATCAATCAAAGATGGTATGAATCAAAGATGTTATCAATCAAAGATGGTATGAATCAAAGATGTTATCAATCAAAGATGGTATGAATCAAAGATGTTATCAATCAAAGATGGTATGATAACACGAGGGCTAGGGTATGACTAAGAGCTTTTAAGACACCCGACTTGCGAGAGACACGAGAGAGACAGAGTTCGAGAACGAAACGCTGAGGTCGGAGACTGGAGACGATGCCGAACGAGACGTGAAACACGCAAAAAGTGAGAGACAAGTAGAAACAAAAAAAATGATCCTGAAAGTAGTCTACCTGAAAACAAGAAGCAAACTCCTTTCAAACGTCCCGGTCGTTCAAACCGCTGCTCTCTCTTCATTCCCCTTCACCGCTTCATCCGCACATCGGGCCCGGTCTTCCTTCCAAATCCTGCCCTACTGATCCCACCATTGCTCGTCGTTTTCCGAGTCTTTGCGGCGCAAAAGTGAAGGCCCGTACAACACCACCTCCTCTTCATCTCCCTCCCGTAAGCCGTCTTTAGTCT